GAAATCATCAATTAAATTAGTCGGAGTTAAAGCCAAAGTTGTTTGCAGAACATTTTCAGACCCAGCTGCAAACTGCACTTCGCGATTTGCCATTTCGCGGTTTGTTAGCTCTTTGCTTTTCGTACTTCGTTGCCTGGCCCTGATCCGCTGGCTTCATTTGCATTTGGCCAAAAGATGGCAGACGACGAGAGGCGAAAGACGCGAGGCTGCAGTTTCTGTGGCTCATTTAAGTGTTAAAAATGGCAGTTACATGAAACCGAGCTGGCAAAATGTTCCGTTTACGTTTACGTTTACGTTTGTTTCGTGCCCATGGCTCTGTGCTTTATGTGTTTTCCCAGCTGGCTGGCAGCGTTCGTTGCCAGAGTCTTTTGTTTTAAATATTAAACGGGGCCCTACAAATCGCTGCCAGCTGCCGCTTCTGTAGCCCGCTGCACAAAATTTGTCATTTTTCCCGCGGTTTGGCGGCTCATTAGTCAGGCCGCACATTTTCGTGGAAGGCGCAGACGCAGACAGAAAGCTGCCAGGCGATGACAAGCCAGATTAGAGGCCCCAAAACGACACTGTCCCTGTTCCAGACCCCAACTCCAGCCCCAAGCTCCCCTTTTCCTGCCCCCTGGCCGTTCCTTAACCCACTGCCATGTCCATGTCCCTCGGAACAGAATCGAGTCGCAGGCGACCCAAATGTTTTTTGTTTTGTAGCGGCAAGGGCCTGACACTTTCTGTGGCGATTTTAATTAGAAGTGAAGAAATGGTAAGCTTGCCACGAACATCAGAGAAGTTTAGACATGCTATCTGATGACAAAAGTAAGTCAATAAGTAATTACCTTAAGTGAAAAAATTAATTCAGATAAATTGAAGTTGTAAATTTGAAAATATGTAATGTATTCAAATGTCTCTCCCTCAGAAACAGAATTCGAAAACCCTTTGAAAAAGAGGGTGTAAAAATGTGTTCCCTTACCAATTGATGGGTGATCTGGGGATTCGGTTGGTTGGTCCAGACTCGCGCGGTTCGCACGCCTCATCTCGCTGAAGAGCCAAGAGCTAATACGAACAGCAAATAGTGGTAAGAGCCGATGGAAATCGGAGGGGGGAGAGGGGGGCTGTGATGTATGCAGTTTGCCCATTTGCCACTTACCACTCGAGAGCCAAATTATTATTTCATGGCTTATAAAAGTCATATTTGTCTTGTGTTTGATGGAATTCCCATGTACGAACTCGTGTGGGCCAAACAAAACGTAACTAAAAACATTTATTCACGCTTCTTTGTGTTCCTTTCGGGGTCTGTTTGTTGGTTTGTTAGTTTGTTGGTTCGTTTGTCCGTTTTCTATTTACACGCAGCCGCCGTGTGCTGGGCAAACAAATTTTAACGCTCAAATGCTAAAAATCCGAAAAGCCATTGGGAATGGAACGTATTACTCGATTCCCAGCGATAGAACCACCAGCATCGGCACTTAGGAACGAAGCGTAAGGAATTCGTAATTAGAAGTTCGACTCCAACTGCTGCAAGTCAGCCACAAATTGCAAACAAAAACAAAGGCCAGTTGTTGACTCGACAAACAACCAACCATTCTGGCCCGCTGTTTGGCCAAACAGTTAACACTCAGGCACTCGAAAGTAAATGAAATCGATCCCCGCCACGGCCACTAAATGTTCAACTTAAGCATCCACTCCGCTCCGGCTGAAGCTGAAGCCTTTGCTTTAACTTTAACTTTAACTTTGGCTTTAACTTCAACTTGAAATGGGCGTTCACAGAAAACACAATTAAAATTTAATGACGAAAAGGCGGAAAAATAGTTAAGTGCAGTGCAGTGAGGCTCCGTTCATTTCGGTTGAAGGCTCCCTGCAATCTCGGTTCGGTCCTTCGGTCCGGACTCTCGGAGAAAATTGCCTTTTGTTGCCCAAAATTGAAATATGCAATCATAATGCCGGCGACACAAAATGCCGAATTTGGTTTCCCCTAATAGCCACAATGTACAGCCCGCATGGCTTCGCATCCTACATGGAGCAGCCTCCATCTGTCCATTTCGTTCCGATCTGAGCACTTGAAACAAATACTTATTATTTTTAATTAATTTAAACTTTTTTATATTAATTTCCATTATTATACCATCCAAAAATATCTGCTGTATTAGAAGTACCTCTCTTTTATTAGTTTAAAATAACATGACATAGTCCTTAAATATTTTTTGTAATATTTTATACTTTAATACTTTACCACTACTTCTTTCCGAGTGCAGCTTCTTCAGTTTTTCCGACTTTTAACGGTTGCCGGCCAATTGCAACAAGTGATGTCCCACGCTGAGTTCCCCCGCCCGCCGCCATCTCCTCCTCTTGTTTCTTGGCAGGGCATGGACGGTAAATTCGATTAAACCGCAAATAGGTTTTTGGCCAAGCGAGCGGCCAGGGCGGTCAGCTGGTCAATTGACTATGACTTGCGGGCTAACTTGCACAGTGGTGATTCGTATCTAATGCTTTACCAAAAAAGGATATAAAAATATTGTATAAAAAATATGAACAAATGAGAGAGCTATTTAATAAAAATACAACTTATAAAAAATCCTACACCTTTTGATAATATTTTTTATATAATAAAGTCCTAAGGAAGATCAGAGATGAAGCTTTACATATTCTATTAAATTACTATTAAACTAAAATAAAATACTTAATAATACTTACTATTATTACTTACTTAATTATAATCATAGTTGGACCTTCGAGACTTAATCCATTGCATCCAATGTGCTCTAAGTCCGTGCATTGGGTGCAATGGCGGCATAATTTATGATTTCATTAAAGCAGCAAATTTAATCGAACTAAGTTGGAAATCAAAACGATCGTCAGCTCCGCTTCCCAGGCCGCAGCCCATCCATATAGCCGCAGCTATAGCTATAGCTATCATCATCCGAGACCCGATCGGGCAATTTATCGTCTATCGCCTATCGACTGACCGCGAAAGTGGCACAATCGTGAGCACTGTGGACGCTTTTCGATTGAGCAATGATTTGGTTATTGGACTCGGAGGCCCAGGCCCCGTTATGGGATCGTCGGGGATCCGAGATCTCCTCGAGATCGAAAGGGGGGTGGAAAAATGCCAGGTTCTATGAACCTCGCGGTTCGCAGATCTCTCTCTGCGCCGCCCGAACGAAAATTACAAGTTGCCGATTATAAAAAAGTTGAGAGCGATTGCAGTTTGCCATAAAATAAGTAAATCGCCGCCCAACTCACGTTCCAATGGCGGCGAGGGAGGTAAATAAAATAAAATGAAATTGAAAAGCCAAAACATCGAGGGGCCAGGCGGTCCAATGGCAAAACTGGGGATGGGGCCTATGTATTGCAGAAATCGACTCACGGATTTTGTGTTACACTTTTGTTGTTAGCAAGTAGCGAATGAGAGGCCCTCCGCCATCCTCACTCCCACTGGCCAACTCCAAATCCAAATCCACGGGCACGGCCACGGAGATGGAGATGGAACAGAGCTTCGTGCGGCTGAAGAAAAATATTTTGCCGCTTGACGACAGCAGAACACTAAGGAAAAATGTCGGGACTTTAAGTAAAGAATGTCTTCACTTTAAATAAAAACAATCAATTGAAATTTAAAATAAATCTCTAAAAACGCAATAGGAAACATATAAACACAAACTATTACAGTCTTTGTTCCTCAAACATCTAGATTAAACCAGAGTAACTTCAAAGTAAACCAATATTATTATTGATTTTTTTAATGCTTTAATTATAACACAATTTTTGCTTTGCAAAACTTTACATTATCTAAGATCGTTAAGTTAAGCACCCATTTAAAAGGAAATCAAAATGTAATTTTATGTTCGAATTGTGATATTTTCTATTTGTGCAGTTGGAGCAGCTGGAGCAACCACGGCGGCGATGATGGCGACCATGTTGGCCTGGCTTCGCTTACTCCACCTACCTACCACAAAGTGGCCAACAACAAGCACTGGCAAACAACAATCAATAGACAAACGTTTGGCTTGTTTTCTGTTTTTGTGTTGCATTGTAAATCAAACGGAACCGAGCAAAACAAGCGAAACGGTATTGTTTTCCAATTGGCAGGCACGCCAGGGAGGAGCTCGGCTGCCAAAAAAAGGCCCCCTATTTCCAGCCTCCCGATCGAGGAGATGGCCCCGGGCTTTGGTTCAAGTTGCCACTGAAGACGCTGACAAGAGCCGAAAGGCTCGTACAGTCAGCACTGGCTATGGTGGCCCCCCAATATACGGGTGTACGTGTATGCATGGCGGTGACCCCGCTGAACTGTGTTGCTGTGCTGCTGTGGCTCAAATCAAATGGGTCCCTCAACTTGGGCGATGCTCACATCACGCCCGTCCACTGATGTTTCCTCAATTAACCTTTTTATTTTGCTGACTCGGTTACGTTTCTTGTATCTCTTTTTCAGGATGTTTTTCCCCCTCCCCCTGATTTCTTTTTTCTGGGTTGTCTGGGCGTATGCGAATTGTCGCCATTACACGAATTGCATCGTGTTGTTGTTGTTAGCGGGGAAATTGTTGAGCAGAAAAAGTTCCAATGGCCAATTTTAAGGAGAGCGCCCAGCGAATGGCGAATGTTTGCCAAAATGAGCTGTGGAATTTATGTAGCTTGATGTTTTAGAAAGTAATTGCGAGTATCAAGTATACGCCGGGTGGTTCAGGTGTGGGAAACACTAGAAGGTTTACTTTTACTCCATTAAATTCGACAATCTTAAGATGAAATAGCAAAACCCAAGCTAATCGGAGACCATTTTGTCCCACTGTATCGAAGTGACAGAAGGTTGGGAAAAAGATACTCCCATGAGGCATCTAATTAAAACCGCCTGCTTTGTGGCGGCTCCACCTTGGAGGAGCTTTTCCTGCTGGCTCTTTGCTGGCCTACCACACAGCGCGTTTTAGGCCGGGTCGAGTGCTACTGGTATTTTGGCCAACAAAAAGGCGTTGCAAGCCGGGTTAAGTGAGGTTATGTTATTTGTCAATTTGTCTTGCCTTAACTAGCAACTACTTTTGCTGTTGCTGTTGCTGTCCCACTAAAAAGCAACAAGGTTATTAGGGTTAAGCCAAAAGTTTCCGCCACTCACACAGTCGTTAGCTAAAGTATATACACACACACACACACTCTCCTTTAGCATCGCATAAGATTGTGCAAACAGTTGCCATAATTTTCAATCACATTAAATATGTATTTGGCTGGGTGAAATCTAAAATCCCAAAATTCAAATCAAAGACACAAAAATCAAATCGAAACGAGCGAAAAAACATGTAGCACTTGTCAGCGCAGCCGACAGACAATAAAAAACCGAAACAAGCGACAATTTTTTGGACCTGTAATAAACATCAATAAAAGATCGCTGTCCATGTCACTGGTCGCAGATTTGAAGATTCGATTTCCGATATCGGCTGGGAGATCGTCGCATTGTGTCCGCTCTTTTCACAAAATTTTTATTAATTTAACAATAAAATGTTTATGCAAATCGCATTGACTTTTTGCTCGCATTATAATCAAAAGGCAATTATAATAAGTTATGGCGCTGGCCGAGAGCGGACAAGCGGCTAATGAAATTATAAAACAAATGTCCCTCATTATTGGACACTAAACGCCATTAGGAATTCAAATTTCCACAAAGCGACTTTGGTAGAATCTGCCATTCCGGCGATTTAATTGATATTTGCTGGTCGGTCTCCTTTGGTCGAGGGGTCAAATTTATGTGACAGTTGAAATCTGAAAACACGCAACTAATGTCAGCCATGGCGTTGGCCAAATGGGTCGTGAATTAAGCCAAACGAGTTGGCAAGATCGATTAGAAATGCGCTTCTCATTATCGCTTGGCAGTTGGCCCAACCTAGTGGGCTCAATAAACCCGACATTTAACGGCAGTTTGATGGCCAAGACTACGACAAACTGTCAAAATGCCCAGCGGGCCCAGTCCATATTTATTTGCATAAATGTATTTTAATTTGAATCTACGAGACATCTAAGACGATCCGATCCAATCCGTGCTCCACGTTGGCCTCAGATAATTCACACCTCATTCGGAGGTGGGCTGGCTTGGTGCCACGCCCCCTTCGCCTACCGCACTGCGTGCGGTCTGAAATATTGAAAGGCGTAGAATTTCTCACGCTGGCTGCCAAACGAATTTTCAATGCAAAATAAATTCAGGCAACGACAAAACAAGAAAGGCAACAAAATTATTGGTAACAAATAATTTTTGGCGCTTTCTTTATGGCAAATTAGCCGCGGCAATAAAATGCCAAAAACATGTGTCTGTATGCCCATGCATGTGCGGTGTGTGTGCAATAAATATAAATCCAGAGTGCCATGCAAATGGCACAACAGGCGTAGTATGAAGTCTGACCGCCCCTCAGGACCTTCCCCTCTCTTCCCACAGCTCTCTGTCTCTTTCTCAGCTCGTACATACAAAGAAAAACATAATTGGGAACAAGATGAATATAAATAAAATCTAAGCAGTAAAAAATCCATTAAATGGTTATTTTATGAGCATTATTCACAAATTAGCTTACATAAAAAATACATAAATTACTGCGGTTTTATTGGGCAAAATTTGTGAATACCATAATTTAAATCAAATAATGATCTGAATATTAAATTGAAGAGTATTTGCTTTTAAATTTTAATGTTGTTATTTCCATGCAAAATAGAAGATAGCAAAGAGGCAAAACTACCACTAAATCAGCTCCAAAAATCCTTTACATATTATTTAAAAATTTATGTTAAATGTTCCACTAATGGATGTACAATATTCTCGTACTAAAATATATCTCGTCGACATTTTTCAATTTATTACTGTGTAGAGCTCTTCCTCCTATCTGCTAGTTGAGTCCGGCCGAACTGGCTAGATAGTCTGGAAAATCGTTGTTATTATTTATTGCCGCCGATATTTTTATGTTTTGCCGAAGTCGTGACTTGGCCAGGTCGCCAGCCGCCGTCCGCCAACCGCCAACCGCCAACCGCCAACCGTCTTCCGCCGATCGGCGATCGTCGGCTTTTGGCCAAACTGGCAGCCGCCAGAAGGTGTGTTGTTGGCCACCGGACAGCAGTTGGGCCAGAGGAAATGCCAGCGGGGAGGTCGAGGGAAAGCGAAAACCCAGGGGCCAACTGATGAACGTCCGAAAGAGTGGCGTTCTTGGAAAGTTTTCGAAGCGTTAACAATCAATGCGTTTGCATCGCATCGATTGGTCAGCTCCACTCACACATGTCCAAATGCACCGGAAGCGGACATTTCAGCTGCTGCTTTGTATGCCACACACACACATACAGTAGAGCTTGTTGGCCGTGTTAGATCCCAGGTCTCAGTTTTACCCATAAAAGGTTTTATGTTTCATCGCTGATCCACTGCAAGTCAATCCGACTCCCACACACTCAGATAGAAACATCAAAGCTCATAAACATGCACGGGCACACTCCATTTGGCGGGGTTTCGGCGGGGATTGGGGCATTGGGTGACAGGACAGGGCCCAAGACGTCCATCCAAGTTGAATTACGCGTTCGGTTTAATCAGCCAGAAAAAAAGGGAGAAGCGGCTAAGAGATACTCTTTATAAAATTAAAGGTAGTCCTTCTGTAAAACTCTACTTCTTTTTAAGAAGTTTGTGATACAATCTATAAATTTAAAAAATATGTTTGATAAGCAATTTGAAACAGTAATTAATATATCCAAATTTGATTTAAAATCCCCTATTTGGTATACCCAAAAAATGGAATCCCGACAACATGAAGATACCAAAACACGCATCGCGACATTTCAATGTTTCAGTGTTGCTGCCATGCTACGAAAACAAACTCAAATACGAGACACAACTCGTTGTGCGATCAGCGTTCGATGACTTCGATTTGCTGGACACGATCGAGACAAAGTCGCTTACTTTCGCTTGGTCATGAATATTAAAGACATTAAGTAGGAACAATAAGGAACAGGGACAACTCAGAACCTAAAGTTGGGATGGGTACGGGAATGGGAATGGGAATGGCACTGCGGATCGGAACCTGCACTTGATGCGCTTTGGTTTTATGGGAGTCTCTTTTAACCCCCCTTTTTTTTGGTATTTGTGAAAATGTCCGATCATGTCAAAAGCGTCGCATCCCGTCATACAACCAACAACAATGCAACAAGGGGGCCAAGTTGGGAGGGGACCCCCGACTCCGATGGAAAAAAAGGATTTCGTGTCGTTTTGTCATCGCATGTTCACTGCTGCCTGCTCCCCGGCAAATGAAAACGTGAGCTCGATCCTCCCCGCCTGACTGGCTGCTTATAAATATGCATTTCTCGATATTTTTTTATACGGCTGCCATATAATTTAAGCAAAGCGAAAACCAATAAACAATGGCCCCGGGATCCGCAGCCAAGTGGGGGAAACTGAAGTTGCAATTTTGCTGTCATCGGAACGCCAAACGAAGACGCGCCAGATGCCATCAAATACTTCAGACCGGCGTTACATCAGTCCGGACTCCGGAGCTCATCCGCCGATGGAGTCTCGCCGAGATGGTTTTGATTTGAACTTTCATCGCCCCGCTGACCACTCGACAAAGAGCGTCAAGTGCGCCGAGGCTCTGTGAGGAATGGGAACCAAACGGTTTCCACCTCTGCACAGAAAATAAATTCCAATCCTAACGATACTTCGGCTTAAAAATTATTTTGAAAATATTTTAACAAAAAATAGATACAAGCAAGAAATTTCTATTTTTCATAATTTCAGGAAATTGTTAATTATTTGTAAATACTTTTTCCTTCAGTGCACATTTATTTATGGGCTGGGCATCTCATCGTCGGTCGGGCTTTCCTTTCTTGTCGATGCTACATTTAAATCGTCATAATTCAAATTGCTGTTGGCATTTTACATAAGTACTCGTATCTGGTACGGGCAGCGATCCCAATCATTAGGTGAAGAAACGCTTTTGATTTTGCCTGATTATTAATGATTTCCGTTCGATTTATCACACGATCGATGGTCGTATAGTGCAAGGTCATCAAAGGAACGTGTTGATTACCAGCACACCGTAATAACAACAATAAATTAATGGGCATTTCTGGATTCGAGGGACGGACAACCCGCTGCTCCTCGGAGCCCCTTTCTTTTTGATGGATTGCGCTCGAGATCGGAGTATATGGGCACAAACAAATAGGTTTTCCCAGGTACAATGAAATTTGTTTGCTAACAATGTGCGCCAGCCAGTCGGAGTATATCTCGTTGATTCACAACGATTGCGGGGCGTTAAATCGAACGGCGTTCGGTTTTCTGATGATTCATTGCGATTTAATTTCCAATTTGAATGCTTTAAATGAACTTATAATTCACCATCAGTCGCGCTCTAATACCCTCCATTTATCCGGCTCGGCTTCCCGCCGAATTTGTCCATAATTTATATGTTCCAATTTGGTTACAATGCCGCAGGATCGGGCTACAAATATGTAATCCAATACTAATTGGGAGCTCATGAGGCGTCTGCGTCCACATCTTCTAATGGCGAGCAGCCGAGTGCTGCAAATGCCGCGGTCCGTGGACAATGCTGGCTAAAAATGAAACTCGTTAAATATTTATGAGGAGCACGAGCATCGCCGTACCCGACCCGACCAGATCCATTCCATTCCATTCCACTCCGGCCCGGCTGGCCAGATGTGTAGGCCATAATTGTGCACAGATTTTGATTTGCCGTTGCCATCGGCAGTAAGTGCGAGCCGCGCTGACTTGGCCAAAGCCCAGCCCCAGGTGCTGCTACCAACTTCCAGTTGCAGTTGCAGTTGCAGTTTCCTCCGCAGTTCCACTGCCAGCCCTGAGTCGACTCCGCTCCACTCCGCTTGGCTTGGCTTGGCTTGCCTTGCCCATGGCCATATAAATGCATTCGGCCCGGCTCGCACATAGCTGTAAATAAAAAACTGACAAGAATGGTACAGAAAAGGTCAAGACTATAGGATACTTACTGTGTTCTTTTTTATGAATTTTTGTGCTACAAAGTTTTAGGTGAATAAGCAGATGATCTACAACTTTTGAGTTAAAGTTGTTTGAATTTACATATATTTTTTTAAACCTTACCTTTTAAAGTATAAATTTAAAACAGAAATCTTTCAAGTATAAGTGATACGATCTGGAGTAAAATTTGGTTAATCTAAGTTGACTTTTAGCCCGATTAAACTCCTTTCCTTTTCTTTAATTTGAGTAAGTTTAAAAGTAATGAAGAGCTTATCAAACTGACTAATTTATTATTCTAATATACTTTTACAGCTTGAAAACATAATCGATATCCCCTCCTGCGCTTTGTGAGTACCCAGCAGACTAAAAGAAGCGAGCCCAGCCCGTTTGAAGCGGAGTGGCGGTGGCCCATAGCTTTCGGCCATGCACGAAGGCGCAACACTTCAGCGGCAGCATCGGCATCAGTTTGAGCCGCTGCCCCGGGTTCCGACGTTGCAGGACCGTCGAGCTGAGGTGGACCCACAACCTGTTTCGTGGGAACATTACCTAGTCTGGCACTGACTCCGAGCTCTATGGCCAACTTGGGCTGCAGCCGCCGCCTGAATCGCGCTGACCACTGGGCCGCCGTTCGGAGTTTGGAGTTTAGTGGTTGGTGTTCGGAGCTGGCGATGGAGATGGAGTTGGAGTTTCGAGATGAAGATGGAGGAGAAGTCGCATTCGGATTCGGAATCGGCGGCTGACGCTGACTGACGGACTGGTGTTGTTGGCCGCTCATAAATGAAACCTGTTAAATGAATGAAATAAAGTGTTATTTGCTCGACTCACAAATGTTTCTTTGGAGCCCCTTTGGGTTCTTTGGATTATGCGCCTCGCCGAGGTTCCGAATGGGGATGACAGCGTGAATGGCACCTCGAAAGTTATGGAAGGAATATCAGGTGGGCATAAATGGGCAGACCACATGGGAATTTATTACAAATCTCTGGCACTAATGTTCGTATATTAAAGACTTTTAAATTAAAATGGCTATTAAGCTTATTGAATTGGGGATTATAAGTTTCAAGACGATAAAAATGTTAGCAAGTAGGTGATAAGCGCTAGATAACAGTTTATTAATTCCTGTTTTTAATACCTTATTAACTGACATTTATACGCGTTAATTTGATTAAAGTGATTTCTGTTGACGAATGAAATAATCTATGTATTAAAAACTTTAAATAAGATTTGTTATTCGAAAAGTAAACGACGTTTTTTTGTTTTAAAAAATAAATGGTGATATTAAAGAAATATTTATATTTGTTTTAAGAGGTAAAGACTTTGGTGTAAGCCAAGATTCACGGACCCATCTCTAGATCCCAGCCACGATTTTATGCCTCACGTGTGTGTGCTTTATGTTTTTTGTGTTTACTATGCTCTGGTTCTCGGACTTTGGGAGCTTTATGTTTTCTCGAAGACCCCAAAGAAGAGCGGGATCCGTAAGAAGTTTAATTTGATTTTTTATACTCCTTCCAGGTCTTCTTCTCCAAAACTTGCTCTGCAGCCCTGCCCCACGTCCACGTCCATGTCCATGGGTAGATGGACCCATGCCATGAGTCCATGTGTGAGTGCCAGTGACTTGTAAATTTTTTGGATGTTGCTGGCGTGTTTTTGTTATTGTTTGTGTTTACCTACAGTAGTTGTGGCCTGCATGTTTTTTGTTACCTTTCGAGTTGGTCTTCAACTTGAGTTTTATTTTTAACTTAATTTCTGGCCGGCCAAGATTCCTCGTTCTTCGACTCCCCGGCCGTCGTGCGTGTAATTCATATTTCACTGTACACGAGCCCCGTACATAATTCGCAAGTTTTGGCCCAACCATATAATTTGTGGCAACAACAAGACCGGCAAATTGTGGCCATGTTGATCCCCGACGCATTATACGTACATTTAGCCAACATCCACGGACGGACTTATAAATGTGCGGGCTTTACATCACTTAGAGTCGCTGCGCAGACGTTTATTATTTCGCGAGATTTACATTTTATTGTATATGTTTTAATTTAAATTTATATCCCATTCCCTTTGCGCCTCTGTGGTCCGCGAGTTTTGTGGTTGGTCGGCCGTTAAATGTTGCCTTAATTCGACAATTTAATTTGGGTTTATGCGGCCTTAATAAGGGGAGCCATAATCTGGAGGCGAAGTCGCCGAGCAAAAGGGCGCATTTTGTTTGACTTATGTGAAATGAGGAAGCTCGGCTTAAACGGGGCGTGGCCAGCCGGCCTTAGCTCAGCAATTTTCGAGATTTTTCCAGCTTTCTGGTTTTTTGTTTGCCCAGAGTATTTGCATGTGATTGGAACTTAATTCCGGTTTTTAAGCTGCGAAATTCGGGTCAAAGATATTGAGTTTTGGATTAAAAAACTAATGAGACTAGTCGTTTTCTTTTACGATTAATAAGAGTGTACAAGTTTTTCGAAACTTTCCTAAATGATTCCAGTTTTTATAAAATTAAAGTACATACCTCAATTTACAAAGCCGTTCCCCAAGGAAGTCTGAAAACAAATCCCCATATAACTTGATTAATAAACAATCCCTAGTCCAGAAATTACATTTTCACGGCTTCCAATTGGGCGAACAACATTTTACTCTGGATTCTAAATTAAAATATGAGCACAATGGGAGATCGGACCAGAAAATCAATGAACTTCTGTATGATTTTCTTCGACTCGGTTAAGACAAAGGGTTTAAAGGGCGCCAAACAATTTAGTTCCACTTGGTGGCCAGACAAGGTTATATTAGGTCCCAAACAATTTCTAGCTTAACTAAGGTGTTGGATGAGTAATGCGGCACGTTTACATTTTGTTCCCATGAAGAAAAATATTTAATTTGATTGCGGTTTTTATGTCTTCATTAGCCAAATGCTCGGAGGGCAATAAATTAGAGATTTCGGCTCGGAGGCTGGAGAGTCTGTTTTGGGTTGGATTTCGGTCTTGTATCTCCTATTATAGTATTTCTGCTGTTCGGCTTGTAATGCGGCCCATGCATGAAGATTAACACTTGATTAATGATTTCGATTATTCATAATTTGTTGTTGCTGCTTTATCTCTCGAATGCCTACAAATAATTGAAACATTTTGCGACTGCTGCGCATGCGCACATTCAATGCTAATGCAACTTCGATTTCAAGATCATTAAGCGCTACATGGACATGTACATGCGCTTCCTTTGGCTGTGGCTGCCATTATTGATGATGGAAAAGACACAGAAAAAATAAATAAAATCTCCACACATCCACCGCCGGTGGATGGATGCTCCCTCGAGGGGCACGCACCTGTGTGCGTGTTAGCTGCACATTTGAGGTACGCAACTCGTCAATCAGTTGACCATGTGCAACCGGTTTCTGCTCCACTTCCAGTTAAATCTTCTCTCGATTGATTCCACATAGCTGCATACCCTCATCGCGCGGTTAGATCAGCTTCCCTGAAGGGTGAGCACTGTTCTGCGGAAAGATATCCGATCTGGAAGATAACTCCGGTTGACCACTCATTGTAGCTTACTTGGACTCAAAGAAGTTTTGTCAAAAGCATGATTTGTACAAATTGTTATCCATTATTAAAAGATAAGTAATCAGAAAAAGGGATTTTTTAGAAATATTTTACATACAGCAAGCCAGATTCTATTTTATTAGAAAAATATTTAATAAACAGAAATGTTTTTTAAAATCCTATCTTATCTTTCCGTTTTCGAAAGCATATTCGATCTTCGTCTGATCCCAATTAGCTATTGGGTGCACTTTTTCCTTCTAGTTTTTGTTTATTTTATTATTCTTTTTATTATCTAAGCATGTGTTGATTTTTCCCGGGCTCGGCGGCAGCGCTTTTCCAACTGTCAACGGCGCACAGCCGTCGCGTCGAATGATTTGCAGATTCTGTTTGACAGTTGGTCCGGTTTTTCATTAATGAACATGAGCCCATGGCGGATCGATGGCCAACGGGGAGCGACTAGGAGTGGAACACACGCACTGCATCGCTGGATGCGTTTGTTTTGATTTATGGGCATATAGTAACTGGGTTTCGAGGGGATTCCCGGGGGCCAGGAGCGTAGAAAGCAGGGGGTTGGTTGGTCGGCCAGTTCGAATATTTCGTCAGGCCTCGGACTTCTCAGACTTCTCGGACTCCTCGATTCTGTTTCATTTCGTTTCGGCTTCGGGATCCCAGCGAATCCCCCAGCAACCCTAATGAAGATAATTTATTATGCGATGCCGTTTAATTAAAATCAGATAACCCAGCCGAACCGACCAGAACCAACGATCGCTGTCCGTTCAGCTCAGCTCACCTCAGATCAACTCGGCTCCTTCAAAATGCATACGGAGCCCCAGACATTCCCAGACTTGGAAGTTGGAGTCTGCCGAAATGGGCTGCCGTTTAGGAGGTGCTCTTTTTTATGTTATTTGTATTCATAGACAGTAGAACTCCTTTAATAAAACTTTATAACCTTCCTGACAGTAATCCTACAAACTGAAAAACTTGTGCTTAAAATATTATTATTATAAAATTATAAACTAGCTTCTATATTTACCATTTTTTAAAGATATAGAACTGTTATTATTCTTTCTGAAAATTTAACTTCAATTATTTATATTTTCCAATAATTCAAATCACATTTTAGAAGCTTGACTGTAGTTAATTTCCCAGGCGCAGAGGGAAAGATTTCGCGTTAAGTTCAACAACTGGCAAGCGGCAACAAAGTTGTTGCGGTCAACGTTGTCGTCGAGATCGCCGAATCACCGAATCACCGGATCGCCGGACGTCGCCGGTGGCAGCTGCCGGGGTCCCCATCTCGGCATCATGATTGGTATTGGTTCTTTATCAGGATCTTGTTTAGGCCATCTCGGTGCTTTGTTGATTTTGACTTTGACTTTTAATGCCCCATTACTTGCCTCTGGCTTTCTGTGTGTCCGTGCAGGCGGCCTTCCCTCCGGCTTATCAGCCAGATCGGGCCGAGTTTCACTTTTCCCTCGCCGACTTCCCAGCCGTCCTTAGTCATCGATGTATCCGCTGGGGTTCTTGTTGGAGTGCTTGTTTTATTGTTTGATATGCAAATGGTTTTTAATTGTGTGGTTGGTCCTTCTGTGGGCTTGTTAACCCCTTGAATTCTCATGTGGCTCGTATTAAAAAAGTGGAAAAAATAAATGGGAGTTTGGTTATCAGGACAATCATTTTAAAGATATTTTTTATAATAGAGGATCAGTTATTTGTCTACATTAGAAAAAAATTAGAAACATAAAAGAATAACTGTTGCGAATGGGAAAAATTTCGTTATTTTATTAAAAACCTTTTTCAAAATCCTAGTGTTATATTTAAAGGGTTAAAATAGCAGATATGTCTTTATAATCACAACAGAAAACTTAACTCCTTGGAAATAAACATTACCATTTTGGACCCCACGGGAGGCTGAAAATGAGTCACTTCTCACAAAGATTTAAACCAAAGTATTAATTAAGACCCAATGGCAGAGTAAATGAGAATCGCCCCATTTTGGCACTTTCTTTGTGGATTTTTCGTGGTTTGTGGTTTGTGGTTTCTCGATTTCCGCTCGAAGGGGGCGGAGCACACATCTAAGTCGGGTCTAACGAGCGCTTAAGAGAGGACCTCCGGCATAAGAGACTCGACATTTAAGAGCAGATCAAGAGAAACCCCTGGGAAAACAGAGAAGCTAAGATACTCGGGCCGAAAGGCAAAGAGAACTCCGCTGCGGAGGCCGAAAAGTACGCGTAATTAAAGCTGGCTTCGAGTGCTGGAAAAAAGACCCGCAAATCAATCAGTTGGGCAGGTGCAGCGGTTTGGGAGCCACTGGACGACGAGTTTCCTTCCACGGAGGTTGTTCGCGTTATGTTGTGTGCTATGTCGGACTGTCATAAATCAAGGCAAAGAGTGTGAAATTTTTTCGCCATCTGGCCCGACTTGGCCCGGCTTCATTAGTATTTTCTAGCCATGTCCAATGTGCCGCGCTTGGTCGGCATTTTTAACCATTTATGACTTAATTTCAATTATACGCATTTGGCCAAAAATATTTGTTGGCACTTTGCAGGCAATTAAAATGGCAACACGTGCAAACAGACAACGACAGTGCCGAATTTTTCATGCATTTCGATAGCATGAAGGCTGGGAAATGGATCAATATTAAAAGGTTCATGGCTTTTCAGTTGTTGTCAGGGTTAGGATTTCAGTAAAAATAATAAATAACGCTCATGAACGATTCTCTAGCAGAAAACAAAAGACTTACCACACGAACTCACAATGACTAGCCTGCCTATTAGCTAATTTATTTTTATAGCTCACAACCTTTTTGCGACTATCCCAACTGCTGTGCAAAGTGAACTTGATTAATTATAAATTCTAAACTGATTCGCGGCTAATAACCATAATTATGTTCGCTCGTTGCCTCGAATCACTGTGTGCCCACTTGACACACATTTATGGCCGCTCTTGTGCCCAATCTGTCGGATGCCGCACCTTGCGGAGCAGATATATCTCCGGATCGGAGCACCAGAGAGCAAGGTGCAGGAACAACGCCCCAAGAAGCCCTCGACCCCGAAGCCGGTGGCATCGATTTTAGAAAGTCCGCCGAGCATTAAAACGGTAAAGCCGCCGACGTCGCCAAAGCCTTTTCCTTTTGGCCACTCCGCCGCGTCAGGAGCGGAAAAGCAAAACGCCAGCCCGAAATTCAAAGCCTATATATAACTCGATGGCAAAGGCAGCCGCATAAATTTCATTGCAGACATTTGGCCTTTTATTAATTGTTTGACGGCGCCCGTGCCCATGAAGCATCCCCTCCTCCTCCTACTCCACCAGCTCCTCCGATCTGGAAACCCTCCTCGATACCCCGCTCCTCCACCTGCAAGCCCAGGCAAGAACCAACCCAGGTGAAGCGGCAGCTTCGGGAGCAGCCACTGCAACTGCGCTTTCCTCTCTCTGGGCGTGATGAGAAATTTAATATTGGCAAACGGATAAAACCGCCAGATAATTATACATTTTGAGTGGCCAAAGCTGCGGACTTGGACTGCACAGTTCGGAGTCTTTGGTTTTCGGTTTTGGCTTTGGCTTCAGCTTCAGCTTCAGCTTTAACTTCAGCTTCAGCTGCGGCTTTACAGTTCATGCGCCTCATGATAGTATAAGATTTCATTTCATTAAAGTGCATCACGACGGACAACGGCCAATGGACGGCAGGCGGAATCAATGAGCGGCGGCTACATAGTTTCCCCCAAATCCCCGCGGATTGCCAACCCAGACCCATTCCCTGCTAGGCAGCTACCAGCAAGGAACACTGAAAAAAATGGTGATTACCTGTCCTCAAACACACAATAAAATTAATTTAAATATAACCAATGAGCAAAGCAATAAAATATAAAAAGTAATACAGGGTTTTGCGAAAAAGTAAAGGGACAAAAAGATTAATGATACTCTCATAAATACAAAGGTAGAAATTTAAAAGGTATACCATTTTTTCTAGTGTACCTACCTTGCTTACTTTTCTTCTTATTGGCAGATTACGACGGCGGGGTGGCCGGGATGTAGCTGGGCAACTTATAATCAAATCCGATAAAAAATTTCATTATTGCTCCACAGCAGCAGCGGCAGCAGCAGCAGCAACAACAAAAACCATAACTGTTTTACAGGTAATTTTGCTGTTGTTGTTATGATTGTTGCTGGCTGCACTTAATTTTCGCATGCGCACTGGAAACCGAGCCGCGCAGCAGCTCATGATCGCGATTTCTTGATCTTCCGTCTTCCCATCCCATTCCACCAGTCCGCTCCATCCCAGAATTGAAACCTCCCAACGCAGCCCCCACCGAATCCCCACCGAATGGAACTTTTCGCTCCCGTTCGTGTGCGGACGCCATTTTGCGATTGGGATTGGGTTCTCAGAGGCAAGCGGTTGGATCTATAGCCATGGCTATAGCCATGGAGCCACTGGAGGTCAGTTGGGTCCGCAGGAATAGAAAGAAGCTTTGATTCGAAATGGCAATCTCTGGCCTATCGCAGCCGCTGCTCCGGCAGCACATAAATTGGGACGTGATTATGAAATAATTGCAATTCTGTACTTTAGACTTGCGCAACTCAGCAACTCAGCCAAAAGGCAAGCCACTCAGAAAACAAAGTGGATCTTGTCTTGGAAAATGGAAAATATATCGCAACAACTCCAGATGCATAGAAAATTGCTGTATTCGAACCTAAAGGTGAAACGCATATTGTGAAAACCATCTTATGATGTGTGAATACAAGTGATCTTATTTTTCACTGTGGAAAGGCAAAAAGGCAATCAGTTTGCCCGCTGGCTTCGATTTGCACCTTGGGGAGCAACGGCGACCACTTCAAACGGGAGCAGGTGACAGGCGACAGATGAGTTTCAGTGTGATGAGGAAGCAGCAGCGATATCGGCAACAGCAACATCCACAGCAGCAATAAGTTGCTGCTGCTGCTGTGAAACTGTCGCCAGCAAATCAAAAGAAATCGCTCTGGAATACGCAACTGCCATTAAATTAACGCAAAGAAACCGCTTTCATTCATTAGAGGTTTCAAGGGAACTGTAACCGCAATCTAATCAGGTTTTTCACAGCCTTCACAATCAATTTAATTCAACATGAGAATAATGAAACTTGAGATTAAAAATCCTATAAAAATTAAGAAGGATTGCCATTTTTAAATTCCCTAACATGATCGTAACAAAATAAGTGCAATAATCCTAATTTAGTTTAATTTCCAATGGATTTCCCTTTAAGTTTCTATCAATCCAATCATTCATAAACCTACTCCACCCACAGTTTCAGAGCCACTGCCTTCGTGACAAATCCCTCTTGTCGACATTACACCTGATCCACGTGGAACTCCCCCGACTCATTTGCATCTTTGAGCCCCCGAGGGGCCTCCTGGTCAGCCTGGTCGTCCGCCAACATATGCAAATTAAATATAATTTCAACACTCGCATTTTTGTTGACTCTGCTGCCGACGGCTCCTCCGCCTCGGGTCCATAATTTACATGAGGTTAACACGCAAGCGAACAGCAGACAACAACAAAGAACCGGCCTTGATTATCAGCGGCAAATCGAATGCACGCACATGCGAAGGATGCTGGAGAGGATTCGGGAGGGGCATGGGACTCGGGAGCAGGGGATCTGGGGCAGGGGCAACCGCCGAAAAGGAAGTCAAGTTTGAAAAGGCTGAAAGAAATTCTATTACAATGTTGAAATATTGCCAAATCATGGCTTTGGGGTAAATAAATTTCCACGCCACCACTCGCCATGACCGCTGAACCGGGATGGATGGAAATGGAGGATGGATTCGAGGCTGGAGGATGAAATACATAGATGCTGGTACACAGAAAATAATTCGATGATTTACAACCATTTCAGTTTACGACTTACTATAACGTTTTAATTAATTTATGAGATATAAATTTTAGTACCCTATAATAAGCACGTAAAATAAAATGTTATGATATTAAAATATATATATTTATGAGTATACACATATGTATCTTTTACTATCTTTGCACATCAGCAATATGGAAGGTTAGAAAAATGTAAAGCTTATTAATTGGATCGTAAATTCAACTCGAGTGCGAGTTGCATTTTAGCAAAGATCATGAAAGAAATATAGAATGTAATGATTGAATGTATGAGTATGACGCCCAATACAAAAAGATATATTTCTTTCTCTGTGATCAGGAGCACCAGGAGCGGGCATGGAAGCTAAAGTCCCTGGCCGTGTATAAATAAGTAACCTGATCCCAGCAACACGCTGCCTGACAGGGGCCCAAAAACGGCACACAGCTTCGGCTCGGATGGTTCGGGACTGAGATTGGGACGGGGTCTGAGTGCGAGTCTGAGGCTGGGGTCCCAATGCATCGCAACGGATCGGATCGGATGGGATCGGAGTAAAGCGGAACCCGTTTGGAGCTTCTGCAGCAGCAGCGTCTTGCGGCATTTTGATTTATAGGCGATTTATGCACTTGGCTGCCGCGGTGGGAGTGGAACTCGAACTGGAAGTGGAAGTGGGAGACGTCTTGACCGAATTCATGAGCAGACAGCTGGCCAGGGTTTATTACATATTACACGGTACATATCATAAGGTAAGCCTCGACAGGCGCGGGAATTTTCAGTATTATCGTATGCGCTAGGCGCACTCACAATGTTTTCGTTTGGAAAGCATTCGAATTCGTGTTGGCTAATACAAGTTTTCTAAGGCAACGCTGCGGATGCGGAGGCAGGCATCTTATCATCTCTTATCACGGCCGCCGCTTATCTCGCTGAATCAACAGCAACGTTGGCCATTAGGCGCTGGCAGTGGGTGCCCTGTTGGCAAAGAACCACATCAGGCCCATCAGACAGCTGGGCGGGCTGTTGTTCACGGCTCCCTGCTGGATCATCCGCTTGGCCTCCTCCAAGGACAGCTCCACCACCTCGATGATCTCGTCGTCGACTCCGCCGCCACCGGTGGCCTTGTCCGCATCGGTCACCTCGCAGTAGTACATTGCTTGCTTTGCTCCCGATGAGCCAACACCAGATCTGTAAATTAAATAAGGGTTACAAGGGTATTTACTCGCACATCTAGTACATTTGCAACCATAAAATGTCTAGGTTATCTTCATATCTTTCTGTTTTCATATTTTATTTTCAAACCCATTTCCCGTTGAGGTTAATTAAAGAAGGTTCCTCAAATTGTTTATCCATTTTTTTTTTTTTTAAGTCAATCAAAGTTGTTAGAGCTCGTTGTTAGGGAATTTTTTGAAAAATCAATTAAGTATTTCAAAAAACTCAACTGCTAATGCTCTTCAAATAAAGAATACATATTTAAAAGAAAATCTCCTATTGGCTAAAACTAGAATACATGGTACAATTATGGGATATTTGAACTCCGAGTAGAGTTTAAGAACGAGTAGTCGCATATTTACCACTTTTAAAAACTCTGAAATATTTTTTTTGTTTTACCAATCCAATACCCACTTACCGGTAGACCATGACCTCCTCGATTCGCTCCACGGGGACATCGTAGCCGCACTCCTCCACCACCTCCTCTCGGGCGATCTCCACCCAGCTCTTCGACTTGTCCACGATGCCTGCGCACAGCTCCAAGGTGACCCCAATGGCGGGCGGGAACTCCTTGAGGTCCACCTTATCGAAGGTGCCCTTTGCGCTGGAGATAATCCCGTGGTAGACGGCGGGTCGGAACTGGCGCACTAGGACCAACTTCTGACGAGAGGTGTTGTACAGGATGATGGCCACGCTATCGTGCACCTTAAGCAGGTCCCAGTTCTTCTCCACGCCATTCTGCACATAGTACAGCCGGAAGGGTTTCACATAGGGCGAATCCTCTGGCAGCGGGCCTAGCCAGACTTTGGATACGTTCTCCATGCTAAATACTTGGACGTGGGACTTGAAAACACGGCAGTGGTACTACAATCAGCTGACTGTCAAATCTCCAACCGGCGATGGGGAGCCGCAACCAGATGATAGCTTTAGCTCACGGGAGCGCAGTCTGAGCTTTTTAAACGTTTAAGGCCAGGCCGCGTATGGTAACACTATAAGAATTTAAAAAGTTCGTTATTTCTCAAAAAAAAATTTTTGGACTTAATTCAATAGATAAACAGTGAACAATAACATTGACAGCGACAAAAATCAATAGAAATGACATAAAAATTTGCCGAAATAGAAACGCAGGTATTTTATAAAATTTATTAGAAAAGCTAGCAGCTTGGGAATTTCCGCTTTAAAATAAAAAAAAATTGTTAAAGAAATGAGCCCTGCATATGCATAAGATATTTGCAACAAACTTTATTGTGAACCTTCAACAAATTTTAAGGAAATACTAATTAGAAACCTTAGGAGCCTTGTGGAGAAAAAACCATAATAATCCCACCATACAGGAAGGTCCACCATTAGTGGTGGCGCCTGTTTCGACCAGCTTTCGCGACTGCTCCAAGGACATCTCCACCACCTGGATTTCCTCATTATCTACACCACCACCTTTCGAGATTCGTTGTTCATCACACACTTCACAATAATACATGGACATCGAACTACTAGAAGTTCCAATACCCGATCTGTAATCATATACAAGCTCCAGATCTTCTGTGGGTACATCGTACCCACATTCCTCCAACACTTCCTCTTTGGCGATTTCCGCAACACTTTTATCCTTGTCCACGGCGCCTCCACAAAGTTCCAAGGTAACTCCAACTTCGGGAGGAAACTTCTCCAGATCTGCTTCTCCAACTGACATTTTTACACTGTCAGCAGAATAAATTCCCTGGTATACGGCTCCCCTGAATTGACGAACGAATATCAGTTTCTGCCGAGATTTGTTGAACAACACCACCACCACACCATTCAATGTTTTTATAATGTCTACGTGCTTTTCAACATCATTTTCAATAAAATGTAGGCGACCTGGTTTAATCCAGTCAGAATTCTTTGGAAGAGGTCCAAACCAAATACGCGATATACATCCGGGTTGCTTTTCAAAACTCGATGATGATGACCAGGAGCGACGAACGCATTTAAAAAGCTTGAACATGTTTTCTATTTTAAATAAACATTTTAAAATCATAGAAATACTTTTGAGTTACTTTTCAAAGAGAAATGCCAAAAATAGTCTAATAAAAGGAAATTACAAGTTATTAAAAAATATAAAAAATATTGTTTAAGTTTGGACAGCCAATAGTTTAGTATTTTGTTAGCTGCACGTCCGGTATAATTTTATCTCGTCCGCTGGTCACACCTCGCGCATTTTTTCATCAAAATTTCGGGACGGAAGTCGGTGCGTAGACCCATTGCCCATTCAAGTTAGATAATAGCTCTTAAACCACGATCTCCGCACCTGCAGCTGGATACGAAACCGATAGATCCATAGGCAAGCGAACCACAAGACGAACATGCTCCGATCCCGACTTATCCAGGCGGCTAGCTCCGCCCAGCGAGCGTTCTCCACCAGCCAGAAGGCGCTGGCGGCCAAGCAGATGACCGTGCGGGATGCCCTCAACAGTGCTTTGGACGAGGAGCTGGAACGCGACGACCGGGTCTTCATTCTCGGCGAGGAAGTTGCCCAGTACGATGGTGCTTACAAGGTAGGCCCCCGTTATTATCATTTTTCCCGTCCCCTGATTACGTAAACACCATCAACCAGGCGTTTGCGATGACAGCTGATGCAGGTGGTTAGGACAGGGGAAATCGGTGGGCAGAGGGTGATATATGCGTGCTATATGTAACTACTGATAGTGATTTGGAATAGCAGTGTACGAATCTGAATGCGTGATCGAAATTGACAAGGTCACGCAGAATGTGTGTGACTGTCTGCTGATAATATTAGATTGCCCCATAAAATCGCGATTTGTTTACGTATCTGTATGCGGCTTTGGTAGCCGGCATATGTTTATTGTAAGTTTTCCCTATTGATGACTAAAATTTGGTTACAACTTTGGGAGAAATTAACAAATTTTAAATTAAAATTAATATCTAACAATAGACAGTTACTTTCTGTAGGAATAGGAAAGATGAAGATTATAGAATAATCACTCTCTATTAAACTATAAATTGTAACCTTGTGTTTAATATTTGCCGTTCCTGTTTTAGGTATCCCGTGGCCTGTGGAAGAAGTACGGCGACAAGCGTGTCATTGATACGCCAATCACAGAGATGGGCTTCGCTGGCATCGCCGTTGGAGCTGCCATGGCTGGTCTGCGTCCCGTGTGCGAGTTCATGACCTGGAACTTTTCCATGCAGGCCATCGATCACGTAAGTCCTGTCATCCTCTCCCTAAGAAACACTTCCCGCACTCCAGCAGTTGGCTAACTACTCATATTATCTCATTGCCAAATGAAAAAGAGAACACGAATATCCAATTCAAATGCCCAAACTCCACTAGCTAGCTAATAGACCAATTCAAGTGCAAGATCGCGGCGCCTAATGGGATAATATGGGTGGATTAGCTCCTGCCCCCAGTCATAGATCGGACCTCACTAATCCCCACCCATATTATCCGATTACGTGCAGGCGAAGATACTCGGCTGTGTAAGGCCGCCAGTTGGTGATCGCCCACTGCCCACCAGCCGCATAATAGAGAGTCCTCGTTCCACCTGGTTGAACGAAATCAACGACATTGTGCACAGAGATCGAGTGGGCGAAGTGATTGCCCCGCCAATGGACAGAAGCAAGCCTGACAAAATGGAGGCTGCTCGTCTTATTGTCATCCGGCGGCGTAAGATGAAGAAGCACAAGCTCAAGAAGCTCCGCCGCAAGATGAAGTTCGAGTGGGCCAAGGTGCGCCAGCGCCGCGAGATGCGCAAGGAGAAAGCCTTCCAGGCCAAGCTGATGGCCCAGATCAAGCAGGCCGAGGCCTTCAGTGCGGAGCAGCACGTGGCCGATGTCCTGCGACAAGCCAACGAGACACCACTTCCGCGTTTCTGGAAGGGACGTCGCCTGCCAGCATTTATCATTAAGCAGAAACTAGGCATAAAGTGAAGATCGAGAAAGAAGTGGAGTTTAAACAATAAAGTGCGAACTGTATTAAGTTGAATTGTAGAATTGGCAGTTAGAGGGAGGATCATACAACAAATAAACATCCCATATACCAATTTAATATAATTTTATAATCCCCGATCCTAGATCATCAACTCCGCCGCCAAGACATTTTACATGTCCGCCGGTGCAGTGAACGTGCCGATTGTGTTCCGTGGTCCCAATGGAGCTGCTTCCGGAGTGGCTGCCCAGCACTCACAGTGCTTCGCCGCTTGGTACGCCCACTGCCCCGGCTTAAAGGTCATCTCGCCATACGACTCCGAGGATGCTCGTGGCCTGCTGAAGGCCGCCATCCGTGATCCCGATCCAGTGGTGTTCCTGGAAAACGAGTTGGTCTACGGCACCGCTTTCCCCGTGGCCGACAACGTAGCCGACAAGGACTTCGTCGTGCCCATCGGCAAGGCGAAGATCATGCGGCCCGGCAAGGACATCACCCTGGTGGCTCATTCCAAGGCGGTGGAGACGTCGCTGCTGGCAGCCGCCGAGCTTGCCAAGAAGGGTAGGATTTGGTGTTCTTTGTATAATTAAATATAAACTAACTTTTGGTTTATTTACCATTCAGGCATTGAGGCCGAGGTCATCAACCTGCGCTCCATTCGTCCCCTGGATACGGCAACCATATTCGCCTCCGTTCGCAAGACCCACCATCTGGTTACTGTGGAGAATGGCTGGCCCCAGCATGGTAAGTGACTTAGGGCACGCAGCTTATAATGAAATAGGTAAACTCACTGTCACTCGTTCTTCTTCTTCTAATATTATCCTAAAAGGTGTTGGAGCTGAGATCTGCGCCCGCATTATGGAGGACCAGACCTTCTTCGAGCTGGACGCCCCCGTCTGGCGCTGTGCCGGCGTGGATGTGCCGATGCCATACGCCAAGACGCTCGAGGCGCACGCCCTTCCCCGCGTTCAGGATGTGGTGGACGCGACCCTGAAGGTTCTCGGCGGTAAGGCGGGCAAGGCTGTGGCTGCTGCCAAGTAAGAGTAGACTTCTAGTCGACCTTCAGCAAATCACTACACCGAGCTAAATTAATTCTTTGTCCTCGTTGTAACGCTGCCTCTGGTCTAACCGAGCTGCCTCCAACTTTAGTGCACCGAACTGGAATCCGAAAACGGGAAATTGAATTGTTTGGAAATTAAACAGCACCAAAAATGATGTTTATTTTTCAAGCGTTCTAGTTTAATTATTTGGTTATAGAAATCTCTTGTGAAAATAAACGAAACCTTTAAACATACTCAATATTGATTTTAAATTTTTTTGTGTTGGTTTTTTAAATAGTTAGTAGATTGAGTTAGTAAATTCAGTCCTTATCACCATTCTACTTTTTTAAAAACTGCGCGAACCTATTCTGCAGCCCTAAGATCCTCGCCGCTGTGCAACACTGCCTCTCACCCACACACTCTCGAATGCTGCCCAACACTGCTTCTTTCTACGCAACGATATTGGGCTCAAAAAACAACATCGATAGGCAGAAAAAGTGTAAATCTGCAGAAACAATAACAATAGATGCGATGCTCTAGCTGTAATGGCAAGCAGCTCCAGCTCAGATGAAAGCTGCAAGGCGCCCGACAATTTCCGCATCTCGAGTGCCTCCACAAACGGCGAGGACGAGGAGACCAGCGATGTCGCAGGATACACAACAAAGCGCAGGCCAACAGCCAAGGACCTGCTGAAGGATGCGAGTGCCAAGGATGCAGACGTCACCGCGGGATCGGGTGGCCATATGCGGTGCCCGTTGTGCCACAGTTGTAGTGCTAGCCGATTTCACTGTCGCAATTGCGTCAGAAACGGAAACATTACTCACAGCCAGGCGGAAAGACCCGAAAGGTTTGCTAGCTAACGCTCTTATCTGGAAAAGCCATGTAATCTGGATCGATCTTTCTACATTTCAGCCTGACAGAAAAACAGCAACGCTATATCAACCTGCAGGCGGGCCTCAAGACCTTTAGCACGCGCTACGAACGCCTCATCGAGCAGCACCGCTCCAACGAGGATCGCCTAATGGCCATTAAGGCCAAGCGCAAGCAGTTGGAGCTCCTGCAACAACTTATCTCTGGCACAGGCCAGAGACTACGAGTCCTGGGCGAGCGACGCGACGAGCTACGTCGGGCGAATGCCGAGAAGAGAAAAAACCTACCCAAATATCCAGACAAAGTAAAAATGCTTGAGGATTACGTGTTGGATAGAGTGGAGAAAATAGATAAACTAAGGGAGACCCACCTGGGTCTTTTGGACAGCATCAAGCAGGCGGCTCGGCGGGGCATCCACCAGTTGGTCACCTATGTTTTTCCTATCGCTGAGGTGGTGCTCAAGGAAGAGCAGCAGCGCCGAGCTAGTGTGGAGCGCAGCGAGGAGGCTGAAACAATAGCAGCTCTGGCAGACGCCAAGAACACTTCGTACATACGTGGAAAATGGGTTTTCCACGGCAGTGGGATCAGTGAGGTCCAGTACAGGATAGTGGGTCCTTCGTTGCCCGCCAATGGCGACTATACTGCCTATCTGGACTGGCTGGCGGACAACAAGGATGATGTTCCGAAGGCCACAGCTAATGAGATTACGCCCAGTCGGTTTGAAGCGTACCGCATAGTGGGCGCTCTTACCTACACAGCGCAGCTGACGCAGTTGCTCAGCTTCTACCTGAACGTGCGGCTGCCGCACAAGATAGCCTACGGGGACTTCTGTCGTAAACTTCTCAACGAGGAGCAGTTTCGACGCAAGATCTCGCGTCTCAACTCCAATATCATGTATCTGGCCTACACGCAGCAGGTCAAGCTGCGCGCTCTCAACGAACAGCATACGTTGGAGAACCTGCTGGCCATCCTGGATCTAGAGCGCAGTGATCTGGGTCGGTTCGGACATCTAGACGTGACGAATGCGCCACTCATGAAGTCGGTGGATTCCCTTTTAATCGGTATCGAAACGGCGACGGAATCGGAGTCCGAGGGTAAGTTTGCCTTTCTGTAAAAAAAAAATTATAAATACATTTAAAAACGAAATCCTTGAATATAAAATGAGATCAGAAAACAGGACTGATTATCCATAACTTAAAAAAATTATAAAAAAATAAAAATAACAACCTTCTCCCACTCCTTTTCAGATGAGAACTCCCTGCGCATGGATTGGGAGGCAGTGCCCAGTCTTACTCCGCAACCGGAGTTGGCGGATCCCAATCTGATGCCGGCGGCCAACCAGCAGTCCACTATCGCCTTCGTGCGTATGGCGGCCACGTCGGTGCTCCGATGGATCAAGTAATCAGGCCCGCCCGCCAGATCCTTCGGCGATATCATCATCAGGCACGTGTGTTATCTTTTACAAATTAGGCTAAGTTATAGTTTCTGTGACAGCGTGCCGGAGTTTGCCGGCAGTCGCTGCTTTTAGCGTTATCTTTTGGTTTACAGAACTAATTTTTCTATCGATTCTATATGCATATACATATACCAGCTGTGTGAAAATAAGGAGTCTTTGATTTACTTTTATTACATAACTTATTCGCCTTTATTTAATAAAAATGGTTCTCTATAAATAAATATATATATATATAAATTTGCTTTATTAATGCTTGCAAAGTACACTGACTTAGTGGGTAAACGACTCAATGGGGAAACAAAAATTAAACTCGTGCAAATGATTGGAAGGCAGACATGGCTGCGAATGAAACCTACCTAGAACCAGCCCTAGAATCTTAGATTATAATCGCAAGGGAGTGAGCTGAGTGACCCTAGCTAAATGAACTTTGTGGGCAGTTGTTGCGTGGGCGGGTGAGCAACTCCCGTGGTGGTCATCACCTCGTCGGCAGCGCTGGGTTGCGGCAGGCTGGGCTTAACAAATACTTGTGGCAGTGTGTTGGCAGAGGCTCCCACCTGGGCGGCTGACACGGACATGGATCCGTTGGCCAGTAGGTCGTAGCGCGGCGAGGCGTGGCTCATGGTGGAAAGAACTATGGCGGCTGCCATCGCCTCTTGATTGTAGAAGGCCGTCACAGCAGCCGGCAAGGGCTGCTGTGCGACCGGACCCGATTGTCATTGGCGCGACGGCGTGCTCGGTGCGGATGAACCTACTCCTGCACTTGCCTTTGGCGAGAATACCGACTGCATCTTCTTCTCCAGCTCCTTCAGATCGGACATGGTCTTCATTATGTGCGGGTCGGAGGTGAGATCGTACATGGATCCGATTGCTCGGGGGCTATTGTAGACGTACATGTTGTTCGCCTTGAATCCAAGCGATCCATTGACCTGTCCCACGGCTCCCAAGGAATGTCTCCCCTTGTTTTGAGTCTTACTCTTGGGTTTTGGCGCGATTTTCTGCTGAGGCTTCGAGGCAGGGAACACGCCCACGATCTCAACACCATCCGATTCGCTGCTGCTCTCCCTGCCCACCGGCGTCGTGGTTTGGGCAGCCTTCGAGGTGGACGTGATGACGGTGGTGGTGGCAGCCAGCTGCTTGGACGTCTGTAGTATTTCGCTGGGACATTGGTAATCATCCAGGTTAATCACATGCGGTGATGGCCGCGGTGCCACGATCACTTTAGCCTGGCCGTCGATGGAAAGTGGACTGGGGTTTTTTCTTGCTGCCAGCGTGGCTGCTGTTATCAGATTGTAAAAATTACTACTGCTGTTAAGGTCAATTTTCCCTCTGGGCGATGCCAGATCGAGAACCGTACTCGCAGCTGCCACCGCAGCAGCATTTAGGGCAGCTGCCTGCGATGAGGTGCTTGGCATCGAGAGCAGGGTGTCCAGGTGGGGCAGGTGGTTATTGTTATTGGTAATGACTGGCACACTGACCGCCGCGGTGGCAGCCGGCGCCAGCTGGAATTGCGGATGCGTTTGCAGTTGCGGCTGTTGGGTCAACTGCTTGGCAACCTTCTTCTTCGGCGGCTTAGTGGTTTGCAGCGGTATATCCTTCAGCTTTCGCTTTAGGCTGTTTGAAGAGGCACTTGTAGCTGAGTCCGTGTCGGAGTTTCCGCGAGATCGGGGTTCCTCCGCTGTCTTTAGATAGCTGCTTGCCTGCGGCATTTGCTCGGCGGCAGGTGCAGCAGTAAATAATTTTGGGGATGCGGATACTGCTGCCGCCTTTGCTTTCTCCTTGGCCTTCAGTCTGGCGTTCTTATACCGCGTTATCTCCCGCTGCAGCTCATCCAAGCGCATCCAGCCGGTTGGCCACAGATCCACAACCTTCTCCTTAAGATACCAGTTGATGAACTCCTCCAGCGAATCCTTTCGCTTGGCCAAAAAGGCGTAGGAGGTCCACCGCGCTTGATAGACATCGTACAGGAGTTGTCTCAACTCGCTCGTCCACTGGAACTTTTTCCGTGGCATCTTCGGTGGCAGCTCTGAATTTACATCCGCGGCTCTGAAAAAAAATTACGTTAGATTGATTTTGAAGAATTTTGGCTGCCGGAATCTTACGCCTGTTCCGCAAAAGCACGCAATTCCGTTTCGTAGTTGGCTATCGCCTTTGGCATGACCACAGCTACAGCTCGCCGCAGTTTTTCCAGCATGCTGTTGGTCTTTTTCTTCTCCTCCTTTGCGCGCACTTGCTTTCCTTTTCGCAGCATGTAGTATTTGGGCAGCTGCAGCTGGTACTCGATGTGGGAGAACACCATATTTCGCTCGTTGCGATCCGTGCACAGCACCGCTTCATAGACCCTGCAAAAGGATTATAGGATTATAGGGTATTGATGAGAACCTCGGCTTTTGTCTTACCGAAGCAGCAGTGGAGTCAGTCTGGCATCCAGGTTAAACTTCTTGCCACACATGTCTCGACTTCTAACCGCTTCCTTAAAGCTGTTGACTGCGGTCATAATGTCCGCATCCAGCGTGGTAGGCAGTAACGTATCGGCGGTACGAAGATCTAAAAGGAAAATGATAAGGTGAAACGTGTATAATTAGTAACTTTTGAAATATAAGTTTCAAATTATTTCAAATTAGTCAACTAGTACAAATAATATTCAAAAAATGATTCCAGGTATACGACTGCATTTTTTAGACTTTTTAATAATAGTAATTTTGTTACTTACTTTCCTGTCCCTCCTTGCCTTGTTGGGATGCCTGCCTGTCACTCCGACCTTGCTCCGATTCCATATCGCTGCTATCGGGACTCGACAGGTCAGATGAGATGCACTTTAGCTCGCCGTTGACTCCCTTGGCAGGTGCCGCGCCGCTCTGCGACTTAAGGAAGTTATCCCGCTTGGCCTTCAGCATATCTTTTACCGTTGTGGTCTTGACCACCTTCTTCAAGGCTTGAGCCTGAGCCTGAGCTTGAGTCTGCGGCTGTGGCAGTCCCTGAAGAAGCTGATTTTGTGGCTGAATCTGGGACTGGATCTGAACGGGCCGTTCTTCCGTGTCGGAAATCTCCACCGTACTGGGTCGTGGCGAATTTGAGGATGAGGAAGTGGTGATCGGCTTTGCCGGTGGCTTTTTGCTTCCCGCTACAGAACTGGAGCTTGGCTTGGGCTTACCCGTAACGAGAACCTTCGGCCGCTTGGCCACATGATTGTCTTTGTACTTCCCGCTAGATTTAACTGTGGCAGCAGAGTCCTCGTCATCGAGACTTTCGCTCTCGGAGTCATCCTCGGAATCGCTTTCATCCTCCTCCTCGTCATCGTCCTCGGAATCACTTTCCTCATCCTCCTCGTTGTTATCATCATCATTTTCGTCGTCATCGTCGGATGAAGATGAAGACGAGCTTTCTGAGCTGGACGAGACCATGCGCTTGCGCGATCGCTCCGGCATTTTGATGATGGCATCCGTTCGCGTTGTATAGGACTTCTTGGTAAGGTTCTTGAACTCTAGGGCGCCGCAATTGATGTAAAATCCGCCTTCCAGGGTCTCCGCCTCCTCTGGGATGATCTCGTCGTACTAGTAAGCAAAGAAAAATTTAAAAGTTTGAGATAAATTCGTTAAATATTTAACCAATTTGTTGAAAAGATAACAAAAGTGCATGGCACAAATTATTCTTATAAAACTTAAACATATTCAACTTCATCTTACAGCTTCCGTATTGTCAATGAAGGAGTCCGACTCGTCATAGCCCATTCCAATGTCCCGGTAGTCGTCCTTTTTGCTCTTTCCCCTGCCAGTGGCATAGGAGTTTCCGTACTTGGCCTCCAGTTCCTTAACGATTCGAGCCACATCGTCATCGTTGTCTGCAAAGGGATCAGTGCCGGTGGATCCATTGCACGTTGTCACCTGCTTAAGCTTTTTAGCTTTTTTCTGTTGGAAATGGATGTTAAGAAGGTGATACACTAGGCAATTTAAAGTTTCACCTTTTCCAAGTACAAAAGCCGGGAATAGTTAAACTCGGGATACTTATTCGAATCTGTCTCGAAAAGATCGAGCTTGATGCGGATGCACTTGGCGGGCTTGGTCGCAGGCTTGGAGTTATTGTTAGGTCCTGCAGCTGAAGCGTCCGGCTCCAAGAAGTTACTGCCAAATCGCGAGAAGCCCGCATCGCCCTGTATGATCGAGGTGAGGGTGACGCGCTTATGCTCGCCCCCCTCGACATTTCCGGCGGGCGGAATTACGGATTAGTAGGTTTATTCAAACCAAAGGGCCTTCCCGCCCTTTTTCTATAAAAGAGCCGCGTGTTCTGGCCCGCTCTCACTCTCTTTCTCTCTTCCTCTCGCAGCCAAACAAAAACAACTGAGACTTCGGTGCTCCTCCTCCTCCTTTTCCTTCTTCTCCTCGTGCTTCCTCTTCTTGTGGGGATGTCTGTTTTAGGTTTTCTGCACGTACACCAAGCAACCACTTATTAACCGTAGCAATTTCACTTTTAACTGCACTTAGCTGGCCCACAAATACCGTTTATCAACATAAACAAATAGAGGACCTGCGCCGATTGCACTACTTTTATCGCCACTCTTTATTTGCCGCCCGCTTTGCAGCTGCATCCGCCTACCACGGCCACGAATAATTGTCACTTTTCTGGGGGAAAGAAAAAGTGGAAACTTTTTGGAGGGGGGTTTCCAAATTGCAGAGCTCTGCCGGCACGAAAACAATACAATTTTTATCGGCAGAGCACCGGGCACTACACACACTCGCTGGACACGATCAATAGGGACATTTAGACGATTGGGCCAAGCGCTTTTCGCACGGCCAAGAGCGCGATTCTTAAATTGTTTCTTATTAAAATCCGTCCTCAACGCTACATTCTCTCCGCTCCACCCCTCTCCTACCAATCCGACCCTGCTTTTGGCTATCGCTGCCGCGTTGCGCAGCACTGGTCGCGTTTTTCGCAATTTACAAAGCAGGAGTTCACACTGCGCGTTGTCTTACTGCGCTTTGCTGCAGCAATCTCCTGTTTATTTTTGCACTTCTTTTTAAAGAAAGTTAGTAAAATAACTTTTAAAAACTTTTGTAATAAAACTTCTTTAATGTAGTTTGATGTTGTTATGATGAACTTTTAGAAAAGAATAACTTTATTCGTATTAGATATTTGTTATAAAAAGGGCCTTACAACAATGTCCTTGATTATATGATCGTAATAATATATCTGGAGTTACCACAAAGTTGTAAAAAAACGCATGTTAAAGAAATTATAAGTTCGAAAATTGTTGTTTAAAAGTTCAAGCTTAAATCTCAAATAAGCTAATCCTTAAGATTTTTCTTCTGCAAGCCAATTGGTTTTCCAACCATATAGTGGTTTGAGTATTAAAAAATTATTTTCAAGCCTGTCTTGAAATTAAAGCAACCTGGTGCTTCATGTTCGAAGTGCTTTTAATTTCGACAAATCTTAGTTATAAAAACATATTTTTATTTCACTTTTAATTGTATTAAATTAAATTATACTGCGCTTGTGCACCTTGTGCACTTAAGTCAGTGCGAACGCGTCCTAATTCGCAGAGGTCCGCAAGCTTTTTAAAAACTAGCTAGATCTGGCTTGCAAGTGATTAACTCCAGCACTAGCTGCGATGCATCCCTATTCAGTGCGCACATTCTACATACATTTTAGGTTTGTTTTGGCCGCAAAGCGCTGCTACCCAACACTGACGGAGACAGCTGCTCTTTAGTTTGGGGCCGCGGGTGGGGGCCAGTTTTTGGGGCGACTCAGTTTTTTTACGTGTGTGGAGCTGTTTACTTCGCTCCGTGGAAAATCCAGTGCTCGCTTTTTAATTAACGTAAGTGCAAGTGAATCGTAGTACGTGAGGAAGGGGGTTTAGTATTATGCGCCCGCTCCACCAAAAAGAGTTTGCATGCACAGAAATTCGAATTTGGTCGAAACTGCAAGCTGTTATTATAACGGGAATGGCCAGTGCTTGTTATCGGGTGAAAACGATTAGGATTGTGCAATTAACAAAAGTGTGCCGTGCTGCTCTTTGCACAACACAATCCCCAAGTGGTACAACACACACATAAATACTTATGCTGCTTTTTATGCTTGCAGCCCCCACTTTATGGTTTTATATATGAACTGTATATATTTATCCAACGAGTGCAAGTGACCGACGTCCGAAAGAGCAACGTACGGAGCTCCAACAAAGGCTTCCCGCTTTTAGTGGTCCGGTGACTTTCGCCAGAGCAGTTATTCCGTCCCAGGAATCAAGCTAAACAAAAGGCACCCACCCCCACTTGAGAAAACAGTGTCATGAGACAATAAAGGAGCATAAACAAAGAAAGGAAAAGCGAGAAGACGAGTGGAACTCCTTTGTCGCATCTCCAAAGAATCGCTTGGCTCTAAAAAAAAGGTGAGTAATATCTCCATTACTAAATTACTGGGGCCTTGTACTTGTAGCTCTAAAACTACAAGGAGAAAATGTTCAAATCGGAAACAAGAGACTACCATTATGCGATAAGAAACTGTTAGGGCGCTGTCTTATATCTTTGGTGACGAGTCAAAGGCAAATGCAGTGTACATTTGATTTATTGAAATTCAGAGGTGTACAATTACCTTTTTAATAATTCTTCAAAAAATATAAATTACTTTGATATCATTTATTTAGCTGAACCAATTTCACACTTCAATTTTTTAAAATCATTTTACAATAAATTTTTATTATTTAGAGCTCTCACTGTACCACTGGTGAAATGACAAACTAGTCTCCACACATGAAATTGCAAACCCCCATTCCTACACTGAAGTGGAGTTTTGGTAATCGACCTTGAAACATGTGGCCCGAGCTACCTTGCCAGCCAAAATTGGTTCTCAGTTTTTCTATGAAAAGCTGTGTTTTTCTTCTTTTTTTTGGCAATTTATCCATTAAAGGCGGCAGCGGGTTTTTCATGTTCATTGAACAGAAGCCGCAAACAAAAATATAGCGATACACATAAACAAACAACTGGCAGCAACAAGTGAGCGCACAAATTAAATTTGCTTTTAATGCGTCATTATTGCCAATTTGTGACATGCTCGAGCTCCTCCAGTTTCACTGATATTTCTCATCGTCTGATTCGTAGTTAACGATTCTTATCAGAGATCGGCGACAGGCAAGCTGTTAAATGTGAACAAACGATACTTAACCTTTTAATTACAAGTTTAATATTCGTTTATTCTTTAGCTTGCTCCTGCGCAAGATTAAGATTATACTCGGAAGTATAAACTGCATGATAACGTTATCTTATTTGTAAATAAATGGGATTTTGTATTTATGCTTATCTTTAAACAAATAAAAGGTACCTATTTATGTATATCCGAACACAAATAAAACGTACCATGGCATTAAAAGCGGTCAGTTTATTTTTGAGTAAAGGCAACACAATTCTTTTAAACGCTTTAATTCGATTTTAAACAGATTAATTAAACATTTTGTATTTTTTTTTACTTTATAAATGGAGGAAAAAACTAGTGGTCCGAACTGTGTTTGATAATAAATTTAAGTCTTTTATAAATTATTATTCTTTCATCAAAAGCTACATAGCACTTTAAAAATAAAAACGATTGAAATATTAAAGAGATAAAAGACATGTAAAAAAAATAACTTTTTTTTCAAACATAGATAATGATCATTTCAATTGTGTTCACATTTTCATTTTTCAAGCGTTTTTTCCCCAATCCTACAACCTCTAGTGACTGCCTTCACCACAATACAACCACCCACTATTCATGTCTGGTTCCATTTTTAAAACCATGACGCATCTACGGAAATAAATTACATGATATGTGCCCAACACTACAGAATCATTACCTATAGACGACAACCCATCGATGATATATATAACATTCGATTCTTCTTTGATTCTTTCAGTAAAGAGCAATGACGGAAAGCGTGGAACTGATGAACAAGTACGGCGAGCCACTGCGCTACGACCGAAATTTTACGGGCCCGCGGCAAAGGGATCGCAGCTGCACTGATATTCCCTGCCTGCTGCTTTTCGTCCTCTTCTTGGTGGGATGGGGTTTTATCGCACAGTACGCGATCAAGAATGGCGATCTTAACAAACTTTTGGTGCCCACGGACTCATTCAACAGAAAATGCGGACTAGACTCCGGCGTGCTGAACAAGCAGAACCTTTTCTTCTTCGATATGAATCAGTGTATTGATCCTATCGTACCTTTGACGGGATGTCCAACACCGCAGGCAAGTCAAAGAAAAATCATTCAATCTAGCAATTTTTAAAGGCAAAAAATTTAACTTTATCAATTTAAAATTCATAACATAATAACATAACATAATGTAACAACATATAAAACAACAAATTGAAATCCGTTTTTTAACAGGTTTGTGTGGAGACCTGTCCCAGGGAGACATTTGTTTGGGACACGATGAAGGACAAACTCAGCTTTGCGGAGCTGCACAATCGCCTCATTTGCCTCTCGGAGGAGCTCAAGGCGCAGATACGCACAAAATCGGACATAGAGAAGGCTATTCAGCAAAATCAGTGTGCGCGCTGGTACATCAAGAGTGCTCCATTCCTGAAACGATGTCTGTTTGAGTTCTCGCAGGGTGTTTGTGATTTTATACCCTCGTTCCTGCTGCAAGGTGGAAGATCGCGACGAGAGCTTCAACTGCTGTCGGGAAATGCGACCACTGAAACCCAGCTGCAAGCCCAGGTTCTGGCCATGAGCATGGCAGAGGCCCAGGCTCTAGTGGTCCCACAGGCGAATGCAAAACAGACGGCGGTGGAGGAGGAACCAATCGTACAGTGCAAGCGCAGGCTAAACGAGGCCGTTATTAAGGAAAAGATGAAGCAGACGGACACACGACTGGCCAAGCTGGTGGGCAACATGGTAGCCCACTTTTACAACGGCACTCACGATTCCCAGCGCTTGGGCGAGGAGATAGTAGAAGATCTGGTCAACTCGTGGTCGATTGTCCTGGTCGCTTGCTTCTGCACGCTGATTGCGTCTCTGATTTACATAGCTCTCATGCGCTGGCTGTCGGCTCCGATATTGTGGTTCTCCATCTTTGGTGTGCTCATCGGCCTCCTCGTAGGCATATACTACACTGTGAATCAGTACATCTTCTGGGAAAAGACCGCTACTGTTCCGATCCACAGTTATAATCTACAATCCACGGTCAAGAACGTCCTGCAAAACCAGAACACCTGGCTCTACCTATCGATTTTCGTGGGCGTGTGCTTTGTCGTTATACTGCTCTTAGTGATCGTGCTAAGAAAGCGCATTCGGATAGCGATTGCTCTGACCAAGGAAGGCAGCAAGGCAGTGAGCAGTGTGATTAGCACCGTCTTTTTCCCCATCTTGTCCTGGATACTCTTCATAGCCACTATTGCGTTCGCTATCGGCGTTGGCTTGTACTTGGGATCCATTGGAACGCCTTCCTTTAGGATGGTTCGTCAGTTGACTGAAAGTGGAGAAGTGACAAACGAGGACTGTATCTGCGAGGGTGCGGCTATCAACTACACAGTGGGTGGCTCTTGTGAACCGAAAGTATTCCAGCAAAATTGCTACGTTCGGCAGACCACATTTTTCCAGCAATCGCAGCGGTTCACCTGTTCGAAAACCACCTGCAGCTTTAACTCGATTGATAACCCGACAGCGATCAAGTGGGCCATATTCTACAACGTCTTCGGGTTCCTCTGGCTGAGCTTCTTCATTTCTGCCTTCAGCTACATGGTGCTGGCTTCCACGTTCGCCCGCTGGTATTGGACTTTTAAAAAGCGCGATGTTCCATACTTCACCCTTACCCGGGCTTTTTGCCAAACTGCTTTTTATCACTTGGGAACTGTGGCTTTCGGTTCCTTAATCCTGGCCATCGTCCGCCTGATCCGCCTGGTGCTAGAGTACATCCATGAGAAGTTGAAGAAGTACGACAATGCGGTAACCAGGGCAATTCTCTGTTGTATGCGTTGCTTTTTCTGGCTTTTGGAAACCTTCCTAAAGTTCCTCAACCGAAATGCATACATAATGTGCGCCATTCACGGCAAGAACTTCTGTTCGAGTGCCGCGGACTCATTTAACCTGATTATGAGAAACTTCCTGCGAGTGGTGACGCTAGACCAGGTCACGGACTTTTTGTTCTTTTTATCAAAATTGTTGCTAACCGCCGGCGCGGGAGTCTCCACCTTCTACTTCTTGTCCAATAATCCGGAAATTATTCAGCTACATTATAATGCTGTGCCCACAACGGTGGTGGTAATTGCCGCCTTCCTCATTACGAGTGTGTTTTTCGGAGTCTACTCTACAGCCGTGGACACACTTTTCCTGTGTTTCCTGGAGGACTGCGAGCGTAACGACGGCTCACCGGAGAAGCCGTTCTTCATGTCAAAGCAGCTAATGAAGATCCTGGGCAAGAAGAACAATCTGCCGCCGCGTCAGCGTCGCGGAAAGTAAAAGCCTCCGTCGGGAAATGGCAGTGCAAATTATGATTTAATTGAGACAAGTTCTACCTAGAATATATATATATATACATGTATGTATTTAATCTTACCCAAAATCGAAGGGGTTGTGAGCGATTGCTCAACAGGCTGCAATAGGATTTTGCATTAAATGCAAACTTGTTTGCCAATACTCTTAATCTTAAATTTAATGTATATAATACGCCAGTATCCCTATGTAAAAGTTTTTTGTGCGACGTTCGATCGGATATGTGATAGGCGCGGACCATAAAGACCAAAAGCAATAAAAACTATATGTTTTCAGACACACAATCGTACATATCTCACATTCACACAGCTTAAGTTTACGATGGTATATTACCCTTATGTATATCACTTTGATTATTATTTTCGAATTTAATAAAAATGAATATATTTGAAGTCATATTTTCTGTTTTGTTTTCTTCATTTTGTTAAAAACTTAACCTAAAACATAATCTTACCTTATTATACGATTTTCTCAGCAAAGCTCAAAAAAATTCATCTCAGAAAGTCTGATATTGCAGAGAGTAAAGACCATCGAAGCCGTTATATTAAAAAGTATCTATAAGTATTTGTGACTTAAAAAAAAATATATATATAAACATTACATACTGCCCAAAAGTTTGTTTTTACTTGAAATTAGCATGCAGAGCATTTATCCTTTGTTTTCTTCGAAGCGATTGAAAAAAACATAAATTATACCTTATAGAGTCGTGCCAGAAAAATTTAACAAGCAACATTCGTGGCAAGTTCTTTCTTCGACCTGTTACATGCTTTTCAACAATTATACTTTCATTACAAGTAACTCTCCTCGATTATAAGATAAAATTGTAAGTAGTGTGTTCAATTCAACAAATTTACCAGAAAAAAGAATATTCATTGCAAAATAGTAATATTTATCAATAGGAAAGCTGCAATAATAATATATTTCCACCATAACAGTTCTTTCATTCTTTTGTTGCCTTTAACTACAAGATAATATCTTTTAAAACGCTATCGCTGATGTTCTGCAGGTCATCATCGCCACCGATTTCATCAAAATTAAACTTATTTGAGACATTCAGTGCATTTAGGTCGTTTTCCGTATTTAAATCATAATCGAGTGACTGTAAATCCTGCAAATTAAATTGAAAACTTTTGGTAAGCAGAGAAGTAAGGAAAGGACTTAAGGAAATAAAACTCAAAACTGTAGGTTCCGCAATAAATATAGAGTGCCAGCACGATCTTTTACTTACATTTATGGTTCTATCGTTAAGCAAAAGGCGAGGTGTGTCCTGCTGCTGGGCCTCGGTGGGCGGTACCAGGGCATCCAACCGTCCAGATGGCGAGGTGCTAAGATTGAGAACATTCCGCGAAACCTCTAGGACCTTCATTACAGCTGCGCTCATGGCGACCAGAGAGCTGTTATTTTCTGAAGTACGGGGAATACGTTCGATGCGAGTGCACTCGCTGTTGCTCAGAGGAGTGAAGGGATCGCTGGGTTCCGCTGGTGAAGTTTGTGGCGAAACCACCGCTGCTCCTGGCACTGGTTCTTCATCAAAACCAAAAGAGGCTTGCATCTGCTTCCATTTGCTTCCCAAAGCTGATAGATTTGGCTGCGGCGCAGTCTTCACCTTGGATGTGTTTTTGTGGATGGTGCGCAGCATTTGCATGGGATCGTTGATCTTAGATCGGTTTAAAGTGCCATTCAGATCCATGCACGCCGACTGGTCGAGCGATTTAAGCTTACGCGCTGATCGAGGTGGAGCTGGTGCTAAAAAGGGCCGAATATAAGAATTGACAGTTTAACATTTTTATTAAGTTAAAGCTTTACCCAATAAACTGTTGCTTAAAGCATCAAATTGTTTGCCATTAAAGTCGTCCTGGAGTGCAAGACGGACTGGAGCATTGCGGCCACTGGTCCCGGCCATGTCTATCCTAATAGGGGGAGTGGACACGAACTTCGAGCTGATGAGCGAATCAAAGCGAGGAGTGGCCGGCGGAAGCAGATGTGCCCGGGCAGAGGAACTTGCGCTGCCGCTTGCCTTCTCTTTTTGGATGGTTCGTTTAGTTTCTTCAGTAAATCGTTTAACTGCACTTCAGATTGGGTCACGTCCTCTCGCAACGCTTTCAATTCAGAGGTGACAAAGGCGTTGGACTCGTTGTAGTGGTCGTTGGCATCCAGTTGCTCAGCAATTGTTCCGCTTACACGATTAAACGCATTTATAAGGGCTTCCATTCCATCCTGTTCGAATAAATCTGAGAAGAAATGGCAAAGGTTTAGAAGTTTTGGCTGACATAACCGAAGACCTCTTACCTCCTTCTGGAACTGGGTCGGAATTAAATAATACCCGCATTCCCCGTAGAGCCTTATCCACTGCCTCCTTACTCTGATTAAGCTCCGCCTGCTTAGACTGGAACAGTTCGATGGCCTCTTTGAGGCCAATCATCGAATCCTCAACGTCTAATGTCATATTACTCCGTTTTGCAACAACATGATCTACTCCAAGTGCCACGTTAGCTTCGAATTCATCCAGAAAGCTATCGTCCACTAATTGTTCCACAGGAACTTCTATGTCCTCGGACAGTTCGGCCATCATGCGTCTGATCTCTTTAGTTTTGTGCCGCAACAGGGCCGTGTTCTCCTCCAAATTGGCGATATAGCCTGAGGCATATTCCTTCATCACAGCATTTTGGCGGGCCATAACCTTGGCACTAACATGAGAAGTACCTGCCTCCAAGCCCATTGACTTCTCGCGCTGCTTAATCTGCTCTTGGATGACAAAGCCTACAAATTCCAGCAAGAAGTTGATGAACCTCATTCCTCCAGGCATGACAACCAGGTAGGACTTGATGTTAGCCCAGTGCAGCTGATGTTTCTCGTTCAGGTGCTTAAGGTACTCCACCGTGCTTGATCGGAAATTGGCCTCCGATTTCTTATCAGTGATAGGCCAAAAGAATCGCCTCTTGAACTCGGCCGGGTCCAGAAGCCGGAAAAGGTAGTGCATGACGTGAAAGAAAGCCACCTGGTTGGGCTTAAGGAACATGTCCCAGGCGAGAAGTTTTCGCAACTCATCTGGCAAAGGATGCACCAGCGCCAGGCCTTGCAGCTTCTTGTGCAACTTTTCGCTCTGCTCCTTCTCTTCGGCCCTCCAAGGCGCGATGGTTGTACGATCCATACTTTTAAATAAATATCAAATTTTCTTAAATTTAAAACTTATAAAAAGAAACTAAAAAGGAAATATGGCGGTTTCGTTCAAAGCCTTTGCTTTGGTTCTGTGCAGTGTTACCAAGTTGTAAAACCCAACTCATAACAAAAACATATTTAACAAATACAGTGTTCACACTGCATAAAATATTGATAAGAAATAAAAAAATTAAGACTTTTTGATAATTTTATGCCTTTTCTTCAACGTTGTATGAAAATTTACATAATATTAAATACCTAGTAAATAAAAAAGGGAAACCCAACAAGTAATTTTTTTAAGTGAACTGCACGGTATACATTCGTTGACAAGCCACGGTCACATTGCATAGTTTTCTTTTGTCGGGAATTGGTCGGATTGCTGGAATTCGTAGGACGAATTTTATTTATTTTTAAGCAATTGGTAACTAATTATTCAATGCTAATAGCTAATAGTCCTATTAACATACAAAAGAGTTTCGTGATTAAGCAAAACCCCAGTGATTTGGTAAACTTGCTTGGGCCATAAACGTTGACATCCGGGTCCAACGTAGCACTTTCTTTTTGCTTGCCGCGGAGAAAAATCAATATATGTATGGGGTATAGAAATCGAATCTCCGCGCATATAGTATAGATTACAGATATCTCAATGAGGACAAGTGGACGTTCGCCCCCTAATTTTTGATTACCAGTCAGCGTAAAAATATGTATTCGACAAAGCCCAATATCTTTCAAAGAAACCCAGATTGCAGCCGCGTTTGTTGTGACCATGAATCATTAAATTAAATGGGAAATCATTGCATACATATGTGTACTGATTCAGTGACTCTTCTGTATTTTCAGATATCGGGGATCGGGCTGCCACAATGGGTTCCCTGTTCCGGAGTGAGGAAATGGCTCTATGCCAGCTCTTCCTACAAAGTGAGGCGGCCTACGCCTGCGTTTCCGAGTTGGGAGAACTGGGATTGGTCCAGTTTCGAGATGTAAGTTAGGTGGATTATGTAAAAATGTGGTTCAAGTAATAGCACAAGGGATATTTTAACATTAAACCTAAAAAGTTGTTCAGCCTGCAACTGCCTATTAAAAATTTAATGAATAGTTCATAAGTCGATTCCTCCAAATTTATTGAAAATTTTCATTTCTAAACGGATGAAGGCAACCACTGGACATACAAATTTGGTTAAGTAGCCACGTTCTAAATGTGTTTTTTAATTAATAGCTTTTCGTGTAAAGCCTTTCATACCTCTGTAATTTAATAAACTTAAAAGTATACTACATGTTACTTAAAACAGCAAATATATACTTTGCATTAAAACAACACCAATCCCAGTGCTGTTATTTGCCCGCAGTAAAGGTCGGATGTACTGAAGTTCTTAATAATAAAAAATAATCCTTAATCCACAGCTCAATCCGGATGTGAACGCTTTCCAGAGGAAGTTTGTTAACGAAGTTCGTCGCTGCGATGAAATGGAACGCAAGCTGCGTTATCTAGAAAAGGAGATAAAGAAGGACGAAATTCCAATGCTGGATACCGGAGAGAGTCCCGAAGCACCACAGCCTCGTGAAATGATCGACTTGGAGGTAAGTGCAAAACCCTCAAAACACTGCTGACAGTATGTGGTTTTTGGTCTTCTGTTTGCCAACCGTTTTGTTATTTATATGGCTTCTCCCGTCCTTTAGGCGACGTTCGAGAAACTGGAGAACGAACTGAGAGAGGTGAATCAGAATGCCGAGGCCCTGAAGCGCAACTTTCTGGAGTTGACGGAGCTGAAGCACATTCTTCGCAAAACTCAGGTCTTCTTCGACGAGGTAAGCAACCGCATAAGCAAGAATTAATGGGTATCAGCTAACAAACACGGATCGGTTACCGATTTTGAATTAACATATGTCGGCCAGAAAAGTGGCCGATAACTAACCAACTTCTCTAAGCAATAACCATTTCCCAACCGACAACACAAGTGTGGCAGACATGGCTTTTAGTTACATAAGCAATCTCTCCCAGAACCACACACTCAAAAGATTCCCCCGACCACTCTGCATGAATCTCCACCCCCTCCTTCTCCGTTTCCAAAGGCAAACGATATGTGCTTTACCTTCAATTTAAGTTTGTACAAATTTTTCTAATTGTGCGTTTATTATTGGTTATTGTTTATATCGAATGTGTTCCTGAAGAAGAAAAAAACCGTATATAGTATAAACTTAATGAAGCTGTCAAAAATGAATCATTCTAAAAAGTCATCAGACTTTTTTTGCTTTTTAAGGACACTTATTTTGTATTATTTTTCCTGACTGTGTTTTCCGACACACTGTTTATATATATACCTAGATGTTTGTACCACCTTATTGTTTAGAATTAATTTTTTATATTTTTGGTTATTTTATTATCCGTTTTTCCATTTTGTTTTTCCATATCAATCAATACACAAACAATCAACCAACCACTCCCCGACCAAAAATCAAAAACCGAAACAAAAACGCAAAACTGCACACAACACGAACACCAAAAAAAAATCACCCCCTGCCCCGCCCACTGCCGGTTGTGTTGCCAAAAGTCGGTGCCCACGGTGTACAAGTCGAGTGGTGCATACTCATCCAGCAAATATCGGCGCTATCCGCAGATGGCCGACAACCAGAACGAGGACGAGCAAGCGCAGCTGCTGGGCGAGGAGGGTGTCCGGGCCAGTCAGCCGGGCCAGAACTTGAAGCTTGGGTAAATATTGAAGCGGACCTGGGAACTGTTAACTGTGAAACGGGCATTGGGACAACAGACCACGACGAAACGAAAAGGAAAACTAAACTCAGGCCAAGACCCACTCGCTCTCGCTCTCCTGCTCCTCTCACTCCTTGCTGTTTGTGTCGCATCCTTGTACAATTGATGAGTGTTTCATGTGTTCCATGTTCCACGTGTTAGGCTATCGAATTGATTTCAAACATAAAGCACATCCTCTACTAGTTTGCTCTGGTGTCGGTTTCCAAGCTCTATATCCAATCCAATCCAATCCCCCCACAAAACCCAAAAATTACGATTTGGAGGCGGTTCAACTAACCTTTTCCATAGTGTTAACCCAAAGCTAATCCGTTCGTAAGTCACCTCGAAATGACCTTTTGCCCAACATTCACAATTTCTAGCAAGAAGGCGGCGTAAACCAAACGACCGAGTCGATGACCCGCGCCTTGATCACGGACGAGGCGCGCACAGCTGGTGCCTCCATGGGTCCCGTACAGCTCGGGTACGTATCCAGCAACCAGCATTCAAGATTGGAAAGGCGCACACTCGGGATTATATCTTTGCTCTACTAACAGGAAAATGTTCCTTGGGCGGAACTCTGCACTAAAAACAGTTTTTATGCCAAAGAACCATATCTGTGTTTATCCGTTTAATCCATAAAAAATGGATATTTCAGCCCTTACTTGTATAAACAACATTTTTTGGTTTATTTATATTTAAATAGCTTGTAAACAATAATTTAAATTAATGTTAGAATTATTATTCAAATTCTGCCCAAAGAAACTTTTTCTGTAAGTAATTTTCTTTAGCTCTTAACCAACGAAATGCCACACAAAATTATTGCTTATTGCCGCCAACGCCAAACTAACAAAAAGCTAAAGCAGCTGCGCCGCCAATGAAAACGATTAACCGAACCATGTCCATTCATTTCCACCAGCTTGGAGTCTCTCGGAATTTCGAGCAATAATTTTCTGTGCAAAGTTCCACAAGCGACCCGTCTAAAACAAATAAATTAAACGTCGTTCTCTTCTTATGTTCCTCTCTTCCCCACAAATACAAAAATGTCCAATCGAAAAAACTATGTTAAACAAATTTAGTTACATGGAGAAATCGAACGAACGTGAGGATTATCTTCCATGGTTGGTACCCTGCCCTTTTAAAAATACCAGACTAGGCCAAACAATCAGTCAAATTCGTATCCATTAGCCAACGAACAGCGCTCATCAATCTTTTTTGTATCCGTATTCGTATCGATCGGTCAATCAGCTGTATATATAGACATGTCATTAGCTTCGCTCGCCCCGCATTGCCTCTCAGCATTGTCCCTCATCCTGTCTAGAAATATGGGAGCCATCTAGAGTGCTAACGTTTTGCATTACCACCTGCCAACCCATCCAAGCGATCCCTCCCAGCGTCTCATTCATCCCGCTCCCTGCTCTTGCATCGCGCGTCCATTGGTAACTTGTGCTTGAGAGTTTAGTTTTCCTTGTTTGTCGTAAATAACCGGAATGACTCTGTTGGATGCCCAGTAGCGGGGATGTGTCACTAATCGCCGCTTCTCAATCCCCTCTAGCTTCGTCGCCGGCGTCATTTTGAGGGAGCGTCTGCCGGCCTTCGAGAGGATGTTATGGCGCGCCTGCAGGGGCAACGTTTTTCTGCGTCAGGCGATGATTGAAACGCCGTTGGAGGATCCCACCAATGTAAGTCCGGAGGACAATTTAATCTTATCGTTTAACACAGAAAAAAATTTTAAAATCTTATCTATATGCCTTCACAACAGTAGCATTCAAATGTCTGAGAATAAGTTTATATCAATTATTTGTACGCCCAAATTAAAAGACTCTTGACTTGTGCTCTTAAAATTGTATTGCCGAAAACACTAAAGCAAGAGAAGAAAATCCAATTCACAAAATTTAATAATTATCTCCATATCCTTGTTGTTCCAGGGCGACCAGGTGCACAAGTCCGTGTTCATCATCTTCTTCCAGGGCGACCAGCTGAAAACTCGCGTCAAGAAGATCTGCGAGGGCTTCCGTGCCACGCTCTATCCTTGCCCCGAGGCTCCTGCCGATCGCCGCGAGATGGCCATGGGTGTGATGACGCGTATCGAGGATCTGAACACTGTTCTGGGGCAAACGCAAGACCATCGCCATCGTGTCCTCGTTGCGGCGGCCAAGAACCTAAAGAACTGGTTCGTCAAGGTGCGCAAGATCAAAGCCATCTACCACACGCTGAATCTCTTCAACCTGGACGTGACTCAGAAGTGTCTAATCGCTGAGTGTTGGGTGCCGCTCCTGGACATCGAAACCATCCAGCTGGCCTTGCGCCGCGGAACTGAGAGATCGGGATCATCGGTGCCGCCCATTCTCAACCGGATGCAGACGTTCGAGAATCCGCCCACTTATAACCGGACGAACAAGTTTACCAAGGCCTTCCAGGCGCTAATCGATGCCTACGGAGTGGCCAGCTATCGGGAGATGAATCCGGCTCCGTATACGATCATTACCTTTCCCTTCCTTTTCGCTGTAATGTTTGGCGATTTAGGCCATGGAGCGATCATGGCTCTCTTTGGTCTGTGGATGATTCGAAAGGAGAAGGGACTGGCCGCCCAAAAGACGGACAACGAAATCTGGAACATTTTCTTCGGCGGACGGTACATAATCTTCCTCATGGGCGTCTTCTCAATGTACACAGGTCTTATATACAACGACATTTTCTCGAAGTCCCTGAATATCTTTGGATCCCATTGGCACATGTCATACAACAAGTCTACGGTGATGGAGAACAAGTTTCTACAGTTGAGCCCGAAAGGCGACTATGAAGGTGCTCCGTATCCTTTCGGCATGGATCCCATTTGGCAAGTAGCAGGAGCCAATAAAATCATCTTCCACAACGCCTACAAGATGAAGATATCAATCATTTTTGGAGTCATCCACATGATCTTCGGCGTGGTCATGAGCTGGCACAACCACACATATTTCCGGAATAGGATCTCCCTGCTCTACGAGTTCATTCCCCAGCTGGTCTTCCTCCTGCTGCTCTTCTTCTACATGGTTCTGCTGATGTTCATCAAGTGGATCAAGTTCGCGGCCACCAATGAAAGTAGGTTTTCTTTTTTTTAACTTTGCCCTATAAAACTCAATGGTAACTTTACATTCTATTTTAGAGCCATACTCCGAAGCCTGTGCTCCCTCCATTTTGATCACGTTCATTGACATGGTGCTTTTCAATACGCCTAAACCGGCGCCAGAGAAGTGCGAGATCTATATGTTCACTGGCCAGCACTTTATCCAGGTGCTCTTCGTGCTGGTGGCAGTCGGCTGTATTCCCGTAATGCTGCTGGCCAAGCCTATCCTTATAATGCAGGCTCGCAAACAGGCGAACGTAAGTAGACATTAGCTCGATGCACTCTATCACTTCCCATAGAAAAGCCCTCCATCAACATCACAACATATCAACGCACATCGCACTCCCAGCTCTCCACATTATACTAACTGCTTCTCGTTTATATGTGTTCCCGATTAACAAAATTAAAATCCCCAAAACCAAAACCACACCGAATAAACTAAAAAAAACACTCCAATCCACAATCCATAGGAAGAGGTTAGTTGTGTCGTTTGTATTCCAGTTGAGGTCGAACTTTTCTAACTTTTAACTATAATTGTTTATTATGTATTAACGTTATTTAATAATTTTTTTTTAGAAAAGTTCGACTTAGATTCTTTAGGTATCCAACATAAAGACAAACACTGATCCTACTCATTTTCAGGTGCAGCCCATTGCCGGAGCCACTTCGGATGCTGAAACAGGCGGCGTGTCGAATGGCGGAGGCCATGGCGGTGGTGGCGGTCACGAGGAGGAGGAAGAGTTATCGGAGATCTTCATCCACCAGAGCATTCACACCATCGAGTACGTGCTGGGTTCAGTCTCCCACACCGCCTCGTATCTTCGATTGTGGGCGCTTTCCTTGGCGCATGCCCGTAAGAAATCGAGTGAATTCTAGTTTCAAGAAATTACTTATCCCAACTATTCTAATTCGACAGAGCTGGCTGAGGTGCTTTGGACCATGGTCCTATCGATTGGTCTGAAACAGGAAGGACCCATTGGCGGAATCGTGTTGACCTGCGTGTTTGCATTCTGGGCTATTCTCACCGTTGGCATTTTGGTGCTTATGGAGGGTTTATCCGCCTTTCTGCATACACTGCGTCTTCACTGGTAAATTACTAGTTCCTTACGCAACTTAAACCCTGTTTTAACATAATGATTTTATAATCCTTTAGGGTCGAGTTCCAGAGCAAATTCTACAAGGGCCAGGGATACGCCTTCCAGCCTTTTTCGTTCGATGCCATCATAGAAAATGGATCTGCCTCCGCTGAGGAATAAATTATGCGGATTTAGACAAGGATTTAGTAGAGCAACAACCAAAGCATGTTGAGAGTCTCATTGCGTTAAATGAAATTACGAAATTAACCATTTAAATAAGTGGAATCTAACAGTTACAGTAACAAACAAATATGTACGCTTTAATGTTCAATTGTCGTGAATTTATCTATCTCATATAGCCCCAGCAAGCGTTAGACTGCTGATAATTAATGTTCTTCGTAGACGTTCTCGTGTTTATAAACTATAACCGTAAATTCATAATAAATAGCAAAAGCTTATCCCGCTAGGGATTAGCTACACATTTTACTTGTTTTTATGGGAATGTTTATTGAATTTTAAAAGGACATCAGTTCGTTAACAGCGGATACAAATTTTGTAAGGTTTTCTGGTTGGGTTTCATAGGGTTTTAAGGCTTCAAAGTCCAGGGAGATTAGTTCTGCATCCAAATCCTGAACTTTGCAGTAGTACAGATAGTTTTCAGAGGCCAACTGTTTGGCCAACTCCAATTGATGATTGTCCATGAGCGTATCATTTATAACAATAAGTCCACGTTTTCGATTATTTAGAATATCCATGCAGGTTCCGGCTCCTGCATGTCCGATAATGAGGTCCGCAGCTCGTATATCCTCCAGGTTCGGCCGAAATTTGTATTGCTCTACTTGGATGCCAAAGGTTTTTCTTATTAGGAGGGTTTCCACCTCTGTCAATGGTTGCGAATTTCCGTGCTGAATAACAAGTTTAGCGCACTTTCGGATCTGCAATGCTTTAAGAGCAAGTTCCGAAGTTACAGCTGATATAAGGGCATCAAATTTGGTTGTGCCCACAGTAATATATACGTTGTTTAACTCCATTTTTATGAAACTTTTAAAAACAAGTACCAGCTGATTCAAGTTTGGCTTCTTCTTTTTATTTTGCCATTCACCATGAGAATTTTTTAACGCCTTTAAGTTAAATGCCAGCTTGGAAGCTTAAACCGCCGGCAGTAACCGTTACTTTTGCAACTAGTTGTAAGTGTAGTGTGTTAAATAAATATAAAAATAATATTAAAGTATAATATCGGCAATTTGTAAGTAAGCAAAATGCTTAAATTCAATTTTAAATGTAAGTATTTACTTTCAGAAGAGCACAATTTATTTCTCGCGCGCAAGACTCAGTGAATTGCCTCATCGCGATCTCCGCTCTCGCCATTTCGCTCATTATGCTTTCAACGCAGCTCTTATTCCGCTTATTCCGTTTTCAACCGTTAAGCCTAACGGTTCGTCGCAAAAAATAAATAAGAACTGTGTAGCGCTTCGCAAATGTTCCTGTGCGAATTGAATTATGATTAGTTTGGCAGCTCGGCCTTAGTTCAAGTGATTTGTTTACATTTAATTTAATTAATTAGAAGCCTTTGAAAACCAAGCAGTGCTTCTGTGTACGTGGGTGACCGCAAGTTGCATTGGTGTCGCGCTCTTATAACAGTAAAGGTGTAAAAAGTCGGACAAACGGTTCCAGGACGGAGGTGAAACGGTAAATTGAATTATTCCCACGTTTCTGAGGCCAAGTGTGTGCGAGAGTGTGGGTGATTCTGGTGCGTGTGGGAGCACTGAAAACAAAAGTTTATTAAACTTTTAATAGCACATAAAATTGTCAGTTTTTTTAGTGTTACATATTTATTAAGCTTAAAAAATACATGTTTTGCAAATTGAAGTGATTTTAAGCATAGTTTGTGAATGATAATAAAACCTGCGCCCTTTGATAAATTTTTATCTGTGTGCGGGAGCCGGCTGCTGTTTGCACGTCGGAAGGTAATTGACTAATCAACACTTCATTTAATTTCATTTTTATTTCTGCACCCTCGCCATTTGTTTGTTTTGAAAACGCTTTTCAAGTTTGCATAGCATCTGGTACCGATTAAAATACAAAAAACAAATAGGAGATGCTACATATTATGAGAACCTCATGCAGGACCCATAAATTTGCCGGTCGAAAACTTTCCTTCTCTTGTGATCGCCAATTTATGGTGATCTCCCGCTTATTTACTATCCGAATTTGTAGAAATCATCTGGAGCTGCCCCAAAATTCAATTAGAGCACTCGTGCAAATTATCTGGAGGCCCAGCCAGCGATCGGGTACACGGGCCATCACTCAACAGACAATAAATTCCGCTCTCATGTTTTTTTGGATTGGAGAGCAAAAAAAAGAGCGATTAAAATTTAATGTCTTAATCGTGGGTGTGTGAAGAGCCAATATTTACATGTCTTCCCCCATCTCTGTCATATGGGGTCATAGTTGCCCCCTCAGTTTGCCAAATGATTTGTCAATATTCGCTTTCCCCACTAGCAGACATCAATGTCCTTGTGTTTATTAATTGGCTACACTTAAAGGAAATTTGTACAAATTATTTCTTTAAGTGGTTCGAAAATTGATTCAAAAGTAATATTACTTTAGTTTGAGTTCGGAAATGTTTTGATGTGATGTTTAAGATGCTGATGTCTTTTACTTAATGGATCGTGACTAACTGTTTCCATAGTGTACAAATTTTATCCATCACCATATGCTGACACATTGCCGGCGGCTTACACGCAGTTTACCAATGAAATATGGCTATAAATTGGATCCCCAACGAGCGACCCAGGGACTCCCGGAGGGCGGTGGAGTGGGCGGATGGTGGCATCGTATTATTTGCAGCCTTATTTTAATGAAGGTCATCGTGCCAGCATCGGGGTTGACTTCTGTACGTAGTTGTCGGCGTTTAATTGCAGCAATTTGCAAAAACAGCAGCCGCCAAAGGAGAAAGAGCACGGAGCCCCAACTGAAGGCTACAGCAGAAGCTGATCAAATTAATGTCATAACTCAATTAGCCGGCGGACATATTTGCATGAATATATAAGTTGATTTACGACGATGTTGTTGCCCGCTCAATTTGTGCTTAAACTTTTGCCAATTGATAATAGCGCTGCTCTACGAAGATTTCTCAGTTGAGCTACAATCTAAAAAACACTCTGCACAAAGACATTAGCTTTAGTATAGAGTAGCCAGAAAAACGGGTCGCAGAGGGTATTGACATATTGATAAGAACGAGTTCAATGAAATATCAGAGATCAAAAAGATCACCCTCTTTGTTTCAAAAATCATTTCTGTGGGTATTATTTATTCCATAGTTATAAGTACACTTACAAGTAATAGTAGTAAACAACAGTTTTCAGAAATACATTATTAATTTATCCAGAACTGCTCGGCTTGTTTACATTTATGCATCAAAAACCTCGTTTTACTTTAGCTTACTGATTTGGAATACCCGACTTAGACTTGGGCAACTTGTGTATGGGAATTATCACGAATTTAAATATATTTTTGATGACAGCGATACCGGGAAACACCCCTTCCCATTAAATGAAATGCATGTATTTCTCCAACGCAGACTCCAATAAAAAAACCTGTCAGGTTACTTAGTGCGCTTAACAAAAGCTAGTTTTAGCAACGCGAAAACCACCCATTCGTGTTTCCGGTCTTTATGCCCAACATGGGTGGGAATAATTGTAAGCACCTGGAAAGGATTCAATCATAAATTTAATAAAAATATTAATAAGAACTTTATAAGTTATTTTGAGTTCGAGAGCCATAAGTTTATATTAGGTAACAAAGGGTATACTTAAATTTTATATATTGCATAAACAATAATTTTTTGCTGCTCGCTGTAAACCATTAATTACGTTTCCCTCTGATGATGAGCTAATGAATCAGTTACATACGTTCTTAACAACCCCCTCCTCAACAGAGAACTAAACGATTTCCTACTCGAAAACTCTTTTTGTAAACCCCTTCCTGTGGCTTCTCCTCTCCATTGCAAGGACATGGCTCATGCACAATTTACGCAATTTAATCGGAACACAAGACAACCAAAGGGGTTGGCCCCGTGGCCAGAGAAACCACTTAAGTTGAGACCCGAGATTGCATACCGGTCAACCTGCAGTTTGGTATCGTATTACATAGGTTTATAATGTAAGGCACAACGGAAGTGGAAGTGGTGTGCTCAGATCCTTGGCTAACCGATAGCTTCTTCCTGTTTAAAGACTGGGGGAAATCAAATTATCTTGTTAGACTACGAGTTTATGTTCAGTCTACAGAATAATATTTGATGAAATTTATAAATAAATTTTTTTTTTATTCGCAGCAGTCATGGTCGTTAAAGAGATTCCGCTCCACGAGAACCTAAGCATGGAGACTCGATCTGCCAATGCCGCAACGCCAACAACGACCACCACCTTCTCTCGAGTGGGACGTCGATATAGTCTTTCCCTAACCACTGCCATCCTGCTGGCTTCCGTTTTCATCTGCACACTTCTCGCGGTAGGATTTATTGTCTATAACTTTGCCACGTGCGCTGAACCTGAGCCGGACTCCGACGAGGATATAGTATGCACTAGTGTGCATTTGAGAAAGCTAAAATCTGGACTGGATGGACCACCCAAATATGATCGAGATGTCCGTTTACCCCGCTCCATCCGCCCGCTTAAGTACAACATTACGTTGGAACCACAGCTCAGCGGCAACTTCTCCTTTGCCGGTACTGTTCAAATCAAAATAAAAGTGCTGGAGGACTGCTACAACATCACCATGCATGCCGAGGAGCTAAACATCTCGCGTAGCGACGTCTCTGTTCGCCGGGTGCTAGCAGGCGATGAGCTCGATGGGGACAGTCTGCGGATCCGTAAACAGTATCTAGTGGGAGCCAAGCAGTTTTTCGTGATTGAGCTGTACGACAAGTTGCTCAAGGGCGTGGAGTATGTGGTGCATTTGCGATTCGACGGAATTATTGAGGATTATCTGCAGGGATTTTACCGTAGCTCCTACGAGGTGCACAATGAAACCAGGTGAGCTAAAAAAAATACACGTTTTGAATCAACTTTGACTTACTCCTAAATTCTTTTTTAGGTGGGTAGCTTCAACTCAGTTCCAGGCTACAGATGCTCGTCGCGCTTTTCCCTGCTTCGATGAGCCCGCACTGAAAGCCAACTTTACCCTGCACATTGCTCGCCCTCGCAACATGACCACCGTCTCTAACATGCCCATTGTTTCCACCAACGATCAGTGAGTACTTAATTTCATTTACCAATAAGCAACACCTAAAACAATTTTCCTAAACCGTGTAGCGCCACCATATCGAGTTACGTGTGGGATCACTTTGCTGAATCCTTGCCCATGTCCACTTATCTGGTGGCCTATGCCATATCCGACTTTACGCACATCTCCTCCGGCAACTTTTCCGTGTGGGCGCGAGCGGATGCCATAAAATCGGCAGAGTATGCACTGACTGTGGGTCCAAGAATTCTCACCTTTCTGCAGGACTTCTTCAATGTCACGTTCCCCTTGCCGAAGATCGATATGATTGCTCTGCCTGAGTTTCAAGCAGGTGCCATGGAGAACTGGGGACTCATTACCTTCAGAGAGACAGCCATGCTTTATGATCCTGGAGTGGCAACTGCCAATAACAAACAGCGAGTAGCATCTGTTGTGGGTCACGAATTGGCCCACCAGTGGTTCGGCAACCTGGTGACGCCCAGTTGGTGGTCGGATATTTGGTTGAACGAAGGTTTCGCTAGCTATATGGAGTATCTTACGGCCGATGCAGTTGCCCCGGAGTGGAAACAGTTGGATCAATTTGTGGTCAATGAACTGCAAACCGTTTTTCAGTTAGATGCCCTCTCCACCTCTCACAAGATTTCCCACGAAGTATTTAACCCACAGGAGATTTCTGAGATCTTTGATAGAATTTCTTATGCCAAGGGATCGACTATAATCCGCATGATGGCGCACTTTCTCACGAATCCAGTTTTTCGCCGGGGTTTAAGCAAATACCTTCAAGAAATGTAAGTTACGAAAAATTTTTGTGGCTTATAATTTAGTAAATATATTTACCTCCAGGGCCTATAACTCCGCAACACAGGACGATTTGTGGCGTTTCCTAACGAATGAGGCAAAGTCCTCTGGGCTGCTGGACCACAGCAGAAGTGTCAAGGAGATTATGGACACCTGGACTTTGCAAACGGGCTACCCAGTGGTAAAGGTATCGAAGCATCCCAACTCGAATGTGATTCGCCTGGAACAGGTTCGATTTGTGTACACAAACACCACCAGGGAGGATGAAAGTCTGCTTTGGTGGATACCCATAACATTTACCACTGCTGCGGAGTTAAACTTTGCCAACACCCGACCCACTACTTGGATGCCACGAACTAAGTTGTATGAGCTGGAGAACAGGGACCTATCTACAGCTAAGTGGTTCATCTTTAACGTTCAACAAACGGGATACTATCGGGTCAACTATGAACTGGATAACTGGAAGGCAATTACCGATCACCTCATGGACGTGCAGCACTTTGAGGAGATTGCTCCGGCTAATCGTGCCCAGCTCATCGATGATGTGATGAATTTGGCCAGGGGTTCGTATCTCTCCTATGAAACTGCCATGAATTTGACTCGTTACCTGGCTCATGAATTGGGTCATGTGCCATGGAAGGCGGCTAGCAGTAATTTCATTTTTATCGACTCAATGTTTGTTAATTCCGGTGACTACGATCTTTTAAAGGTATTTATTTCAAATATTTATTTAATCTCTTTTGTTCATTTAAATCTAACCATTGTGTTTTTAGAACTATTTACTGAAACAGCTGAATAAAGTCTACAACCAGGTGGGATTCGAGGACTCGCAGGGCGATTCGGAGGATATTCTGTTGAAATTAAAGCGCGCCGATGTGCTGGGTATGGCCTGCCATTTGGGTCACCAGGAATGTATATCTGAGGCCAGTCGGCACTTCCAGAATTGGGTGCAGACCCCGAACCCTGATTCAAACAATCCGTAAGAAAATTTTTTCTAAAACCTAAACATAGTATTAATTCGTTTTTATTCCAGCATTGTGCCAAACCTTCGGGGAGTCGTTTATTGCTCGGCGATACAATACGGCACCGAGTACGAGTGGGACTTTGCCTTTGAGCGTTACCTAAAAACCAATGTTCCTGGAGAAAAGGACCTGCTTTTAAGTGCTCTCGGCTGCTCCAAGGAACCCTGGTTGCTCTATCGTTACCTGCGTCGTGGCATTGCCGGCCAGCATATAAGGAAGCAAGACCTGTTTCGGGTATTTGCAGCCGTTTCCAGCACTTTGGTGGGTCAGCAGATAGCATTCGATTTCTTGCGCAACAACTGGCAGGAGATCAAAAGCTAGTAAGTTAAAATACTCTTGCTTAGGAACGGAATATTAAATCATTTTTTTTCTTTCAGTATGGGCTCCCAGATGTCCAACATCCACACGTTATTCAAGTTCGCCACGAAGCGTTTTAACACCAAATTCCAGCTAGGCGAGTTCGAGAACTTTGTGAAGGACGCCCACTGGGACTACGACAGACCCATCCAACAGATCGTGGAACAGATCGAGACCAGCGTTGACTGGATGAACAAGAACTATAAGTCTATCGTAAAGTGGTTGCAGAACGAGGAGCGGGCGTAAGAAAAGAACCCTGCAGCTTGACTGGATCAACGCTGCAGCAGTATTAGAGTCCGCAGCTGCAACTGCATAAGATGGGCCATTAATGCATTTATGTCTAGTATTTATGTCCCGTGTTTTACCGATTTAATGTCGCCAAAGAGAAAAAGCCCTTGGCAGATCGTCCAGAGCATCACGTTTTTCATTAATTTTAATGTATGCCTTCTTTTCATAACAATTATGAGAGTCTTGTATTTTTAATTTGTACTTAAATGTAAATGTAAATGGAATATACCCTTGTTCGTCACAAAAAGTCGTGTAAAGCTTAGTCCTGTTTCACAGCCTGTGTTTTTCCTTGCGGAACTCTAATTACATCTGCAAACATTAAGGTACCTACGAAGACTAACAGTGTACCCAGCCAGTGGTACAAGGTGAATGGATTCCGAAAGTAAATAATCGAAAATACCAACGAGATGAATTTTCGAAGGGTTAAGATCAAGGTAACTGTCAGCGAGCTGCATTCCGTTGTCAGAGTGTAAACAGAACTGATACACAGATGCTGAGCGAGTACATTACCCAACAAATAGAGTAGTATTAGAGGCACTGCGAAGCCCAGGAGGGGCAGCTGGTAGGACACGCCTGCAAAGGCCATTCGCCAGTGCGTCTGTATATTTTCCTGCATCAGCAAAAAGGCGGGCAATGGCAACAGGTGTGTGTAATACAAAGCTTCCCTCGCACACTTGCCATGACGTCGGTACAGCAGTTCCTGGGTAATGCCCATGTAGGAGGATACAAACAAAGCCAGCACAAGGAGCAGGACACCAACCAGCCACCAGAATATATCCGCTTCTGCGGTTCCATCCACTTCCTCCTTCTTGCCATCCAAATCCAGGCTGGAAAAATATGTGCAGATAAAAATTCCCACGCTGATCATGACCACCGATATGTACTGACTGAGCCGATAGCGCCTCTTTAGGATCATCGTGCCCAAGCACATATTCGAGATGAGGGAACCGCCTCGAATGATCATGTGCAGCGTCATCGGGACATTAAACTCGAACACGTAGTTGTTGCATACGCTGGTCAAGAAGAACATGGCCACAAGAAGGGCATAGTCACGCAGGCTAATCACTCTGTTTGCCAATCCAAACCTCGATGTGAAAATGAAGCCCTCCAGGGCTATGAAGGCAAACTGGACGGCGGTTATCAGGTTTCCAGCGCCGGGATCCAACTTTACCAGGTGCTCCAGGAACACAACACCACTGCAACAGCCCAAAAACACGCCGCCAATGGCCAAAACAGCACGAGTTGATAAATTCATAGGAGTGGATTATTAAAGGTTACTCTTCCAACCAACTTTAACCTGTGATCTGGGCATAGCGAGCTTTTGAGCCAACTTTCTTTTTGGCCCAGCAAAACGTAAACAAAGCCAACAGGTGGTTATCGATAAACGCCATTTCTGGCCCAGCTGACTTGGGCTATCGGAAGCTAATCTCAAAGTAGGAATAAAATATGCATTATTAAAACCAAGATTTGTAGATTTATTTAAAAATTGTTATTACATTTACAAATCAAACTTAAAAACAAATTTCGTTTAATCACATTCGAAATAGTCGCACCAACAGTCTTTTTGAGCAATTACAAAGTACAATGATGAATGATACAAACAGTATATGATAGACAGTTTTTTTTGTGTTATATTAATTCTCCTTTTCCAGCAAGGCGATAATTTTGTTTAATTTTTCTGTCTGCTGGGCTTCAAAATTGTCCAGACGTTTGGCCACTAATTGCGCCAGCTTTTCGAATCTCTTGTCTATATGGTCCATGAGAATTGAGATATCCGTGGGAGCTGCAGCTTCCTGGGGCTTTACCTCCGCCTGCGGGGAACAGCCCTTCATCAGGGTCATAAACTGCTTGAATTTCTCCTCCTGCTCCTCCTTTTTTGATGGATACGTGCCGCCCCGTTGCAGCAGCTCCTGAATTCTTTGCGGATCCACTGGCCTAGGCAACTGGGTTGTTATGCCATTGGGATTGGGAGCAGTCTGCAGCATGGCGCCATAAACGCAAATTTCGTTTGCCGAGGTGAGCATCCTTAAGTTTATATCATTAATGCCAGAACGGTCAATTTCCATGTCATAGCGATATGGTCGGACAGGAACCTCGGCGTCCTCCTCCTCGACGCAGACTCCATAAATGGTTTCGCAGTACTCCTGGGACGGACCAATAAAAAGCTCTACCTTGGGAGCACTACAAACCAGGGTAAGAGCTGCGATTTTGAAGCGAGTCGGGATTTGGAACCTCAGCTCACAAGGTGGTGGCGGACTATCCACAGTGGAAAACAGAACAGCGCGATCCTCGTTTACGACATCATCCAAATCGGGCCTGCAAACAAAGGAGATTGCGAAATCACTAGATGAAAACCAGTTTCGGGGCGTGGAGTCCTTTGTCTTACTTTACAAAGACGTCTTCATCGGACAAACGGGTGGCCACCAGTTGTCCTAACTCGTTACCCGCAATTTGGGGCCAATTGCAGCGGGCAGTAACTTTTTCGCACATGGTTTTATTCACATAAAAGCTTAATTTTGAAGGAAACGAATTCAAAAAGAGTTTGTTTAGGCAACAATGAAAATCAAAACAACCAGTTAGTGGTGGCCAAATAGACCGATAACTGTCGCGGAGGATGCTAACCTGTTGCAATTAGTGGGAAGAGACAAGCTTATCGGAAATTTTATAAGGAATACTTCAAAAAGTAATAAAAATAAGCTAACCCCTAATGTTAGAAAAATGACAAAGGGGAAACATTTTTATTAAATTCTAAAGGTATTAAATTATTAAAACATCGAAAACCGCCTTCACCTAAACAATAGGTCCAATAAGAATAAAAAAGTTTTCCAATAGGACCAAATTTTAGGTGTCCGTTTTGTTTTTCTGCAAGACTGGCAATATCGCGGCTTGACAGCTGCGACCTTGGAAGTCCCCTGTAGGTCAAATTTCAGCAGAACTTCTCGCATATTGTAGTTGAGGGCGGTCGGCTTAAGAGTGCACAATTCTCCGTAAAATAATTAATTCAGCTAACATGGGCGGCAAGTACAAGATTGTGATGGTGCGCCACGGCGAGTCCGAGTGGAATCAGAAGAATCAGTTCTGCGGATGGTTCGACGCCAATCTCAGCGAGAAAGGTAAGTGATTACATCAAACACAGCCTTTATTCCGTAACATTAACTTAGTCGGTTTTTTTTTTGTACGTACATATGTATACATATGTATGTATGTGTCTATCTTTTGAATCCAAATATTAAACCCTAGGTACCTAGATATGTACCTAATTGCAAAACGAAAGTATTTTACAGTTTAATGGAAGTTTGCTTAACAATTTCATATCAAGCTGTAAGTGTTTTTGACCTAGTCAACTTCTATATGTATATGTAGGTATGTATATACATATATGCATATACATATGTACATATATTAAAAACGAAGTGTTTCTGGTATGTAATTCAAACCAAAATAATTACAACACAAAGGTATCCTTCAGATTTTTTTCTAAAAAAATCAATAACACCCTTTAAAATATGTACAAGAATATCTTTATAATATTCTTATCTCTGTTTCTGTACGTGAAAACATGCGTCCTATGCATGTATGTATGTACATACATATGTTCTTATGCTAGCATAACTCAAAACATAGAATCAAAGGTTATCTTATATTCGTATTCAAAAATAAAAAGAAGACCTAATGTTTCCCTTATTTGTTAACAGGACAGGAGGAGGCTCTAGCCGCCGGCAAGGCCGTAAAGGATGCGGGTCTGGAGTTCGATGTGGCCCACACCTCGGTTCTGACCCGCGCTCAGGTCACCCTTGCCAGCATCCTGAAGGCCAGTGGCCACAAGGAGATCCCCATCCAGAAGACCTGGCGCCTCAACGAGCGCCACTACGGCGGTCTGACCGGCCTGAACAAGGCTGAGACCGCTGCGAAGTACGGCGAGGCCCAGGTTCAGATCTGGCGTCGCAGCTTCGACACTCCACCACCACCGATGGAGCCGGGTCATCCCTACTACGAAAACATCGTTAAGGATCCCCGCTACGCCGACGGGCCCAAGCCCGAGGAGTTCCCCCAGTTCGAGTCCCTCAAGCTGACCATCGAGCGCACACTGCCCTACTGGAACGACGTCATCATTCCCCAGATGAAGGAGGGCAAGCGCATCCTGATCGCCGCCCACGGCAACAGTCTGCGCGGCATCGTCAAGCATTTAGACAGTGAGTATTCTGGCAAAGATTTATACTTAACAGCAGGAATTGTTTTCGTGGGAGGGGCTATTAATTCATTCATTATGATAAACTAAAATCCATATCTTATTCTCATCCCTTTCAGATCTCTCTGAGGACGCCATCATGGCCCTGAACCTGCCCACGGGCATTCCGTTCGTTTACGAGCTGGACGAGAACTTCAAGCCAGTGGTGTCCATGCAGTTCCTCGGCGACGAGGAGACGGTGAAGAAGGCCATCGAGGCTGTGGCCGCTCAGGGCAAAGCCAAGTAAGCTAGCAGAGAGGCCTGCCCAACTGAGAATCCACACAAATCCGGCACAAATCAGAACATTCTGATTTCGCTTTTGTTCAAGATATAGCCAATCCCATTCGTTGTTGTTGTTCGCGTAGCAGTAATTGGTTCATCCCCACTACAGTTATTAAATAATTTATTATTACACTCAGAGGACAGGCAGAGTCGTTGTTTATTATCTGGTTCACTTTCGCTTGTTTTTCTTGCCATCCTTGGCCAGCTCCAGACCAAGGATGCACTTGGGCGGCACCTTGTAGGTTTCCGTGAGCAGTGTATGCACAAATCGCACCTGGTTGCCCTGGATCTGCAGTTGCTCGTGCTTCTGGTGCGGCAGTTTCACCACACTTGTGCTGGCGGCGGCTCCCTGCTTGCACAACTTGATGAACTCGGCCAGGATGATGCCGTACGCCTCGATGTTGCTTACAAGCGTCACTTTTTTGTTACCCGAACGCGTGGCCAACGACATTTGAATGAGGGGCTTCCCGCTCGTGTCTTTCCCGCTGCACATCTGGTAGGAGTGCTCCATCTTGCTGGTGATAAGGGAGCACATCTCGCTTAGCGAGGCCTCCCTGTTTCCGTACAGCTCGATCAGCGTTTCGTCTGGGCGAACCAACTTGGTCAACGGATGAAGCAGCCCGTGCTTGCTCACATACTCCCGAACAATCTTCTTAATTTGTCCCGCCGGGATTCCCTCGCCGCGCTTAAAGTTCAGCTTTGTGAAAAAGGCCGCCGTAGCATCGGTTACTATGTACATTTCCTTTAGCTCAGAGTGGAACAGAGGTGTCTCGGACACCGCTCCGTTCGCCTCGTTTGCCTTGACATCGGTTATGAAGTTCACAACTTCGGGGTGCTCCAGGTCAACGGATATTATCTTATCCACTCCCTTACTTTCCTCCCGCACCACAATGAATCCTTGATCCACCATCTCGGCCAGGAAATTGGAGAGCTTCTTGTACCGGGTCTTCTTAAGATCAATCTGTTCTGGCGCCTCGGTGACCACATACAGTCTGTAGAAATTGCTGGTTAACAGTGGAAGAGGCAACTTTTTTCCATTATTTTTAAGGGCGGAGAGGAAAGCATTCTTGAGAATCAGTTCTGGGGAGGCCTCCTCCTCCTGAACTTCTTCCTCAGATTCTGGGGAATCCTGGTTTTCTAAGGTTAAGGCAGCAGTTCCAGTTTCCAGTTCTTCAGTTTGAGTTACGGATGCAAAGGTTGCAGGAGCTGAAGGAACGGGGTTGGCGGGTGCCTTTTTTCTCTCCATCTCGGAACCAAGGGCGGGAAAATCCTCGCCAGACAAGGCCTTCGTCTTCACCAGAGGGATCTGTTGAATCAGGCTGGGCTCATGGGACCAGAGCTTGTCGCCGAACAAATGGAGCATTTTGATGGCCACGCCATGACCTCCACACATGTACAATTCATCACTTGAACGGGCCAACTGACCCACACCCACTGCGGATTTATTGTTTGTAAGGTTTACAGCCACTAAATTGGATAATAGGTTAATTAACGAAATACCAGTAAATACATACAATATACTTACTTAACTGACCCTTCTTAAAGTGCCCGTACATGTTCAATCCTACGCCCAAGGGCACTACGCCCGGCAGCATGAGATCCGCTCCGTTCGTCAGCTTCGGTAAAACGCCCTCGTGGGTGGTGAAATAGGGCAGGATGTCCGGAATGGACCACAGCGTATACAGAGTGGGCACCAGTTGACCTCCGTCTAGCTCAAAGAACAGGGGCAGCTTGTCCACGCAGTAGACCACGCTCTGGACACCGCCGTGGCTGAGAATCTTTACCTGGGTGACCGCCGCCTTTGTCGGCACCAGCTGATCCACGGACACATTGGGAAAAGCCGCCTCCACGCGCTGCCGGAACTTTTTGCTCTCGGATCCCTTAAGGGCCGCACTGCTCTTGGGTCTGTAGGGCTTAAGAAACATTTGTTCCGTGGAGTGGTGTTGGCTTAAGAACTTAAAAGATTTGGCCAAAAAGATTGGATTGGCACATGCCTCAGTGAAAACAAACAACCGTCCATCGGAGATGCTAAATTGGCTATTTTCCAACCACTTTCGGCTAAAAAAAACATTAACGGAACTCGGTGAAGATATTTATTAATTGTGACCAAAAGTCAAATTTAAGTTCATATTTAATTATTATTTTTAAAGTTCTAGAGACCTAATTTATAAAGCTATAATTATAGTTATAGGCTAAAAACCTTTTCCCAATCCCATAACACACGTACCAAAAAACGTCGACTCTCTGGAAAATTTGACGTATTTTTCTATCCAAATGCCAAGGACCTTCTCAGGTAGCAAAAGGTAGAAAATAACAAGGATCTTGTAAGACGCCATTTTATTCAACAAAACATCTGTGGTAACAATTCTTTGCACGACCTTGTAACTTGAAAATGTGTGTTTGATTCATACTTTTTTTAGCTCAAAATCTTACTTAGACTGATATATGTAGGTGAACCCCCAATTAATATTTGAAATAAGTTTCCCGGCCCGTTAACAAGATTCTAGTCCGAGTCCGAGTCGGAGTTGCTAGCTGTGGCCTTTTGCTGAGTGGGAGGATCGTAGAAATGTAGGCTCTTGCGCCAGATCTTAACGAGACCATCGAAGGCACGGCGGCTGTACTTTCCGTATTTGTTTGGAGTGCGAGGATGCTCGCGAGCCCGCTCAGCCCTTGGCACCATTTCCAAGTAACGCTCGTAGGCAGCTGTATTCTTGCCATAGTCTATTTGCTTTTGACGGCGAGCCAGAACGGCAGGATCGGTTTCAGTATAGGAGGAGGAGGACGAGGTGGAGGATGTGTAGCTGTTGTGGCGCACCCGCTTCTCCTCCTTGTGGCCTCGGAAGTTGCCGCTCTTGTTGTGGTTTTTTGGGCGCGGGTTGTTGCCACTCTTGGTGGCAGCTGCATCACCGTTGGCCGAGGAATTGCTGCTGTTCGGACTGTTGGAGCGACTTATTTCATTGCTGGGCGGCGTTTGCGAGTGGCGGCGCTTATAGGGCGTCTTTAGCTTTTCCTCCTTGACAAGACGCTCAAACTTCTCTTCGTTGACGCCGTCCAGGAACTCGAAGGCCATCTCCCGACCCTCGCCTTCGATGGGCTCCAGTTTGACCTCAGCTTGCTCCCTTTTGATCAAAGAGGCACAGCTAGCAGCGCTGCTGTTTAGGGAACTGGAGGCCTAAACACAAAAATAACTGGTTTGAATATGTTCCGGCGTTTTCATCTATCTTTCACTTACCTCATCGCTGTGGCCAAACTCTGCTCGGACCTCCTGTGCCCAGCTTTGCATCGTGGGCTTCACATCGATCGATATGGAGGATGCCGAGGAATTTAGGCTACCGCTGCCCTTCTGCGGCGTGTTGTCGACAGACATGTGTTGATCCTCAAAAAGCATGTTTGTGCGCGTGTGTTCCGAGTGTTTACTGTGGCTAGAAGGATGCGGTCCGCTGCTGGTGAGGATGTTATCACCGCGCTGTTTTGGGTCTTGTGTTTGACAACCTTCGCGCGTTTTTTGTTGTGATGCTCGCCAGGCTGCAGAGTGTGACCAGTAGAGAAATGGGTAAAGTAGAAGACGGAATATCAAATCCGCGAACTGGTCACCCATAACGTTTTAAACATTCTTTCTGATTTAAAGTCTTTAACTTGCCCCGTAAATGAGTTGACTTTTTATTTTTTGTTATCCGTGATGCCCAATCACAGAATTATTATTTATAAGTTCAAAATTGTAGAGTTGATCAAATGTCCATTCAAGAAATACATAAATCATAAGAAAACAATGCAAAAAGAAATTTTCTAAAACATACATGTTGTATTACATCAATAAGCATTTTGAATTTAGTTATTATTTCATTTGGATTTTTTTTATAACGGATACAGCTTTTAATCAATCCCTTACCAACACTATTATTAAGATATTTCAATGCTTCGCCAACAAGGGCACACTGTCTGCTTATTCGAGTGATTTAGCATTTTTCGGCACAAAAGAAAATTGAAAATTGAAAAGGTGCAATCGTTGGTTAGTACGCAAAAGATTGACTTGTTTTCATTATATACAACAAGATTTCGAGCTCGAGTTAAACATATGTCAATTTAAAATCTATAGAGCATACATTTGACTGGAAACAACGCAGCTGGAAAATGAGTCTTACGTCCGCCGCGGGGATAATTTCCCTACTCGATGAGCCGATGCCGGATCTCAAGGTGTTTGCCCTTAAAAAACTGGACAACATCGTGGACGAGTTCTGGCCGGAGATCTCGGAGTCCATCGAGAAGATCGAAATGCTGCATGAAGATCGCAGCTTTCCCGAAAACAAGCTGGCTGGCATGGTGGCCTCCAAGGTGTTCTATCACCTGGGTTCCTTCGAGGACGCCCTCACTTACGCCCTGGGCGCAGGCGATCTCTTTGATGTGAACGCAAGGAACGAGTACACAGAGACCATTATTGCCAAGTGCATTGACTTTTACATTGCCCAGCGAGTGGAGTTTATCGAGAATCCCAAGGAAGCGAGCGCCGTGGACGACCGACTGGAGGGGATCGTAAACAGGATGATCCAGCGCTGCCTGGACGACAACCAGTTCCGCCAAGCGCTGGGTATCGCATTAGAAACCCGTCGCATGGACATCTTCGAGGCGGCCATCATGAAGTCGGATGATGTGCGTGGCATGCTGGCCTACGCTTACAACGTGACCATGTCGTTGATTCAGAATCGTGGCTTCCGCAACCAGGTGTTGCGCTGCCTGGTGGGTTTGTACAGGGATCTGGGTGTGCCCGATTATGTGAACATGTGCCAGTGCCTCATCTTCCTCGAGGATCCGCTGGCGGTGGCCGAGATGCTGGACACTCTGACTCGCTCTTCGGTGGAGACAAACAATCTGATGGCCTACCAGATTGCCTTCGATCTTTACGAGTCTGCCACGCAGGAGTTCCTGGGCAACGTGCTGCAGGCTCTGAAAGACACTGCTCCCATTCCCACCGCCCTCCCCAGCACTTTTAAGCCGCAGGGCACTAGTTCCGAAGACGGAACTAAGTCGGAAGGAGACAAGTCAAAGTCTGACGAAGATATCACAGAGGATAAGCCGGGTAAGCTAGGTCTTCTTACCCAATGTTTTCGATTTATTTAACTTAAAATTATTAACGCCTAGCTGACGCCAAGGTAGAGCGCACAATCGATTCGCTGAACGAAGTTGAAAAGCTGCATCAGAAGAACATTGAAAAGCTTATATCAATCCTGTCCGGCGAGGTTTCCATCGATCTGCAGCTTCAATTCCTGATACGCAGCAACCATGCTGACTTGCAAGTCCTGCGAGGCACTAAGGAAGCTGTCCGTGTGTCTATCTGCCACACAGCGACCGTCATTGCGAATGCCTTCATGCACAGCGGTACCACCTCCGATCAGTTTCTGCGTGACAACCTCGACTGGCTAGCCAGGGCAACGAATTGGGCTAAGCTGACGGCAACTGCTTCTCTCGGTGTCATTCATCGGGGCCACGAGAAGGACTCGCTTGCCCTAATGCAAAGTTACTTGCCCAAGGAGGCGGGCCCGAGTTCTGGATACTCCGAGGGTGGTGCCCTATACGCCTTAGGCTTGATTCACGCAAATCACGGAGCCAACATTATAGACTATCTGCTGCAACAGCTGAAGGATGCCCAGAACGAGAACGTACGCCATGGTGGATGCCTGGGACTGGGACTCGCTGGAATGGGCACTCACCGCCAGGACCTTTACGAGCAGCTGAAGTTCAACCTTTACCAGGATGACGCCGTCACTGGAGAGGCGGCGGGTATCGCCATGGGCATGGTCATGCTGGGCTCCAAAAACGCTCAGGCCATAGAGGATATGGTGTCGTATGCACAGGAAACGCAACACGAAAAGATTCTACGAGGTCTGGCAGTGGGCATCTCCCTCACCATGTTCTCGCGTTTGGAGGAGGCCGATCCGCTGGTGACCAGCCTGTCCACCGATAAGGATCCGGTCCTGCGTCGCTCTGGAATGTACACCATCGCTATGGCCTACAATGGAACCGGTAGCAATAAGGCCATCCGTAAGCTGCTTCACGTGGCCGTCTCCGACGTGAATGACGATGTGCGTCGCGCTGCAGTGACTGCAATCGGTTTCATCCTGTTCCGCACCCCGGAGCAGTGTCCCTCGGTGGTGAGTTTGCTGGCCGAGTCCTACAACCCACATGTTCGTTACGGAGCTGCGATGGCACTTGGTATTGCCTGTGCCGGCACAGGATTGCGAGAAGCAATCGCCCTGCTGGAGCCCATGGTTAAGTTCGACCCTGTGAATTTTGTTCGTCAGGGAGCGCTGATCGCCTCGGCAATGATCTTGATCCAGCACACGGATCAAAGCTGTCCAAAATCTACCTTCTTCCGCCAGCTTTATGCCGAAGTCATAAGCAATAAGCACGAAGATGTGATGGCCAAGTATGGCGCTATTCTGGCTCAGGGTAAGTGTAATTTTAAAAAAAGGACAGAAGGGTTGAGTGGATTTTTAATAATTAGCTCTAGAAAATATACAAGCCCTCAAACATTCTTTTTGCGTGTTTAAAATACTAACGCTTCTTAAGAGTCTATATAAAATATAGTAATAAAAATATATATATTTTTTTTATAATATTCAGGCATTATTGATGCAGGTGGTAGGAATGCCACTCTGTCCCTGCAATCACGAACAGGACACACCAATCTGCAGGCGGTGGTTGGCATGTTGGCCTTTACTCAGTACTGGTACTGGTTCCCTCTGGCCCACACTCTATCGCTTGCTTTCACACCCACTTGCGTCATTGGCCTCAACTCCGACCTGAAGATGCCCAAAATGGAGTACAAGTCAGCGGCAAAGCCCTCGCTGTACGCCTATCCCGCCCCGCTGGAGGAGAAAAAGAGCGAGGAGCGTGAAAAGGTAGCCACCGCAGTTCTGTCGATTGCCGCACGGCAAAAGAGACGCGAGAATGCGGACAAAAAGGAGGACGAGAAGATGGATGTCGATGAGGACAGCAAGGAGGGTACTGCGGTGAAAAAGGACGAGGAAACCAAGACCGAGGAGAAGCCGGCGACAGAGGAGAAGCCCAAGAAGAAGGAGGAGAAGGAAAAGAAAAAGGAAGAGGACAAGGAAAAGGACAAGGAGGTGGCTGCCACCAGCAGCGAAAAGGACAAGGAAAAAGAAAAAGAGAAGGACAAAAAGGAGAAGAAGGAACCGGAGCCCACTTCCGAAGTTCTGCAGAATCCCGCCCGCGTGCTCCGCCAGCAACTGAAGGTCCTCAGCGTCATTGATGGGCAATCGTATGAACCCCTAAAGGATGTGACCATCGGTGGAATCATAGTATTCCAACACACTGGCAAGGCAGAGGACCAGGAGCTGGTAGAGCCAGTAGCCGCCTTTGGACCCATGAACGACGAGGAGAAGGAGCCGGAGCCCCCAGAGCCCTTCGAGTACATCGAGGACTAAATGGGCATGCTGTTTGTCATTATCTAAGTAACATGTTCGATTTTCAACCTTGCATACTTTTCACGAGAGGTACTAATCAGCAAAAATCACGAAAAGCTTATCCCTAATTATAACACAGTAATAAAATGTTCATCGTACAAGATGTAAATAATGTGTACTTTGGTTTATGGGTACCCACCAATCTTTTAAATTACCTGTGACGCTTCTGTGGCGGGCGCTAAACTTCAGTTATAAGTGTCTTAGATAGCTTTTGATTAAACAAGACTGTTTCGCCATCTGTTGTAAGAAGTTTCCCTCAAACATAATTTTGCGATTTCACAACGCTGAGCAATTATTTGATCTCGAATTGGTATAGCATTTTGTTGTTCTCTGAGTATTTTAAGAATTGCTCTCTTAACAAGGGCGTATTGGTGGAGAAAATGGGGTTTGTGGTGCCAACGAATAAATAATGTTTGGGAGTTAAAAAACAACAAATGCATTGTTCTTACATTTTTACATATATGTGCAGAACCTGCATTCCTGAATTGACCCGAAATCTTCATGATTTATTAGCGGATTGTTTGTTTATAACTTTGGTAATTGATTCAAATCCCCTTTTGTTCCGCCTTGTTTGTTGCCATGGAACTTTGAAATTTGAAAACAATCATTCTACAGGTATATGATCGTCAAACAGAAATCTTTGGTAAGAGCTTTTTATAATTTAAGGGTGCACGTTTCAAAGGGTTTATAAAAATAAACATTTAACACGAATCACAGTTATTCGCCGTAGGCAAACAATAACAAAAATAACCGTTATGGGATATGTTACCGACCTCTAGATACCCTGGTACAACTGATTTAATATTGGACACAAAGCTTTTAATAAACTCCTTCCTTCTTTTTTTCGATTACCTTACACTTGAATTCTAACATTCCAACATACTATGTATTAAATAGTATGATTTAATGTTTTAAAAATAAACAAAGGTTTATATTTTAATGGTAATTATCTTTTGGATTCCAAAAAAACTTTTTTTAAATTAATTTTTTAATCAAAGCGAGAACGTATATACATATATATCAGGAATAAAAAATTTCTTCATTATTCCTGTTGCATACATTTTTATGAGCAAGAGTACCCTGGCAAACAAGAAACACAGGGTATAAAAATACAACCGGGTGGCAACGTTCGACTTCTGTCGAGTATAAATGCTCAGCGATTTCTCTCTCCGAACTCAGTAGATTTTTTTTTGTTATTCCGTGCGGGTGCTCTTTCCGCGTAATATTAGTGTAAATTCCCATAGTCCCTAGTGTTGACAAAATTGTGAATGTTGTGCCAGACGGCTGTTAATTAGCATATAGCACTTATACCAAATATATATACCAAAAACGAATTGCAACTCATCCTCGTCGCGGAACCAAGTGCTTTGTTACTATTGCCTGTGGTTCAAAAAAAAGAAAACGGTAATTGCGGATAACGGTGGATAAATCACTGCTGACCTCGACCTAGACAACATATATACATAGATATATACTTAAAACGAACTGTCGATTTGTTGTTGCCGGCTATGCATTATTGATTTTCACTACCATTTCCAGGGGAGTGAGTAAGTGGGGAGTGGAGCGGAGAAAGGAGAAAGCGAACGCCCCTCGCCCGCGTGCGATAGAATCAGAGCCGTAACGGTAAATCCCAGTCCCGAACAAGCCCAGGAACTCATCACAAAGTTATGAACCGCACTAGAAGGAAGGTCGTGCGCCCAAAGAACCCATACACCAAAGCTAGCTACTTCTCACAATGGACCTTCTGGTAAGTGTTACGAAAAATCGTGTTATAGAAATCGGAATAGCCATACATATAGTCACTCATTAGTCATGAGCAAATTTTTTTACGGTAAATCACACCTTACAGAGTTCAATGTAGCACGTGTTCTGACCATATTGTAGTATCAGGTCTTTATCAGGTTCACACCCATTGTATAATAACTTTAGTTCTATTAGCTTGTTTAGGCCGATAAGTTCGCAAGGCTTGATAAGGTTGGGCCCATTCTAATGAGAAGTAGGACAAACATCCATTAAATTGGACGGCATAGTTTTATTAAATGTCATTGTTGGCCACAAGGTTACATCTTTATCGGGCGTTCGCAATGAACGCTTGCCAACTGCAACCAGATGGATCTGGCAGCCGCGATTTATTACGATTTCCTCTAATAAACAAAGCGGTTGTAGTCTCACTTGAATTGATAACGTAAAAAGTTGAACTCACAGTTTCTACAATGTCACGTTTACTACAAAGTCTCGGGTGCCTCTATCGGTAGACAGTTCTAAACACAAACAGGCTGAATTGTAATTTATTAATAACGACTTAATAATTTTTTTGTCGGGCTTGTCACATGAGCTCGGTTTTTATTTTGAATTGCAGAGTACTGTTTCTCGTATTCTTATGACTTTACAGTGTTCAATATATAATTTGTATTTAGTAAAATTTGAAAGCTTTAATCATATATACAAATTTAACCGCTGAATGGTTAGCTTTAATTAAACACTGAAGTTTATGTATGTATAACATTCCCAATATGTCTGATTTGCCAATTAACCACTGTATGTGCAAGTGTCTACCCAACTACAAGTGTTTGATTAATATGTAATCAAACAACTTCTCAGGGGGTTTTCGCAAATCGTGAGTCTGACGAAATTCCCAAGAAAACGTCTTTGTTTGCAACGTGTGTCTATGTTTTATCAGACAGGCTTTCCACAACAACAGCTCTTCCCAAGATATCTTAATTGAGGTCTTCATTACATAGACTCTACTTAATTAAATACCAATAAAGACAAGGAAATCATACAAAATCTAAGGGCTTTACAAAAAAAAAAAAAACTAACCTTGCCTGCCTTATTATCAAGTCATTTAAAGGTCTTCTGTGAGACTTTTAGAATGGCATCGTAAACTATTGCGTATAAAGTAGCTTTAGTTAATTTTAATTTGTATGAACGCTATATATTCTGTTAAGTCACTCCATTTTTTAGCAATTAATGAAACTAAAAACTAAATACACTGAAAAAGGAGGGCGGTGGCTGGAGGAGCCAGACTTTAAATTTGTTTTTATGTTATTTACTATAATTAAAACCATTTCAGGTGGATGCGAGATCTATTCAAGCGAGGCCTCAAGGGTCCGCTGACGGACGAGGAGCTGTATCAGCACAGAAAGACCCTAGATAGTGAACGGGTTACGAACAAGTTCGCAGAACTGTGGGACGATGAGTTAAAGCGTAGTGATCCCAGTGTTGTGAGGATGATCCTTCGGGCCTACGGAAAGATTTTCGTACCCATGGGTCTGGCCTTCTCCATAAGCGAAACGATTTGCAAGTAGGTCGAACGTGATTTTGCACGGAGGATTACCTAATCCCATTGACTTTCCTTGCAGATCTCTCATGCCTCTTTTCCTAGGTGGTTTGGTGGGCTATTTTGCCACAAATCAGACGGATATCAAAGAACAGACAGCCTATCTGTACGCCTTAGGAATTGTGATCTGCATGCTGATTCCTGTGATAACATTCCACCCCTTCATCTTCTACATCTTTCAAGTGGGCACCAAGCTGCGGCTGGCCCTCTCGGGACTCATCTACCGAAAGTGCCTGCAGGTCTCGAAGAGCAGCAGCAACGATGGGCTCCGAGGGAGAGCCATAAATATCTTGTCCAATGATCTTGGTCGCTTCGATGTAGCCTTGTGTTTCCTGCACGACACGTGGAAGGGACCCATGGAGTCGATCCTGATTGGTTTCCTTATGTACCGGGAGATTGGAATATCAGCTGTTATCGGCGTATCGTTTATGCTGAGCTTTATCCCACTGCAGGCATGGGCTGCCAAGAAGGCGGCATACTATCGACAAATGACGGCGGAAAGAACGGATATGCGTGTGAAGCTTATGAACGAGATCATCCAGGGCATTCAGGTGATCAAGATGTATGCTTGGGAGAAAAGCTTTGCCCGAGTAATCGCCGAGGTTCGACTCAAGGAGGTGAAAGCCATTCGCGGAACTGCCTACATCCATGCTGCCCTCGGTTGCACATCCATGATATCGCCGATGTCTGTTTTCCTGGCTCTGTGCTCCTACGTTTACCTAGGTGATCCTTTGACGGCCCAAAAGGTGTACACAGTGTCGTCCTATTTTAACATGCTTAACGATTCGATGGTAACCTTTTGGCCCATGTCCATTACGTTTATTGCCGAAGCTCTGGTTTCGGCGAAACGTTGCAAGGATTTCCTGCTAGACGGCGACAGAGCCGAAGTGCCAATAAACCTGGAGGCAAATCAGCAAACGGTCAAGAACAAGCGGAAAATAAGCAAGAAGGACAAGCAGAAGAATGTGGAGTTGAACGGATCACTACTTTCCAATGGAAAACCGCAGCACAATCGTTTGAGAGATTATGATCCGGAGGCAACGAAAAAAATGTGTGGTGCTCAAAAACGTGTCTGCTTCGTGGGACGCAAGCGATGGTCATGCAAACTGCGCCATCGAGGACTTCAGTACGGATATTCAGGATCAAACTTTGGCCGCTGTTGTTGGACCTGTGGGAGCCGGAAAATCCAGCTTTCTGAATGTTTTGCTGGGCGAAGTGGGCATTGATAAAGGAGAGGCCATGGTGCACGGAAAGGTCTCGTATGCCTCCCAGGAAAGTTGGGTCTTCGAAGGAACCATTCGCGATAACATCGTTTTTGTGGAGGACTACAACGAGAGAAGGTACAAAAAGGTGGTGAAGGTGTGCGGTTTAGAGCGCGATATGGAACTGCTACCTCGAGGAGATTTGACAGTGGTTGGCGAGCGGGGAGTGAGCCTCAGTGGCGGGCAGAAGGCCCGAGTCAGTCTGGCCCGAGCAGTGTACCGCAAGGCAGATATATATCTCCTCGACGATCCACTTTCTGCTGTGGATACGCACGTGGGCAAACACATCTTTGACCGCTGCATACGAGACTTTCTATCGAACAAGATACGAATTCTGGTTACACATCAGGTGCAATATCTGTTCGACGTGGAGCACCTACTGCTGATGGGCAACGGAAAGATTATGGCCCAAGGAAGTTACCAGCAGTTGCAGCGTTCCCGACAGTTCCAGTTTTTGGAGCAGACGCAGCACGACGAGAGTGGCATCGACACGCACAGTGTTAGCAGCTTTTGTCGCGCAGCGATTCCGAAAAGAGCATGGAGCACCAGCACAACCAGCTCCTCCGCCCAGACGAGGAGGTGGAAGAACTCAACCAGGAGCAGCAGTCCGTGGGTTCCATCAAAATGCACGTCTACGCCTCGTACATCAAGGCTTTGGACAGCACCTTCCTGCTCGGCATAATTATTTCGCTTTTTGTCTGCGCCAGGGTGATGCTAACCGGAGTGGACTACTTCCTCTCTAGATGGTAAATATTGGTTTTTAAATGGTCGTACCGCAACATTAATTTTATAATTTAATCCGCAGGGTTATTTGGGAGGAACAAATAGCTGTTAATAGCACTACAACCTTGTTAAAGGAAAATGATGCAATGCCAGCCAACGATACGCTACCTCTTAACACTACGGACCCTTCTGTGACGCCTTTAGTTGCCGGAGACATCCAAGCAGGGATCCGGCAGGAACTCGTCCTTTTCTACGCCACAATTCTGGGAGCCACACTGATCGTCTACCTAATCCGTACCTTTGGCTTTTTTAAGATGTGCCTGCGTATTTCGCTGCACCTGCACGACAGACTATTTAGGGGTATCACCCGAGCCAGCATGTACTTCTTTAACACAAACTCCTCTGGCCGAATACTTAATCGGTTCTCCAAAGATATACGCACAGTGGATACCGATCTGCCGCACACACTTCTTGATTGCCTCGCCTTCATTATCGATGTTTCGGGTGTGGTGATCATCGTGGCTATCGCGAACTATTGGCTGCTGGTTCCTGCTACAATCATTGGTGTGATTTTGGGCATGATTCGGTACCTCTATGTAAATACCAGTCGCAGCGTTAAACGACTGGAGTCCATATGTAAGTAGAAATAATTGGTTATTTTAATTAAACTGTTAACCTATTTTATCCTGCTCTCTCTTTCAGCTCGCAGTCCTGTTTTCTCGCTGACAAACCAAACCTTCCAGGGTCTTACCACCATACGTGCTTTGCAGGCCCAAAGCGCATTAGAGCAGGAGTTCCATGAATACCAGAATACCAACACATCCGCCTGGTTTCTCTTTTTGTCCTGCACCCGTGCCTTCGCCCTGTGGACGGACATGCTGTGCATTGTCTACATGACGGCAGTGACCTTTAGTTTCCTGCTGCTGAAGAACGAGTTCGACAGTGGAGACGTGGGATTAGCCATACTGCACTCGACCACAATGACGGGAATGTGTCAATGGGGTATGCGGCAAACTGCGGAGCTGGAGAACCAGATGACAAGCGTGGAGCGAGTGCTGGAATACACGGAGCAGCCGTCCGAGGCGCCGCTGGAGACCCCAGAGAAGTTCAAGCCAAAGACCGAGTGGCCCAGCAAGGGTCGCATCGAGTTCATCAACTTTAAGCTACGCTACTCGCCCAAAGAGGCACCAGTGCTGAGGGACCTCAACTTTACGATCGAGTCGCGCGAAAAGATTGGCATTGTGGGCCGCACTGGCGCAGGCAAATCGTCCATCATCCAGTCCATCTTTCGATTGGCATGCAACGAGGGCATGATTCGCATTGATGATGTGGACATTGAGCACATTGGGTTGCACGATTTGCGTAGTCAGATTTCGATTATACCCCAGGATCCGGTTCTGTTTTCTGGCACATTGCGCTACAACCTGGACCCCATGGACGAACGTTCGGATGAGGAGATGTGGAAGGCTCTGGGCGATGTGGAGCTGCGCTCGTATGTGTCCACTTTAATCGGTGGACTGAACTGTCGGATGTACGATGGCGGCTCCAACTTCAGTGTGGGCCAGAGGCAGCTAGTGTGCCTGGCGAGGGCCATTCTGAGGCACAATAAGATACTGATCATGGACGAGGCCACCGCCAACGTTGATCCAGAGTAAGTTTAAAAAGGCGACCATAATCTTGTTCCTTGTAATTAAATATTTGTGAATTTCTTTCAGAACTGATAAGCTTATCCAGCAGACCATCCGCTCCAAGTTTGCTCACTGTACTGTTTTGACAATAGCCCATCGCTTGCACACCGTAATGGATAGTGACCGAGTGCTGGTGATGGATGCTGGCGAGGCTCGCGAGCTCGGACATCCGTACGAGCTGCTGCAGCGACCCGGAGGATACCTGCGCCAGTTGGTGGACAATACGGGTGCGGCCACCTCCTACGCCCTGCAACAGGCGGCGGAACAGAGCTACAGCAAACAGCTTCTGGGCGATGACACGACCGCCGAGGATCTAAACATCACACTGGCCATGGAGGAGAAGTCCCAGTGACCGAGACGCACACTCCCCTACTTGTAAATTTGCCCAAGGGTTAGATCATAAGAACTGAAAGTATTATGTACATAAAAGAGTTGTACTTAAAGCTAACGAACTACCTATTGCCTTGTACTTACGGAATATTTGTAAGCTTGTTTATCGCCACGAATTTATGTATGTATCTGTTCCATAAAGTACCAAGTACCGAGTATGAATCACCTATGTTTTGTACGTCATGTGTTCAATTGGCAAACCGATCAAAAGCAATTTGCAAACGCCGTGCACAAATCAGAGCAAGTTCAATCAAACAAAGACAAATAGTTTGTTAGGTTACTTTTTTAAAATATGTAGCTAATGTAGGATTACAACATCGTACTTATAGATACGTACAATCTCAATAAAGTGCCTGAGAATTATTTCCTACAAATCAAAAAAAAATAAGTGTTTTAATTGGCGGTGCTCGTCTTTGATCTTCAACAAGCGATTAACGTCGTATTAAGTATTTTAAGACCAGTAATGAATGAGGTACTTAAATTAAAATCGTTTTTTTAAATCTTATCTGTCTTTTAATAACGGATACGTTCAAACAAATTATAGCATTTATTGAGTTAAGATATTAGAATGCAATTATTTTGTTGGTTTATCATTCATTGACATTCTATTAGAATCTTGACCGTGACTGTCAAGATCCGTGTGAGTCGTGTGTAGATCGATAAGGATGAACCTTTCGAAGCTCCAATTAAAATTGTCAATTGCTCAAAAGTGTAATCAAAGTAAGTCAACGCGGTAGCTGCGATTACGATAAGATACTGAAGAGGTGTCCCTTGTTTTCCGCTCACCCGGGATGCCCCGTTCGTGGGCCGAAACTCTCGTAAACAACAGCGAAACCCACTTAGCCGAAAAAAATTATAAAAACGTGGCCTAGAGTTGCTGCAGCGTCTGCTCCGATGTCGACTGATGGGTGGCTGTCAGCCGGCATTAAGATAAAACTGGGCTGCCGCTGGCCGATAGGGCGGATCATTGATTTATAGCGATGATTCCCGAGCACGGCGTAGTGGCTAGTGGTTAGTTAAAATTGAAATGCCCGGACGGGCAGCAGTCAGTGGCGAGTGGAACGGCGCAAGAAACGCACGCGAGTGTCTTGAATCGTGTCAAGGATCTAACATATGTGATATTTATTCGTGAGATTGCTGCACATACTCGAACTATATGTATCTGGTGGTTAAGTGTTTGTATGACAATGTGTGCGGTCCATGAGGAGCGCAAACCGAATCCGGTCACAAAGGCTAGCTTCCTTTCAAAATGGTTCTTTATGTGAGTGAAAAGTGAAGAGTGTTCCATCTCTGCGTATACGTAATATTTAAAGCGTATACGTAATGTTTCTATAATTGTGAACTTGTGAGAAGTTAACTGACCCCTCTTGAAGTCCTGCTGATAAGATACAGAGTTGTCCAGCTGACGGACTGCTCGCCCTGTGATTTATGGTCGGAGCACCTTGGCCGTCAATCGGAATTTACGGCGCGAGTGGATTCGTTTGATTCCTTTGAAGCGCGATAAAAGAATCCGCGACAGTCCGGCGACACCTGTCATGTCCGTCAATAACCCGCGCACCTGCTCTGTGCTCTTTCTCTCTATCCTTGCAGCTGGACGCGCGAGATTCTCGTGAAAGGATTACGCCGATGTCTGGATCCTGCCGATCTGTACGCACCCGAGCCAAGCTTAGAAAGCACCCACGTAACAGATTATCTGCTCAGGCACTGGGAGCAGGAGCTCAAACGATCGAAGCCGAATGTCCTGCGAATGATATTCAAGGCGTACGGCTGGAGTTTTGTGCCGGCGAGCATTGTGTACTCCATCATGGCCATCGCCATTCAGTAAGTATTAACGAATTGTGAAATGTTAATGTTTTTATAATTAACTGATGGTTAAATATTTCTGCGAGTAATTACATTTTAAATTTCATCTCCAGCACAACGCAACCTCTGATGCTGGGCGGCTTGGTTTCCTATTTCTCGGAGAGCTCTGGAAAAATCTCGAAGCACTCGGCTTATTTGTACGCCATGGGTGTGGTGCTCTGCTCCCTGTTCTCGGGACTGGTCTTCCACCCGTTCATGAAGTACCTGTTCCGAGTGGGTTCCCGCGTCCGGCTGGCCTGTGCCGGTCTCGTCTACCGGAAGTTCCTGCGCGTCTCGGTGGCTGCGGACTGCAGCGGCGTGAGTGGCTATGCCATATCCCTGATGGCCACCGACCTGCCGACCTTCAACGAGTCCTTCTACTGTTTCCACGAGCTGTGGCGCGGACCGCTGGAGGCCGCGGTCTTTGTCTACATTATTTACCAACTGATTGGATGGCCGGCGGTAGTGGGTTTGGGTACCATTGTGGCCTTTATACCGCTCCAAGCCTGGGCCGCCCGTGCCATAGCTCGTTACAAAAGGAATTCTGCGGATGTGGGCGACGAAAGGGTGAAGCTAATGAACGAAATCATCGCAGCCATGCAGCTTATTAAGATGTACGCCTGGGAGAAATCCTTCGCGAAGTTAATTGGCAAAGTGAGGAAGGAGGAAATGAAGTCCATAAAAGGTTCCACCTACATTTATGCTGGACTGCAATGTACTGGAATGATCTCCAAGTTGTCGCTCTTTGTTTCCTTGGTAACCTATGTCTTCACTGGTGACATAGTCACCTCCCAGAAGGTGTTTATAGTGTCCAGCTATTATGATCGCCTGAATGACTCTCTGCTGCACTCCTGGCCCTTGGCCATTAATATGTGGGTAGAGACCTTCGTGGTGGCCAATCGCGTGAAGGACTTCCTTTTCCAGAACGAAGATCCTGCAGACGGTGGTGCAAGCAATTTCATAGAGCCCGAGGACAATCCAAATCATGGCAACTTCCCAGGACGCACTCACAGGCCGAAAGCTGAAGATAAGAGCATTACGGTCCATAAATTGACTGCCAGCTGGGATCAGGCGAATCAGGAAAAGCGGCACCGGCATATCGAGGATGTGAGTTTCCAGGCCACGGATCAGCAGTTCGTGGGAATCGTAGGAACTGTGGGTGCTGGAAAGAGCACGCTGCTTCAAGTCATCCTGGGCGAGCTGGATATTATCAGTGGCAGTGTGGATCTCAATGGAGTGCTAAGCTATGCGCCGCAGGAACCCTGGTTACTTCGTGGCACACTCCGTGAGAATATCCTCTTTACGGAACCCTACGACGAGCAGCGATATCTGGAGGTCCTCCGGGTTTGTCATCTCGATGCGGATGTGGAACAGCTGCCTTCGGGTGACAGCACAAGAGTGGGCGAAGGTGGAGCCAGTCTGAGTGGCGGACAAAAGGCCCGAGTCAGTTTAGCACGAGCTGTCTACCGGAAGGCAGATATTTACCTTCTGGACGACCCGCTATCAGCCGTCGATTCCCATGTGAGCAAGGTGCTCCTCGACCGCTGTCTCAATGAGTTTCTGTCCAAGAAAATCCGTATTCTGGTCACCCATCGTGTTCAGTTGCTGCGACACGTGGATCACTTGGTCCTTCTAGAAGGGGGTCGCATCTCCATCCAGGGACAATATGATGCCCTCAAGAGACTAATTCGGTTCAGGATGTCGGCGGCCAATGATGTGGAGGTGGCCAAGTTGCGGGCCATGCGAACGGACAGTGTTTACGAGGAGCCGGAGCCAAGGAAATCGCTTTCCCACGAGGAGCACCTCGATCGAGACCAAATAGAGAAGCAGTTCAAGGAGCAGCAGCAAGTGGGATCCGTCAAACTGAGTACCTACAAGGAGTATTTCAGGGTTCTGGGTCACCCTTTAGTGGTGCTGCTAATCCTTCTCCTGTTCGTTGTGGCTCGGGTTTCGGAGGCCACCATGGATATATTTCTCTCCAAATGGTAAGTAATTCGTATAAAATATTTCCTATCATTTAATTTGACTTTGCTTACCTTCTGCTAGAATCTAAGGTAAATTCCCACAAAATTTAAAAGTCATTTGGGCTATTTAGGCTAAAGTGAGTAACCTCGAACAGGGATGATTCAGTTTGATTTATACTCGTAGATTGCGACACGATTAATAACACTGCCAATTGATAAAAAACATGTTCCAGTTGTTGATGGTAATAAATATTGCACGTATTTCCAGACAGATGGAGCAGATTTCACTATCACAAAGCCATATGTTATTTATGGTATTTTAGTTTAGTATTAGAAGGTCAAAAATGATTGTAACTAAAAAACTAATATCAATGGGAAGTGAAATTAGTAGAAATACCCAAGAGAATTTCGTGATTTAAGTAAGAAACGCACCATTTAAATTTTTACAAAATTCAAAAATATATTAATATTAAACTATTATTGATTGCAGGGCAACTTGGGAGGAGACGGAGCCCAATCAGCATGAACCGATTCCGGAATATCATAGGACTCGACTGCGCATGATGATCCTCTACACAGTCCTTATCCTGTGCACCCTCATCTTTTATGTCCTGCGTACCTTTGGATTCTTCACGATGACTCTGCGAATATCGCTCCGAATTCATGTTCAACTTTTTCAAGGCGTTATCCGCGCCTTCATGCATTTTTTCACCTTGGCTACCTCTGGCAGGATTTTAAACCGATTTTCCAGTGATATTCTGGCAATAGACGTGAATCTTCCCCAGGCGCTGATGGACTCCTTGGAGTTTGTCGTGAATGGGTTGGCTGTACTTGCGGTGGTCAGCACGGCCAATATTTGGCTTTTAATTCCGGCCATCGTGGTGGTGGCTTTACTGTACGGCTGCAGGTGTCTCTATATAGGAGCTAGTCGGAGTTTAAAGCGCATAGAAACTATATGTGAGTAGACCTCAGATACATTTTATTTAACCAAGTAGTAATGTAACTCCCTTTTAGCTCGGAGTCCCATTTATTCCCACACGAATGCCACTTTCAAGGGATTGGCTACCATCCGTGCTCTAAGTGGAACCAAATACATGGAGCGGGAGTTCCATCATTACCAGAACGAGAACACCTCCGCATTGTACCTCCATGTGAGCATCAATCGGGCCTTTGCCTTCTGGACGGACCTCATCTGCGTGCTGTACATCCTGGCGGTGACCTTCAGTTTCCTGCTCTTCGACAAGAGGCACAGGGGATACTACAGTGGCGATGTGGGTCTGGCCATCACGCAGTCCATGAAACTGGTGCTGATGTGCCAGGCGGGAATGCGGCAAACCGTCGAGCTGGAGAACATGATGACCAGCGTGGAGCGGGTGATGGAGTACGTGAATATACCCTCGGAACCCGCCTACGAAACGGATGAGTCGGTCAATCTGCCCAAGCATTGGCCCAGTGGTGGGCAGCTGGAATTCCGGGATCTGCGGTTGCGGTACAGCGATCACGGTCCGTATATCCTGAAAGGACTCAACTTCACGATACGCGGCGAGGAGAAGATCGGCATCGTGGGTCACACGGCTGCGGGGAAGTCCTCCATTGTCCAGGCTCTCTTTCGGTTGGCTCACATCGATGGGCACATCGCCATCGATGGCTTCGAGACATCCGAGCTGGGCCTGCACGATCTGAGGCGGAGAATCTCGATCATACCGCAGGATCCGGTGCTCTTCTCGGGCTCTCTCCGCTTCAACCTCGATCCCTTCGAGGAGAAGACGGACGAGGAACTCTGGCTGGCCCTGGAGGCCGTCAAGCTCAAGGAGTTCGTTTCGAATCTGAAGGACGGCATATGCTGTGTCCTCCACGACTGCGGGGCCAATTTTAGCATGGGCCAAAGGCAGCTGGTCTGCCTGGCCAGAGCTCTCTTGCGCCAGAACAAAATACTCATCATGGACGAGGCCACGGCCAACGTGGATCCCGAGTAAGTAACTCCATTCATAAAAAGTAGTCTACCAAGTGAAGCAGCAAATAAAGCAATTCTTAAAAATATAAACAAACAGTAAATACAAACAAAAAGCTAGTTCTAAAGTACGAACCGTAGAATTCTGGAACTTTAAATCAGCTGACTGACATTATAGGTTTAGGAAGACCACAAAACATTTGATTGATTCAATAAAACCCTAGGTCTGCATGGCTAAGAAAGATCAAAAAATGCGATGTCAAGAGTGACAGCAAAAAATCAAAAAGTATAATTTTCGCTTCAAAATCAGCTGATGTTGGTCATTATAATTTATCAATGAAAGTCGTCGCAGAATATATTTGAATTTTCCTTTCATCTTGACAGTTAAAAATGTTTTGTTGATTAATTTGGATTAATTCGCTTAAAATGTTTACAAAGCACTAAAAGGTTGGGCCCACAAAGATAATTAAATACTATTCTCGTACAATTCCACTCATAAATCAGAATGTAATGAAATGATTTTTCTGCTATTTTTAATCACAATTGTTTTACCCTCTTCACTTGCAGGACAGACAATCTCATCCAGGAGGCGATCCGCACCAAGTTCGCCCACTGCACCGTGCTGACCATCGCCCACCGGCTGCACACCGTGATGGACAACGACCGGGTGATGGTGGTCGACATGGGCCGGGTGGTGGAGCTGGGTCATCCGCACGAGCTGCTCCACAACCGGCACGGATACCTGCACCGATTCGTGGAGAAGACGGGCGTGGGCACCGCCCAGCACTTGAGGCACCTGGCGGAGCAGAGCTACCGGAAGAGGGTGCTGGGCAGGAAGTCGGAGGATCAGGGATCCGTGCTCGATGTGGGGTACAAGGGGACGACCCTGTGAAAGACTGGCGGGGTGGGGAAAATAAGAGGGCTTTCCGTTCCGTTAGGTATGGTAATATAGACTTTATTATAGTGAACTGATCTTTAAATATAGTTATATATGTATATACTTTATATGTACTTCATAATATACTCGTACTTAGTTGTTTCAACTCGATCGTTTGCCTTCTTGAATTTGAAAAAGCAATTATCTTGTTAAGGTTAAGTTACCATCGTCTATATTTTGCTACTCGTACTGTCTGGCTTTGATTCGCTCTCTATAACTACGATCCTTTCTAGGTTCCTTTTGGTTTCTTTGTAGTTACAAGTCACATGAAAAATCGAACTGTTGAACTCTATAAGTTGCTTCTCTTCTAGGCTTAAAGATTTAGGTTGTCTCTTCATTACTTTAGTTTTTTTTGTTTCTTTCTTTGTTGTTTCGTATGACTTAGATGTGCGATAATGGCATTTGATTCTAGATGTATAATATTAGCATTACAAGATTCGCTTCGTATATAAAATTTTTGTTTTCCTTTGGTAGAGTGTAAATGAATTTATCGCATTCGGTTTGGTAGCAGTTTTTCACGAAACTTTAATACAAGTTCATATAATAGTTGTATGTAGTTGTTGTGTATAATGTAAATATTAAAGTAAATAAAGCATATTCATGTATGTATATAATTGGTTTTAAAATATTCTCTTCTTATGCTCGTCATTGGTTTAGCTTATTTAAAATTCGCTTAAAGTCTGCCTTCAACAATATTTGATGTAAATAGAAAAATCAGTGATTCATTTATTTGTATTCTCATTTATAATTAGTTGTAATATACTCTAAATCTTTGGTGCTTAGATGTAAGTGTTTTGCGGTTGGTAAAAACAAAGTTAAACCTTGAAATTCTTCCCCAAATTCCAAAGCCTAAATTGTTTTATTGAATGCCCTTTAGAATTTAAATAAGTATCTAGATTTGGTTGTCCTAGAAATAAGATTGTTTGTTTGCTCATTTTGTTTTGAGAAAAATTCGATGCTTTAATAAAATGTTTTCGTTTTTTTTTTTTTTTTTTTAAGTTTTCTTGATGTTACTCTAATTGTAATTGTTTAGCTAGAAGTTCTCAAGCAACTTTAAGATTTTTTTCGCTCTACGTTTATTTGTATCTTGTATTCATTTGGTATTCTCACAGTTAAGCTTCTTTGATTGAGCACAAAAGCAAATGAGAATCGTCTGTTTTGGGGGCAACAACTAAACCTTATCAATATCGATTCTATTCCTACTATGGCTATAATCTGGAGATCTGCGGTCCGATCTGATAACGAATTCCGCATTGGACAGACCCGGAAATCTTCCCCTATTCCCGACTAGCCCAATACACAGTCCGAAAATCCGAAAATCAGTGCCGATCTGCGGTGTGCGGCGTGAGAAAAGCTGTCGAACCAAAAAATCAGCATAAAGTCTACCTTGTTCAGAACTAAAGTCAAACCATATGTCATTCAACTGGAAGTCAATTTAGATTTTGGACTCTTGGCGAGCTTGTATAATCATTATCCTTAATATCATGTTGTGAGTCTTCCCTAAAATTTGCTCAGCTAGTTGTTAAAAATATAGGTACTCCTTTTCAGTATCCCCTACATCCGAACCCGAATCGGTTCGAGAACGAAAAGTCAATACCAAAACGAGGATAATGTGAACGTGCGTGCTTCGCAATGAAACGCATATTTTGATTATAAAATATGGTCCCGAGGTTGTTAAATATTTCATCAACTTGGTTTCGTCATCGTTTCTGGGTAATAACATCCGTATTTGGGAGCTAGAGCGGCAATTGGATCTATAATATAAGTATAGATAAGGCGTTGTATCAGCGGTTTGCATTTGGTTACTGCCAATTAATCGCATCCTTGGCCACGATGCAGTGCCTCCAATGGCTGGCTATAGAACACTACGATTGAGATCATGCTCTAGGTTTCTTCTACGCTGTGTTTTAATCCTTAAAGCCTTTAACCCAAAGCTTAGTTATATAACTGCATTACAATATGTTATTTAAATTAATAAAGTTTTCCTCTTTCGGTTTTTCTTTTTCTTGTTTGCTTCTTCGTTTTTTTTTTTTTTGGTTGAAAAAAAGAGTAGTATGAATTTGTTATGCAAGGTTTTTTTCAATTATTTTTTACGGTGTAGTCGTACGTAAGTAATTCATTTAGCATTGTTCTGGGTGTATGTGTGTGTGTTTTATATGCTCTGTATTTATATAATAAGTATATAATTGGTTTGGTTAAAAAATTTCCATTAATTGCAAAAATTGTCTTTGTCAAAAAGAGTCGAACAATGGCCTTATGTGTGTTTGTTTGTTTGTTAGTTTTTTGTGTGTTGGTTGCCGGGGCCACGCCCCATTTGGGTGCGGGCCCGCCTTATTATCGCGTGCATATATCGTGACTATATATGTTTTTCGTAATTCGTGTCCAGTGTTCGTGTGTCAGAGAGTTAGCCAGTTAATCTTGCCTATGCCATTGTTGCTTCCTCGTACTTTGAATGGCGATCCTGCTCCGGAATCTGTAATCTGGAATCCCTTACTTCTCTCCCGGCTCGATGATCTCCACGGTAACGCTCTCGGCCACCGGATTCGTGGTGATGTTGGTGATCAGCGACTGATCTTGCGGCGACTGCGGCTGCTCCTTCGACTGGTGGCCGTGTGAGTGGTGCTGGCGATGGGCGGATCCGTGGCGCTCGTGGTGGACGACCTTGCCGGGAGCCACCGAGTTGCTGCGGTTGGAGCGCACCGAGGCGGCCGATGCATTGCTGCCATGCGACTCCGAATGGGATCCTGTGGGGAAGAATTTCAGCCGGAAAAGAGGGTTAAGTATCTGACGGATGAGGGTCTCAGCTACGCTCTACGGATAACCGACTGAAGGGAAGTTATCGTTGGCATCACAGGACAACAGCAATGTGGTCAACGGGAACTCGACATCTTGTGGATTGGCCCACTTTCAATTTCGAGTTCCTTTATCTACGTGGATGGTTCTATACATAGGTGGCGATCAAAGGAGTTATTATATAATATCTTGTCTATGGGAAACCTGTGTAACTAAGAACTATGAGGTAAATATTTGGGTTTACATTTAAGTTGTTTATAAATGTTAGTTCTTCAACACTTATAAACCACTCCTTGGATCGCTCACTGTAAGAGTTATAAATTATATATCTTAACAAAGCCAGTTAAGAAAACTATCGATAGTTAGCCGTGCTGGAAAGGAAAGAAACTCAAGCGGAAACGGAACTCAAAAGGGATGCTGCAATGGATCAGAGTAGGTTAGAAAGAGAAAGGGTTTCGATGAGGTTTTATCTGTACGAGTATCTACGATCGTTTATTTTTGTATCTGTTGTGAATCGTGTCTGCATCTGAGTCTGTATTTGTATCTTTGGGTGTTTTCTAAGGAGCTTAGCAGCAGTGGTGGAAGTTGGAGTAGTAGTAGTACATATAGGTTTACCGCAACTCTGGACTACAGCTTAACACTAGGGTAACGACAACACTTCGAGCCAACAAGAACAACAACGAGAACAACCACTACGGGTACACTGGGGAAAAACGTTCTGAAATCAGGTATATGTTAGGCAAGTTGAAATTATGAGTAAAACCCGAAACTAATCTTTTTTAACCCATTTTTTCGATTTTTCTAATGACTCTCCAAAAGATGACCCAAAACTGAAGTTCCTGATACCATAACTTTGTCAAATTTAATCCGATTCCAAAGTGGCATACCTTTTAACTTTTCTAATGGAATCCCTAAACGATCTGCGTTAAAATTTTTCATTTTAGTGATGGTCGATTTCTTGACCCCTATTCATGTCAGATTTTTCTAATTTTCTGATGAATTTCCAAGAAGTAAATAATTGTTTAAAACAATATTTTAAAAAATAATAAATGTTTTTGCTTAACATAATCTCTGATTTCAGCTGGAGTTATTTCCCCGCGTGCACGGATACGAGTACAACTGCTGGGACACAACTTTCGCTAGACAAGACATCAACTTTACGAGTACGAATACACTACGCAGACTGTCAACGAATGGGGAGGGGCTTTTTTTTAGGGGTAGTGGTGGGTGGGTGGTGGTTTGCTTTCAGGTCTGCCTACCTCTTTGGACCCTGATATGGATGCGTTTGTTTCTAGCGTTTGAGTGTGATACGTTTACGGACATGTACAGATAGGCTCGCTTGCGAGTCTATCGGGTGATCTGGGCTCTAGAACTTGTTGGTCCGGCCACAGGCTGGTGCCGCCCCCGCGGAAGACACATAGGTGGTGGTCGTGGTGGTGGCGTTGGTGGCGCTACATGTGGCTGCTGTGATGGCGGTGCTGGTGGCGCTCGCCGGCGGTGGCTGGTGGCCCGCCGAGGGCGGTGGCGTGGGCGTTGGCGAGGGCGTGGCCGAGGCAGCGTACGTTGCGGTGGCATGGGCGGCCGTCATTGTGCTGTGGGCCGTGGTCGTTGGCACGTAGGGCAGAAAGTGGCTATGGACCAGGTTGTGCTGGCTGGCGGCACTCGGATGCTCCAGCAGCCGGGAGCAGGTGGACACATCGCTCACCCGCGAGTCGCTCGACCGCGTATTGCTCTTCGAGCGGATCATACGTCCTTTATTTTTGTTGGGTGGTTGGGTTTCGTTTTTTGTGTGTTTTCAGTTTCGGTTTCGGTTTGTTTCGTGTTTGTTTATTTGTTTGTTGGTTTGTTTGTTTTTTGGGGGGGAATGAGCGGTTGGATACGTTTAATATTTCGCCTTTAGCTGGGCACGCGACATCGAGTCAGTGGGTTCATCGGGTGGGTGGCTTATTTAAGTGGGGTCGCAAAACTCAAACAAGAATATAAATAACCCAAAAAAGGTAATTTCAAACAACTGTCCGCTGGGCTTAGCACACCAACAATTATCACCGTAATGGCGTTGAGTAAAACGGTTCTTTACCTGTCAGTCAAATTGATTGAGCCCCCCGAAGAGTTGTTGTTCCTGTTTCGCCAGCTTTTGGCCAGCGGTCCGTCGTCGAAATAATAAGGTGGAATAAGGTGGCGAATATGGCCAGATACTGGTTACTATTTCGCCCAGCACATTAGTTTTCAGTCACAATAAAATTTAAAAGAGTACCAAAGTAAATTGGTCACAGGTGCTCCAGAAGCTTTTACCAATCATCAGTCCGGCGACAAATTTACCAATTAAAAATAAAAGCTGCATTTTTTTGGATCGTTTAAAAAAGCATACAAACTGACTTTTGGGAGTAACAAAATATGAATTTGAAATTATTTGTATGTTAGGTAATGGAATATATTTTTTTTTATTTATCTCAACTCTTAACAAAGCAAAATGCTGAATCGAAAAGCAGGCCCAAAACTATACCATACCATTCCAAGCTGTTTAAACTAACTAATCATGCTGAAACAGATTCAAGTCTGAGGATCTTTCATAATAAAAATTTATCAGTTTCCTTCAAACAAGCTCCTTTAAACCTATACGCTTCTAAAGGAATTTTATTCTATTTTATTTCTTCTATTCTGTTGAATTTAAATATCCTCAAACTATTTAATTGTCTGTTACTGTACCCCTTTGATGACTAGATAAACCTTTTTATTATATCGAATATCATGGGAGCTTGGCCTGGTAGCCCCTTCAATCCCATCACGTTTTTCGGGTATATCCACACCCACCTCAACTGACTTTAGTTTACTTGGGTGATTTGGTAGGTTTCTTGTTTGGTGACTGACTGATCAATTGGCTGACTGGCTGACTGATTGATTGACTGGATAAGTATTCGGGGGGTTTCTCTTTCTGTTCGTATAGTTTTTGGCTGTAAAAAGAAAGTTCGGCAAGTTGTCGAGACGAAAAACAAGGGAGACAAACGCAAAAACGGGAAGTAGAAATGTACGTAAGTAAAAACGATAACCGAAAATGCAATCGCGGCGGACTTGAGGAGACTTGACGAGGTTGACCATCGACCGGGGGGGCATGGAATACAAACCTGTCTTACCTAGCGACGGGTTGGGGGAGTGGGGCCTCAGCGAGGCCATGCTGGGCTGCCGGGATGGAGCGCGCACCGACATCCTGGATCCCCGGCGCTCCTGGCCGTGGAGCAGCTTGCTGTCCCGCAGAAGGGAGACGTTCATCAGACGCGGATTCGGCGTATTGAAGATGGTCCGGTTCTCACGCCAGCGAGCCCTGCAATTTACGACGGAGAATTAGTCACATTTCATGGCTCCCTGGATCATTATCCGGTTTATGCGGGTGAGCAAGCGGGTGGATGGATGGTGGGTTGGCTGGTTCGGGGAGACGAATCGGGGGCCATGGTTACTTCGATGTAATGCCAATTAATGCAGAAATGCTGTTTATTAGACTGGAAATTAATTGGTGCTCGAATTATGTGTAGCTTGCCAACCACAAATTAATGAAGCCCCATCAAAGCATCGACAGCCCAATTGACCCAGTTTATTGACAAGCCAACGGATGAGCTGGCTGAAGCCAAGATTAAGGGGTTTCCTTTGCACCGTGGCTCAGCTACACAGATTTCTTTTCTATATAATTTGATGCGCTAATTAAATGTTCCGGGAAGAGTCAGCTTGAAATATTATACTGATTGGGTTATGGGAAATCTAAATGCTTCGTTAGTTAAAATATAATAACATGCTCTCAATCGATCCGGATACAAAACATCGAAATCCATTATGCGTGCACTCAAGCGATATACAATATCCTAAATGGTTTGTGTGTGGCTGTTAACCTAGATTTAATGCTTAAACTATTTGCGTAGGTGTGGGGTGTTGGGGCGATGGAGATGTTTGCATTGCAATTTACTCACTGGCTAAACAATCGCAGGACGACACAAATAATAATAAACATCAATGCCATTCCTACCAGCACGCCAATCATGGCCGGATCGATGTAGGTCTCGGGTCCCCTCTTGTCCTGGCGCCCTGCAAACAGCCAAGTGGCAAACAACATGGAAACAGAACAGAAAACAGTTAACAGTTAACCATAAGCAGTGCCGGCTTAACTACTCCACTTGCTCCTCGACCACCGCACTGACCTTTGCACTCCACGGATCCGTCCTTGGCCCAAATGGGCGACATCTCGAACCGGCAGATGCAGCGCCCGTCTCGGCATTCCGTCTGGAAGTATCGCATCTCGCACTGCTCGTTGAAGAAACAGGACTCGTTCACGGCGGCCTCTGTGTGGCAGGATTGCAGGATAAGAGGTGGAAAGGCGGAAAGAAAATACCAAATGAAATCTGTTGACTTGGCAAGTGGCAGAGATTTATACACGTAACAATAACCCAGAGAATTTACTTCTAAAAGCAAATGTAATAAATCTTGATATTAGATAGATTAACTACTGTTACATGAAATTAAATATTTTTATCAGATAAATACACCATTCTGAGTTTTTACCAAATATTTTTATCAATTTAGAGGACCTGTTCTATTATTATTATTTTCAATTTCACCACCACATTTTTTTGTCAGTGCCATTAAAAGAAGCAACAAAGTGCTGTTGGCCCTATCAGGGAAAATATTTCTCGGCTGTCTCGCCTGTTTGCGGATTGATTTAATGGCTGATTGAAGTGCGATATGGCCGGGGCGGATTGACTCTCCGCTGGTTTGTCCACTCGTCTGACAAATATTATCGTGGAACAACTGCGGCGACTCTGAGACCCGGAGACACTGCACCGGTTATAGGGGATTTAGGCCGCGATGCGAGAGGCAGATACTTGGCCAGATGGCAGGACACCTGACTGACTAACTGACAGACTGACAGACCGGCTGTCAGCCGTGTCGATGATCAATGGCCCGGAGATTTTCGGCCAGCAGGAGTTTCAGTTGAGTCACGCCCATAAAAATAGACATTCGCCTGTCAGCGGACTGATGTCCGATCCCCAGCCATAAATTCGCCTTCGGAATGTCCCCCCGATTTGATTTTAATTTACGGCAGCGCGGGAATATCTATTATAATCACGTCAAATGTGCATTAGTTGCAATTTCCACCCTCCTGCTGCTGCGGCTGCCAAGATTCTATTTTAATTTACAGAATTTCCGCCAGCGCCTCGCAATCAAGACAATCAAGCTGGGGGGATTTCACTTTGCTGCCAGTGCAGCTTTCCTTCTTCTGACTCGCTTTTAATGAAAACTTGGCAGGCTGACAGGCCAGCAGGTTAGAGGAAAGGGGTGCCAGGCAATGGCCTTACCTTTGCCACATTTGTCAATGTGATTGGTGACGGGCAGATCCTCGGTGCACTGGCAGGACTTCTTCTTCGGATCGCAGATGGAGCCGGGGAAGCCGCATTCCAGGGTATTCTCACACTTGTCCCCGAACTTCTTCTGCCCACGGCTGGCATAATCTGTCGAAAAAAGGAATAAAGTATTAGGGATAGGGGATAAGGATAACCAACATGTTGGTTACGTCAGCGTGACTAATCCCAGGCGTAAAATTTGTAATGAAACCGCCGACGAACTTTCGATTCGCCACTGTGCATATCAATAAAAAATAAAACCTGGCAACAAACTTTCTGCGAAATGTTTTCGAAATCCCCCAACGACTTGGGGGCAGATTAAAATGTAAATTCTTTAGCTGCCTTCGAGGTGTTTGTGTGTGCTCGTTTTCGGTTTTTTTTTTACATTTTTGTTATTATTTTTTCTTTTTTTCTTTGCTTTTCAGTCGTGTGAATGTGGGATGTGTGTGTGTGTGTGGTTCTCCCCGAGCATACTTCGGTGCACTCGAGCTGGCCCGGCTACGAATCCTTCATTAACTTTGAATGGAATGAAAACACTCGAGTCGGCTGTGAGTTGCGTTTGCGGCCCTTCACATCTTAATTAAGCTCTTGGGAGCAACTCTCCGGCTTGGGGATTCCCCGCCCGGCGATGTGTGTGCGAAATCTCAGCCAAGGGTTGAGCCTCCGCATTTCCACCTCTAATTCTGTTGATACTCCGACCGTAATTACCGGCGCCCCAACAGCCAAAGCCACCGAATCCGAAGCTAAAGCCATAGTCAGAGCCAAAGCCAAGACCAAGACCAAAACCGCGACCATAAAGCAGCGGATGCGCCGACATTTAAGCCAACGGAAGCGAAAAGACAAAACAAAATGGCTGCTCATGCACAAACGGGTGCGCCATTTTCCAGCTCATGCCCATGTGCGAGTATTAGTGCTTTGCTTGCTTCATGTGGGGCGAGGTCTGCGTTATTTGCCTGCGGTTTATTTTTAAATGCACCGCCCGGCTATGAATAGGCTTCTAGTTCTGCGAGCTTCGAGGTTCAGCGAGAAATGAATGCTAATGCGAATAATGGGGGCGCCGACCAAGTGCTAGACTGCCAGATACCCAACCATAAATAGTTCGAGTGCAGTTTGAGTGAACTAAAGGCATCTGTCCAACTAAATTAAAGAAGGAAATACAAATTAATTAAATCAAATTTGATTAACAACATAAAAGGGGAAGAAACAGATAGAGAAAGTATAATGATTGAACATTAAACGGCTTTCGAGTTATTCAATTTTTACCGTATTAAACTTTAATGCCCGCTTTGGGTACTTTCAGGTATTTGTATATTTGTTTCATGAAGGTCCTGAACCTGGCGAACGGACCCTTCGTTATCCCATCTGCGGCCATTACTTATGCATCGAGAGCGGACCCACATCAATCGACCCCGTCGCACCCTCGACATCCTGCAATCGGCAAAGAGGAAACCCAGCTGGCGCAGCTTTGCTTACGTTTTTTCCCCAGATGAGTTTTATTTGGTTTTGGCTTCCGTGCCACTGCAGCAGTGAGGAAATTCTGTGAAAGTGTTGACAAAGTGGCTGCCTGGGGGCCCTGCCGCTGTGTGGACCATGTCCGTGAACCGAGGTCGACCTTTGATAGCCTTACCAAAAAGCGATTACCCAATGGCCATATTTCAACCGGCAGAGGAAGGGCCTAAAATCTGACTACAAATTGCACATGTCAGGCGAGTTGAGGGCCCCACATTAAACAGCAAGAGCTGCAACAGAGCCGGCATTTATAATTAACCGAACTGGGCCGAGCCATTAAAGCCAACTTTGCTTATTTCGGCACCATCATTAGGCCTTCTCGACGTTCTCCAAAAAAAAAAAAGCCATGCGAGTACATGGAAAACTTTTCACATTCCGACTAGAACACACTGCAGACAGGCCATTTAAGTTTGGGATGAGCAAACTACTCTAACTCGAAGAGGGATGAGTACGAATCACGAAACCGAGCACAGTGGCTTAAAAGCTTTCAGCAAATGGGATTACAAGAAGGCAAAGAAATTGCATAAAGAATTTTTGTACGGCAGAGGAAAATGTCTTAGGAGATGCTGCCTCCATGGAGGGTAAGTTTAAAAAATACATATTTGGACATGAACTCAGTTCAAGGTAAAAGCAAATAATTTGACAAATTTTTTCAAGGTAAAAGTTTGAGATAACAATTTTTTAAAGCTTGTTTTTCTTGCTTATATCTCCTTAAAAGAGACACAGAATAATTAAGTGAAGAGTTTCTTTATGGGCAATAAATGACGCATTTATATGGCTCTTGGAATTTAATGTGACTGCAGAGCTTATGCAATTGCAATGGAATCGCCGCCAGCGAAGTGAACAAAAGACTGTCACGACAGCCGCATATACGAGTATGACACCTAGCTGACGCCATTGCGGTCTGGTTCCATTCATAAATAGGAATAAGCCTGCTGTAATCTCGCTGCCTGATGCAGCATTCTTATCTGGGCCACAGACCATGGACTACTTACCGAACTCGGGCGTTGTCGTCTCCGGACCCGCGCTAAAGGCATTCACGGCAAAGAAATTATCGCCGTCATCGCCGAGCGTCAACGGCGGCAGCAGGGCAATAACGGAAACAAGGCACAGGACCAGGCCGTTAAGGCGCTCCCATCCCATCGCCCCGCCGCCCATCCTTCCGCTCATCTGCTTCATCGGAAGTCGAAGGCCAAGGCTCTTCCGCTGATGCCCCACGTTGGGCGCCATTAATAGTGGCCTGGTATGCTGCGTTCGCTGGGTGGCTACCAGTTTGCCTTTTACCCCAGTTGCTTCTGTGGCTGCGATTGCTGTTATTCTGGCTGGAACACCCTCTGGGCTGAGGACCAAGTTGGCTTGGCAATTGTTGCTGCTACTGCTGCTGCTGCTGCGGTTGGTGGTCAAACACTCGGCGTCTGTGGCCTCGTCGTCCTCGTCAGCTGGCTGCTGCTGCTGCTGATGCTGCGTCTCACATCGTTCGCGGGTGTCGCGCCTCAGGGGCTGGCGGCCCTTGAACGTGGCAGCTCCTTGACGGGGCCGGGGCTCTAGAGCCCCATCTAATCTCATATTATTCGATCGTCGTCGTGCTCCTCATCCATGCTGCTCCGACTATATCAATTTGCACACTATTGCTTGCTTTTGCGCTTTGGCTTCCCTTGTTTCCCTTTGGTTCCTTCGGTGGCGTTCGGTAGCTCGCCCTCGTTTCCGGTTCACATCAAAGTCTGTCACTGCAAGAAGAAACGGAAGGGAAAATGGTTTTTGGGTTAGTTTTCGGCCTGCGGGGGATTCGGATTCAATCAGGGGGACAAAAGCCGGGCTAATCACTTTGCGGCGTGTGAAATTACAAACCGTTGTTGAAACAATTTCCGAAAGTGCCACCAAAAGTCTGTAACTGAAACCAAAATTGACACATAGTTGCTGCCACGCCCATTTGCCCATTTGGGCCAGAACCGAAAGTGTCACAGTTGTGGGCGGTGGCGTTTTTGGCCTTTTGACACTGCACACCAAATTGAGTGACGGCCAATTTGTGTGTCTATGACAGTTAATTGGATTAGGCGCACCCACAGACACCGCCGGACGGATGTTGACGTTCAAAAGCCATTGTGTAACCAAAAATATTGCAGCGCTTAATTAAAATCCATTTTCCATTATTTTATTTAATTGCATGACAATGATTTGTGTGTCACGGGTGACCAGGACACGACCAAACGATAAATAAATCATGGATTCTAGAACATGCAACGCATGTTGGCCAAAAACGATGCTTGTTTAGTCAGCGATTATGGGCCGTGTCGGGCTTAGTGGCCAAATAGTGGCACGCATCTGCATATCTGGTTGAAACATGCACTCCAGGCTGACTGAATAAGGCAGAGCTTTTCAACGTTAATTAGAATCAAGTTAAGAGTAATCCTTGAATTAATTTAAATGCAGTGCTTTGGGTTCTCGTGATGATTATTTGGCTTGACAGGCTTCAAGTGTAAAACACAAACTTTCAGACTTCTTAACTACTATTAAAGTGCAGTCTGGGCAAACAAACGTTTAAACTTGCGACTGAAACCACAAAATGCCCCAAATACACACGGCTACCGAACATTTATAACCGCAAAATTCTCTTGAAGCTTGTCTGCTTTTGAGGCCTTAAAATGTCCACACATCTATTTATAAAGATTTGTCAAAAGAATGCCAACCGCAAGTATTTTTAGAAATTTGTCTACGTACAAATAGTCCTTGACAGGAAAGGTCTATTGTCTTGGGCCATTTATATATATAGTGTAGGTAGCTCATATTCTTGTATGAGGGATCAGGGTTATGGCGGAGGTAGCTCTTTGTTTTATTAAAGATAGGAAAGTATGTCATGAGCTTACAGACTTACGGTTTACTGAATAAAAAGTGAAACTTTTCTAAGCCTCATGGTTTATTTCTGGGATCAAATCCAGCTAAAATTGAAAACCCAGAACCCACAAAAAATGTATGAAAATGTCCGCAGTTCTATTTATAAAGATTTGCCAAAAATGAAGGGCTAATCGCAACTGTTTATGAAAACAAACCCACATAAGAGCAGTCCTTGACAGGGAAAATCCTTTGTTTTTGGGCCTTGGTTACAAGCCAAATGAGCCAGCTTTGGTGCTGATTTGAGAATAAATGTTTTCGGGCACCCGAGAGAGACGTTGCCAGGATTTTTTAGGCAGGCAGACTGTGGAAATCCCTATCCGCTTGTAATTTATGCTTATTTTCAAATAATATGTAGCACAAACTCATCGGCTTAAGACCGTTTTTGGTGTTGGTTTGGGGGATTCTGTTACGATTACGATTACGGATATATATGTCCTGCGAGGAGAAGCTCGTAAACTCGTGGCGCACTGGGGCGCAAATTATGAACGGAAGACATGTTGCATACTCGTATATATATATATGCACATATGTTACGCCTCCGATCCCCATACCAAAGCCCCAAGAAACGTTTTTCGTTTTTCATAAATTCATGCGTTGTCAATTGGACGATGAGTATTCATTACGTAGCGTATACGCAATATATTCCATGTGACTGCCTTCAGTCCTCGGAGCTGTGGGAAAAAGGGGGGAACTTGGGGGGTTTAAGCGGATGACAAAAGAGGATTGGGGCACCGCCATGGCGATGCTGATGGGACAAATGCCTGACACATGAAAGGCAGCCACGAACAAGGAAATTACAACCATAACACCAGCCACAACAGCATCTGCGGCAACGGATGTTGGGCCTCCTCTGCGGATACAGTGAAGGTTCCCACATCGAGCACCGTAATCCTGGTGAGTTTATCTGCCAACAAGAGCACAAGTTCAATTCGCTCACTAATTACTAATTACTGGAGTAATGAAATCAGAGTAAAGTTCATTTCATGGCACTTCTTTGTTCATTCGCCTTCTTTGTTCGGCGGTCGTTGGTCGGTGGCAATCACACAAAGTTCACTGTACTCTTGATATTTACAAAGTTGGTTAACTCACAAACTAACTTAGAAAGTAATTAAATATTTCTCGCTAATAAAAGATTTGATTTGATATTTAAGAGGCAGCTTATTGACATGGTGTATAATATTCAAGGACTTCTTAAAAGGAATTTTAAGAATTTTGCAAAATAACATTTAAGCGTAAAACTTTAAGTAATGTTTTAACTTTTTAAAGTTTATGAACCGTAGCTATTTTTTTTTTTGGTTTTATTTTTGTGAAGTACAGGTTTTTATCTTATCGCTTCTTCCGCATACTTCATAAATAGTTTAGCATGCAGCTTTATTTTTCAGGTTTTTTTTTCCAATAAAAGGGAATTTACTGTATCACGTGTGGCGTGTTTGTTTTGCCGTCGGCCCTACCAAATATTTTCACATACGGCAACGTGTCGTATACGCAACGCCGACGAGCTAACCCTAATCAGGCCAAGATCGTGCTAATTAACATGACACAAGCATAAATCATAAAGCAGCCAGCGGGATGAACCATCCACCATCAACAGGATGTGATGCCACTGGTCCAATAAATATTTGGGGCCAGGAATAGCCATTGTTTTAGCATAAGCCTCAAGGACACGCGCTTAGGGGTGTAAAAATAAGAAAATAAAACTGCAAACAGTCGCAAAGAGCCAATTCAGAAATTCGTGCAATAAATTCAGCAAACAATGGCTAAGGACACACATGTGCCGGCGCCCTCGTGTGTAAGTGTGTGTATATTGCGTGTGTGTGTGTGCGTGTGCTCGAGTATTTGCAGTAACAACAATGCATGGCCAAACATGGCTAAGCCAAACAATGGGCTTCTCCACATGGAAAAGCCGGCGGAACGAAGGCAAATAGCGCCGGTCCAAGTGGGCCTGAGCTCCACAGACGCCGCCAAAACGGAACGCACTCTGGCTAAGCGCCAGCCGGATAGATACTCGAATCAGATACAGATACAGATATAAACCCCGATACGGATACAGGGGAACTTCTTTAAGTAGGATTAAAAAAAAAGAGAAAGAAATTTAGCCAAAAAATGGAATATAAAGAAGGTTTTCGATTACTTTTCATGTAGTTTGCATTGAAATACCGAAAAGTTTTGAAAAACTAAAGTTGGAAAAAAAACAGCATATATTTGTGTTATAGAAGACCAACTGTACTCGGTGCATGCTAAACTTTATTGATTGCTGATGGGAATATCTAAGAGCAGAATCTAAAGAGCAGAGCCAAAATGCAGCGCGTTTCGCATATTTTAAGCGGCCCTCCATCGATTGAGGCCAGAATCTTTGCGAATGCGTGCCATTACAGCAATTATTTGCCAAGATTTATACGCTCGGAACAAATGGCTTGGCATTTGGCACACAACCACAGCCACAGACACCAAGAGACAAGAGGCAGTCAGTGAGTCGAACAAAGGACGAAGACGGATAACCGCACCATTGCTCTTGGCCAGCACGAATGACACCCACACAATGGCGCCTGAATATGTCATTTAATGGTCCACCAAGATTGAGCCAAACTAATAGAATCTGCTCTCATTTTATTTCGTTTGAAGAAAGCACACTCGCAAACCGAAAATAATCCAGCTTGCGGCTACGATTCAACGATTAAATCAATATTTCAATGTCCAAAATGAAGTCGAATCGATTTAGTACAATGAGTTCTTCTTGGTGAAATCCCACAGATTAAATACAAAGCATTCGTTTTGCTAATGCCCAAGGCTTCCATCATTAATTTACTTTCCAACACCAAAATGATTCCTTTCTTCTTTTGTTTTGTCTGCGAATTTATGTTTTTCTACCACTGAAATGTAATGATTGGAAATAAAATATATTTTTTCCGAATTTTTCTTCCAACTATAGTTGCTTTGTTTGACCTCAAATTAAAACCAGCCCAATCTTAAGCCTCAATAATTGAATCAATGCTCTACCTTCCAAAGAGACCTCAATTTTAGCCCGGTGATTGAATTGGAATTTTCAGAATTAATTAAACCGAGTCAAATATGAAAATATGAGGCTGAAGGGAAAAATGCTGAGAGCAATAAATTTGCTAATTGGATTGCCCTCAGCTCTTGCAAATTTCAGTGTGGCAAATTGAATGCCTTTCGGTCCCACGGGGAAGCGCTCTGAATTTTCTGGCGAAAATTAAACCCAAATGAAATGGGCGATTGAGCAATCAGTGGGCGAGAACATCGATTCGAGTCGATTACAGGTCATTGGATGCCATTCCTTTGTACCGGTCTCCAAGTGTCGATGCATTTCCGTGGCCACACGCTCCACGAATCCGACCCTCGAGGCCCACTTTCCCTCAGAGGTGGAGTAATGAAATTGAAAATAAACTTTAATTGCGCCAAGTCCTTAAACAAGCGCCCTCAGTGAGCAGTTATTACTGCTAAAAAGTTGTTTTGTTCATATACATTTTAAATTAGTTCGCACGCTCCTGTGTTCTGTCTAATAAAATTACCAGCAGCGACAAAAAGTGGATGTGCTCGTATATAAATAAAAAATTCGCTAGTTAATTTGTGACTCATTCCGTTACACTTTCCACTTCCCACGTAAAATCCGATCCATTTACCTTCATTTACTTGGCGGCCGAGTGTGAGTAATGCTTATCGCATTCATGGCTAAATTACGTTACATTTAGTTTTATATTTCAAATGGTGGTGGTAGCAGTGTGTGTGTGTGTGTGTGTGTGAATAACGTATATTAAAACTCAATTAAATATCGCATGTTGTCAAATGGCCCATCGCAGTGTGCAGCAAACAAAAA